TAAGTAGGGGGTGTCTTCAATTAAGTTTTTACATTTTCGAAGCTCATATGCAACAAAAATAACGTAAAAAGTTTTTAAAAGGCGTGAACGTAATTATAATTAACCCCACGTAAGTGACGCCGTTATAAATGACAGGCTTTTTGCGCTCATTCAGCAGCCTCTAAAATTAGTAGCAAACGCCAAAATTACCGATCTCAAAAGCCAAGTACAAAGACCCTTACCCCTACGTAGGTAGCGCCGCCATAGATGACGGGCGTTTCGCGCTCATTCGGCAGGCAAGGGAAATCTAGGAGGCGATGGCCCTGCAGTGGGCTTAGTCAGACCGATTATGATAATGATGGCGATTAGCAGAGCAACATTTTCAGCCTCAACAGGCAACAATAACGGCGGTCACAAGTCCGTACACAGGCAACAATGACACGCGACAACGTGAAAGGTATATGCACTCGGGAGAGAGAAAATATTTTTCTCGGGTTAGGAAACTACACTTTCACAATAGCGAAATTGTCACACCTGCCGCGAGGAGGCGCTTGCTGCTGCCATCTTGGACTGATAACGTTGCAGTTTAGTATTCGTATCAAATGAACAAACAGTGCTATACGGTGAGCTCACACGCACGAAATCACCTTGCCGGCACATTCGACGTTCCATGACCACAATCATTCCGTATTGTTACATAGAAAGAAAATCTACAAAACAAACGCTTATCAGTCCAAGATGGCAGCGCCCATAAGTCGAAAAGAAAATCATGTTATAAAGGGAACGGCAGCACATCGTCACCATCAACGCGCCAAAAACAAAATGCGGGTGGCGACTGAATTGGATTGGATAAACTTTTATTTGGTCCTCCAAAACACAGATCACTGTGTTGCGGGCAGCTCCCACGTGGGGACTGGAGATGCCAAGCTCCTCAGCCGCCTCGCGGGCTTGGTGGACAGCCCAGAGCTGATCTGCCAAGGACGAGCTGCGGATTGCCGCCTCCCATCTGGCAGAGGTGATGTGCGATAAATGAGCGAATTTGGTGCATTGCCAGAGCATGTGTTCTAATGAAGCTATTTCCCCACAATGTGGACAAAGATTACTTGGGTATAGGTCAGGGTACATGATGTGTAACATTTTCAAAGTAGGGTACATCCGCGTTTGCAAAAGCCTTATTGTAAGTGCTTGGGGCCGGGTTAGATTTTTGTGAGGTGAAGGGAAAATCCTTCTAGACAGGTAGAAATGTTTAGTGAGCTCGTTATATGTTGTAAGAATTTCCCGGTTATCCCCTTCACCGGTAGAACGCATCTCCGGGGAGGCGTGGTTGGAGAGTTCTCGCGCCGCCTCGTGTGCTGCTTCGTTGAGATTGGCAACGCCACCTTGAAATTGCAGCGCCAATCACAGTGACGTCATGGATTGCGACGATGTACACTAGGGCCTGGGTAGTTTTTAATCGGTAAAAATTAGGCGCATTGTCCTTTGAGGTGGCCAGAAGCTGAAGCATCCAAGTTTCAATTAATCTCGTTGAGCATATGTCGCCACAATACAAAAAAAAATTACTTTGTGACATCAAGAGCGAAATTTGGAGCGCGAAACTTTAAAAAATTAAACTTCGACCTTGGTTGTTCTCTTACATTCATACACCTATGATGGTGAAATCGTGACTGTGGTAAGAGTACAATCGATCTTTCCTGTTGAGCGTCTTTTCTGTCGTGTGTTGTGTCTTCCTCCGCGCTACCCGTGCAAGATGTCGAACCAATGTGCCCAACGAATCACCATTTTTTTTCAAGAACAGGACGATTTATCAATCTTAACTGATTCGTCGTGTAGCGTCCCTCAAACCGACAAGTGACTTCGATCGAAGATCAGACCATCGCCGTTTCAGAAACACTTAATCGATCGTCGACAAGCCCACGATACTCGAGAGAGGATCAAGTTATTTGGAAAACGGCGCGTACAGATACGCGCGTACGAAAGAACTCGCTCGCTGGGTTTTGTGCCGAACGGAACGGTTGCGTCGTCCGCGGTCTTCGACGCTAGCGTAGCTCTCGCCGATCGCAATCTCTTGGCGCCGTGTAGCTCTCGCCTATCGGTGCCACACCCTCCTTCAACGGTGTCCCTCCCACGTTTCCTCTCTCTTCTTCCTTCGCTCGTGTTGGGCAAAGGCTCCGTCTTATCTAACTCTCTCTTTTCTGCTATTTTTATCCCCTTCCCCTACCCGCAGGTCGCGAGATCGAACCCCGGTAGCGGCGGCCTCTATTTTCGATGGAGGCGAAAATGCACAAAGGAACGTGTGCTTAGATTTAACCCCGCCGGAGATCGAAACCTCCGGAGCCCTCCACTACACGGCGTCTCTCACAGTCATACGGTGGCTTTGGGACGTTAAACCCCAACAACTGTTGTTAGGGAGTTTTCGAATAGCGCACTGCGAGTTATAAAGCGTGGAAGCTTGGGCAAGTTGGTAGGACATAACTGAATTCAGGAACAGCGCAACCTACAAGTAGTTACTTCGTAACTACGGAAGCGAAAAAACAAGGACAGAAAAGAGCGCTGTAGTTACGAAGTAACTACTTGTAGGTTGCGCTGTTCCTGAATTCAGTTACGTACTGCGAGCCCTTGCACGCGGCGCAGTCGCTGCCACTGCGCATGCGTCGTAACGCGCGAGTCGCCGTTCGCGGCCCACCTGCAGAAAATCCGAAATCGCGGGCCGCGTGTGTGGCCCGCAAACGCTGGTTTCGATGCTACGGTGTCGCTGCGATTGTGCGTTGCGGTTTGCAGGAGGGCAAACGCTATTCTAAAGCTCGTATGGCACCCGCTACACCGGCCCCACCCGCAGCGCCTGCAAATGTTATGCTAAAGCTGCCTATTATTCCCTTTCCCGTCGCCTACAATGAAGTGAAGTGAACTTTAATTGGTCCTGGAGAACTGGTCAGACACCACCCTAAGAGAGGTCCACCGCAGTTACTGGCCGCGTCCACGCCGGGACTGGAAGAAGGTGGCCCACCACCCATTCGCAGGCCTCCTGGACTGCCGAGTATTGGACTTAAAGAGTTCGGGGCTTTTAAGAGCCCCCTGCCAGTCTTGAGACTAGTCGTGCCGCCATATTAGGCAGAGAAAACTTTGCTTCTGTTTTTCCTTCACTTCAGGAACCACTTACTATAGTATAACTATCAGTTAAAGCGCATAAAAACAGACAAAAAAAACAGGACAAGCGCATATCCAACTAGCCCAACTTTCAATTCTGTTGCAATCCACTTACTATAGTACTACTATACGAAAAGCCCACCTTCGAGGGAGTATACCATTTCTTTACGATCGCGGTCGCCACGTTTTGCGCGTAATACGACGCCAAAATCTGTGCGTTGCAACTACTTCGCCTGACATCTTTTCAACTGCGAATCGCACCATACGCCACGTGGATGCATGTATACACGACACGTGTGCGATATGTGCCTTGCAGTGACTTTTTCACGCCAACGGCGCACGTCAAGTGGTTTGTCGACGCAGACGTTACTAAGGGAAAATGCAAAGCGAGCGAAGAAAAATAACGGTTTTATCGGTCAGCCCGGCTTGCCACGCAAAAGGATAGGGTCAAGAGTTGCGCTCGAACGGCGCTATATGACCTTGAACGTGTACGGTCGATGACGCACGCGCGGAAGCAGAGATGTGTCTGAATATGACGTAATCACAGATTTGTTGTGTACAGTAAAATCCAGTTAGAGGGAACGCTTAACGAACTGGCTTTATAATTGAATACAGCTTGTGTACTGCACCATTCTAATGGAACCATAGCTGGTGCACTGCGCTGTCAGAACCAGAACTGTCAACGACCTTGTACTTATGCAAATCTATATTTGCAATAAAGCGGGAGTGTAGCCAGAAATCGTATTCCGGTTTCGGGGTGTCCAATTACGCTTAATTCGAGTTCTTGCGGGATTTCAAATGACAGCGTGCACATGCGAAACTTCGGGGAAAGTTTTGAACGCAACAAAGCCGAATTCAGACACGCCCTGCATGTATGTGTTCCCTCTAACAGTGGACCCGTCCGTACATCAAGCAGTTGAAAACAAAACGTATCAACAGTTGTCAAGTAGGTGCTTCAATACAGTTGCCTCCGTTTCAGAGGGGGTATGCATCAAGTTCACCATCATCAGCATCACCGATGGGCGTGTCGTAGGTGCACCAAGGCTCTGCCTACGTTGGCAGTTCCAATGTCATCACTCGCAACATTGCCTTGCGAAAACCGCGAGAAAAACAAGAGTTACGTTTGCGCATAGTTCACCGATTCAACCGCAACTGTTCCTCGTAGAAGCGGACTTTTCCTTAGTTTTTTGGTTAACGTAAAAAGTGAACAGTTCGTCAGAACTATACACGGGAACCGTTCTTGTTGCAGATGCGTCTTAGCGGGGAGACCTCAACACACGAAGTCGGGTATTTACGAAACTTACGCGCATATGTAGCGCGATTTAACGAAGCTATAGGAGCCGCGTTAATCGGTTCACAGAAGCGGGAGCGGCGTCGATTCGTCTTCAAAGCGACGCGGTCGGGACATGTGGCGAACACATGCTTCACAGACAGCGCGCGGGCGCGTTCACAAATCGCCCAAACGATGCGGACGCGATACGAAAGACGCGCAATTCATCCGTTCTTTCGCTTCCCGGAGCTTTCTTCCTTCTGCGATGTGCTAGACGCACAATTCACCGCGTCGCTAGGCTTCCGCGGGTCGTAATCACAGCGCAACGGGACCCTAATCGACGCGGTTTATAAGTTCGATACACTTGTCAAACACGGAAATCACACTTTAAACCTCTAAATAATACATTACAAGCTCGAATGCTCGGCTAAAGCGGATAGTACGGGCACTGAGGGGTTGTAACTGTGCCGTGAAAAGATGCGACCAATCGTAGCGCGGCAGATGAGGGTACCAGGTTTTTCACCCGAAGACGCAACTACCCTTCACAGCGAGCGGCGCGCCAGACACACCGTTTAGTAAAACTAGCAAAACCTAAACAGACGCTCACCTGTCGTAGAGACGGTTGTCAGCCTCGCAACGCTCGTCGCGACGCTCCATCCACTGCTTCCCGTGTCGACAGGTGGTGAGCAAAAGCACGTCCCGGCCGTTGTTCAGGTGGTGGAGCGCGTTGCGCGTGTCCGAACCGATGCCGTAAACGTAGCGCTTCCCTTTGAACACGAGCAGGTAACCCTTGTCGACGGGACCCGCGCTCTGGATGGCCGGCTTGCCGCCGCGCTCCGGATGAGCCTTGGGAAACAGCGGCAGCGCGATGTCAAACCCAGGCCTGAAAGCCGACTCCGGGATGCTGCTCTTGGCCAGCATCGCGAGCCCGATGTCGAGCCCGAGCTCTTCGCTGTAGTCGGGCCACGTGCCGGAGAAGAGGTTGAACACGAGGTGGTTCTGACCGCCGTTCCACAGCGGAGAGTCGGTCAGGCGCGCCGAGCGCGCGTAGTCCGGACTGAGCGGATCGCGATCCACCGTATCCACGGCCGGCACAAACACACACGCCTCCGAGGCGTCCGCGGTCGCGTAGCTAGACTGACGTATCACCCTCAGGATCCGCTGGTAGACCGGAGACACCGGCGGAGCGTCCGACTCCGAGGGATAGACGTACACCTTGAAGTCGCGCCCGCGACACCTGGAGAAGTCGAAACACGAGTGCATGCGGCAGAGACGAGCGTCCGGCGCCGCCGTAGACTCCGTCCCACCGACGCCGCTACGGAGAGCCTCGCGCAGTCGGCGCCGCGACACGGACAGGTCCTCGACGTCGCCGCCAGCGTCAGCGTACGATCGCAGGGAGCCGCTCTCGTACCTCTCGCGTCGTCCATGGGTGCTGAGTACGAGGTGTCGGTAGCCCAAGACGAGCAGGGCCGAAACACAGGCAGCCAGAAAGAGGAGCAGGTAACGCTTTTTGGCTTGCATCAGGCGCGAACACCGGGGTGGGCCCCCGGCGTCCCGGATCGCGGCACCCCAACACCGCAGGCGGCCCCGGCTCACGGCATCCCAGCTGTCAGCGGCAACCCGCACGGGCTCCAAGAGGTCCGAGACGACGCCGTCGGAGACGACGCAGCCATCTTGACGGCGCTGCTGCACCTCGCAGAGCGAGCGTTGCTGCCGCGCGCAGACGACAACGCCGCCGGCGCGGCCCGTGCGCGACGTTTTGCTCGCTCACCGCTAGGGGGCGACACCTTCGAGGCCGCAGCGCGCCACCACTGTTCGCAGCCTGATGAGCGCTGCTGCCGTTTGGCGTCAACCCGGCTTTTGAGTGGGTGTGAAATGCTCAGATCACGTCGATCAAGACACAAAGAGACGTTAGCGGCGCTAAATAAGCTTCTAGGGAGCCGCAAGGGCGAGTTCGGGAACTACAAAAAAAGAAACAGTCTCTTCTGGCGCGCACGTAGTCCCCGCTAATAAGCCGCGACTGCTCTGCGTCTCACAGCAGAGGCAGTACCACTTTTTTTTTTTTTTCTGTGCCCTTGAAGACGCCGGTGATCTTATGACGCCACTTTTCCTGTAGCCACTACACTGTACCTGCTGTGCGTTACCCGAGGTGTTTGACTCGGGTATCCTTTTGTCTCGGGAATGACAAAGATGGAAAGGAGAGATCACGAGTTTCCGCTCTTTGTGCCAAGTCGCGCAGTATCGGTTTCGTTCTGGACTACCTAGCATGCGCGTGGACCGCACTCGCACTACTATGCCGTGTACGATGTCAAGACAAGCACACTAATGACGCAGTTTGGTGACGCACTCCATTTATTCATCTTCTTTTGTCCCCCTCCCAAGTACAAAAGCCCTACGACTAGACCTTTTTTTTTTCTAACACACATGCAGACACATACACACATGTCCTTGACTTATATGTATGTACATGTAATCGACAATAGCAAAAATAAAACAAAGAGAGAGAGAGAGCACAGAACTTTGCCAGAGATCACATTGCTATGATATCACACACACCTATGGCACACGCATGAAATAGACTACATTGTAACAACGTGCTAAAAAAAGTGCTGCAAAATGGAGCAGGTATATGTCAACACTGATTATGCTGAAAACCACGCGCTACCTGTGCAAATCGAGTGTGTGGCCACAATTACTGTAAAGAGCACCATTTTTGACGTATTTGTTGATCAGCTTGCCAAGTCTTAGTCACGTGTTTTGTGAAGCGTTCCAAATTACAGCACACATTTGTTCACACACTACAAATGAGTTTATAATAGACGCACCCTTGTATAGAGCTAACGAATCAAATCTACAACATAGACTAATCACTAATGAAAACATTATTATATGGTAATGACTGCATTACAAGCACATTTTAGTACAACATCCATGACAGATATTGGCAGTTCAAACACTCGCATGATCTCCATACGTGATGCTAAATGTTTGATCCACAGTTGTTCAGTCAAAGGCAAGTGAAGTGACAAAGCTTAACAGGCATAAATAGGATAAACATAGGGGTTCATAAAGATGAACCGACCTGTCTCAAACAAATATTCTTGTTCTGATCGATAAGCTAAAACAAAGAGTAATTATCTATCAACAAAGTGTTTGCATAAAGCCTGCACTTATACTATACATGAAATGTACATACATGCACGATAATTCACAGACGTCACACAACAAGAATTGCAAAACTTTTATAAAACTGTAGGCCCAGCAGAATTATTAAATGCCTTCTTCGTAGAATGAAACTTATCTGTTATTGAAAGGAGTCGAGTTCACAATGACTGACAATGCTGAACGTATCGTCAGAAACTGCTACAACACAGCCATGTCATTTCTTAGTGAACTACAAAATCCACAAAATGCCGAAATAAGAAAAAGCAGAGCAGTAGAAACAGAGAGCAGAGATGTGGCACACAGGTCTCTGGTCTCTGTTTCTACTGCTCTGCTTTTTCTGATTTTATCATTTTGTGGCGTTTGTAGTTTACTAAATATGTAGCAGCTTGCCCAACAAGCAACCCTCCTGAACAACCAAGTCAGCATAAGAAAAAGCAAGTCATATTCAAATGCAAGTCATAGACAGTAGCCTAGAGCAAAAAGAAATCTGCATCAAACACACTGGTCAGACTGTAGGCACCACAGTGCGGGCATTGCTTTTCAGCACCTTTATCGACGACTCAATAAAATTTCAGAAAGGCAGTGTTGAACAGGAAGAAACCGAACAGCAAAAATGAAAACCACAGTTGCGTTTATTTGTTACCATGGTGTTGACAATATACTTTTGCCTTTTGTTTGAAACACTGCCTTCTGTCGGCGCATTCTTCAAATCTTTATCTGCCAAGTGACAAGACCACAAACACCAGAGCATTAGTTTATAACCTGTGCTATGAACCAGAGAATGAGCATACATTCCCTTAATCCTCCCGGGGCTACGTGCACTGCAGAAAAGCCAAGCAACTTAAGCTTCTAAGCAGGCCTCAGCGCAGTGAACCGAAGGTGTTTCTTATTAAAGGCACATCCACAAGTAATGCAACACTGCACAGAACTCGGAAAGAAAATGTGAGCATCCTAAATCAACGAGATACACCTATATTCACAACAAGGAAACACCTGCAACACCAGTGAAACACTAACCAGGCAATGCTAGAGCACGGAATTATTATTCAAGCGGGTCTAAAGAAAAGGCGTAGCTCAAAATGACACGTGCTACAGCAATTCTACAGCTGTAAGAATCCAGGCAGTGATGACTGACGTCTGGTAAAACTGTCGATAACTAAAGGGAATGTCAAGCAGCCTCCTGTGCCATGAAAGGAACTCAAATAAATGCTGAAGCGCGCTGCCCTTCCAAAAATATGCATATTGCAACATTTAACGCACCTATTGCAGCCGTACAACAAACATTTTTGGTGTTTCACAACCGACAAATCTCTACCGAAATAAAATATTCCATGTAGTGAGACGGCAATTCAATTGCAAACTGTACACAAATACACAGAAAAACTTAGTAAAGTCTGGAAGAGCAACAATGCTTCACCCAGAATACAAAGAAAAAGAAAGGCCTGACAGAAACACACCAAGCAAACGCTGTACGCATCAAACATCAAACAGTGCGGCAACATACACGCTTCAATACGAACCTAACTCTATAGAATTAAAGGAATTTTCACCATATGCACAAAATGCCATGCATTGTTGAGAAGCCTTGCTAAGGCAAGCAAACAGGTCAGCAGCACAAGGTGCACAACCCTTCTACACTAAACAATGCGCGACACGTGCTCAGTTATGGCCAAGCACACTGCTACGGACTTTGCGTCACGCCATTCTACAGACAGGAACAAGTGGCGCGACGTCAAGGTGGTACGTTTATCACACTAGTTTAAAGTCGCGAGCGGGCGTACCACACCGCTGGCATATTGGACTAGCTTTCGAGGTACACCCGTACTGCACACAACCTTTCGACCGTGGGGACAGCTAAAGCTTGCAATGTGCCACAAGTTCAGTGCATGGTCGGGCACTGTGGCACCACATCCAGATAAGATTGTTAGAAAGCTCAAAGCATACACCTCAATATATTGGCAGGACAGTTCGTGCTTAAATATTTCATATTATGACGCATGCAAACGTGGCATAAAAGTTTCGGTATCGTATGACCACTGTAGGACAAAAAGACGCGTGGGATAAAGGTTGGTAAAAAAAAAAAACGCCTTTGCCACTTGAGTCTCTTAAACAGGTTGAAATTGAGCGCAAAGGTCACGCACGTTTCCCAAATGATTACAGTAAAACATTGCCTGTTATCGGTGCAGCATAAATATGCACCGAATGATAGCATGCATAACTGGGATGTGCAACCTAACCTAACTGGTATGTACTATTAGCAAGGTTCGACTTCAAAAATAAGAATGCACAGCATTTATTATTCGTTACTTGTATGAATATTCAAATTTATTTGAGTAATCACCTTTTTAATTGCACACTGAGCCGTGGCTGAATATTCCAAAAAAATCTAAATATGCATTTTTCTAATTAAATATGTTTAGAATTTGAAAAATACTCTATTCTTGTTCAATATTTTGAATATTCGAACATCTCTATTTTTAATACATAAATACTCGATATTTCAAACATCCACACACCGCTATATTTTATAGTGAATCCTTACTCTGTCATAAGGTAACCAAAATAGAAGAATTGCGAGAAAAATTATTTCACGGCTCTGCTCCAAACATCGGAATAGTGAATTATGAAATATAACAAAGTTGAACTAAAATATTTTTGTCACTCCCAATACAGTGCAACGAAGAAATTACTATAATGAATGTCGGATGTGCAGAAACGAAAGTATCGCTGAATTTGCTATGCCTCGATTATAATGTTGTTCAAATGCATAAGAATTTCTTCACTACGAATAAACTTGTCAAGCGTAATGTGGCCTGTTTAAGTGTAAAGATGAGCATTTCATCTGTGACCATTGTTTCGTATGCTGGTCCTACGTAAGATATGCAACTACATTGCATGCACAACAATAGTGAGCCACAGTGCACTAACATTCTTAAAAACTAGCACATCGTTAAAGAACATACAAAATTGATGTTTTACAAGAGTCTAGCGCACCTAAAGTTGAGGGGACGCAAATAAGTGAGCATACAGGGGAACTCAAAGGGGTGTACCAAAGAACACAGTCTGGGTGCAGGGTTAATCGTCGTGCAGAGGTCCCGTCCTCAAAGACTACAACATCACGTGGCGTATGCTGTCACAATCGCAATAGGTATACCGAACTAAAAATGGTGAATAAAACAAAACAAACAACTAATGCAAGAACAAAGTGCCAACAGACTCTTGCAGTATCTTTCAAGTGCCTTGTTGAAGTGCACACTTCTGTCATTGCGTTATACAACCTAAACCACGCAATTGCTAGCGTTTTGATCTGGCTATATGTCATGGACAACTTTCAGTGGCACTTTTTGTCATGCTCCTCACAAGCTCAAACATGTCACAATTGTGACAAATAAACGAATGTCACAAGTGCACGAGAAGCGCGGCATCGTCACGCTTGTGGCAAGCACTTATTAGGGTGTTGACCACAATGTCTAACTTGTTGTTTTCTAATCTTTCACATGGTTCGCTGGGTGAAAAAACACGCCTATTAGAGCCATGGAATGAAACAGTTGAAAGTTAGCACTAGCTTCATAGTCATATTCCCTCAACTCAAGTTGCACTGAAATACCCGAGCATCTAATAACAAACATGAAATTAACAACAACAGCATCCCCAAAGGATAATTCGCAGCTTTCAAAATAGTTAACATGCATGTGTGACCCTAAAATAATGCAAAAAATGACAAACACACAGAGTCAAATGAGCGCATGTGTTAGCAGGCATGTTTTTCACACGAACAGCCTCGTCCATGGACCAGCAGACAAACTATATTTTTCTAGTCATCACTAGCCTCCACCTTTTCTTTCTTTTGTTTCTCCGTTTTTCTTTACACGAGGAAACTTGCAATAAAGCGCGACAGTCCGGCAATTTGTTAGAAAACATCTTTCTAGTGTTCCCACAACTTTGCAACATCGTGCAAAAGGTGAAGATGCTTAGAGCGAGAAAAGCAGGCTGGGAGCGAGAGGTTTCGTGCAAAAAACTTTCGCCTGGAAAACATTTTTGCGAAAAAGTTACCTTACAGATGTTTGCAAAAAGTGCAAGCCAGGGGGGTGCTCGCTATTTCACAAAGTGTCGATTCATAAGTCTAGACAAACTGAGTTTCACTTTCATCATCATCATCATCAGCATGACTACGTCCACTGCAGGACAAAGGCCTCTCCCATGTTCCGCTAGTCAACTCGGTCCTGAGCTTGCTGCTGCCAATTTATACTCGCAAGTTTCACTTTGGCGACCCTTTAAACTTACTCTTAGCTCTAGTCTGTTAAATGTGGCTGACTTCCCTCTTGGGCCCCCACAGTGCCCCACCAGTGTGCACCTCGGCTGGATTGGGGCGGGAGGGATTGGATTGGCTTCTTCTGGAAAGTCGGATGGGGGCGACCCAGCAGTTGTGCGTGCTTGCTTTCAGGTATGCACTCTGTTTTTCAGGCTTCCGTTGGACGTCCCCGTGCGGTGGTTTCCGGTGAGCGGCTTGACGGCCACCGATGGTCGAGGACGCGTCTCGAAGAGCGTGTCCGAATCCGAATCCGAAGCCATCAAGCTTGTCGTCAGCGTCTTGCCTGCACCGTATGATGCAAAAAGTCCCGAAAAGTTGTCATTGCACCGAAGTGTCATTTATCGAGAGCTAATGCTCGCTCTCTTACGTTATACAGTCAAACCTCAGTATAACGAAGTAGCATCGAGGCCATAAGTTAATTCATTACATCCAATATTCCCTGTAAGTGAAGTGATAATGATCGGCTCTAAATTGAAGATTTAACTCATACAAAAACTGTATATATATGAAACAAACTATTGTAAGCTTAAAACCAACTATAAACGAGCTAATCCTCACCTGTCTCCTAATGGAACTAATACGGTTCAGGTGGTACAACTGGTCAAACGCTCCTTCTTTTTGTGCTGAACGATAGTGAATTCTGTAACTTTGTAAACCATATTTCTGACCAAATTTTTAATGCCATGACTCAATCAATTCTTATGTCAAGTACGAATTCTCTCTCCAGAGTTATTTAGTTTTTTATGCTACATTTAAAGCACTGAGGTTTGTGCGAACGAAACATTTCTTAATTACTGCAGACATCGAGGCAGCTCTCCCATTACTGGCGCAATTATAAAATGCCAGTGAAATGAGGCGTTACCAACCAAATCTCTTCGCTATAACCGACGGTCTGCTATATCAGTGCCTGTGACAACAAGATTCAACTCTAATGACTACATAAGCCACATCATATCTCAATCCAATCCAATGGCAAAGTCATCTACCTATTTTCGTCAAACACTCAAATGACAGATGTTCTTTCACAAGTATACAATCGATAGCATACCTTTCGGTATGAGGTCGAGGCTGTCCTTTTCAATGTCGCGGGAATCCTTCAGCAGCGTGTAATTTCTCTTGATTCTGGGCCGCCGGAAATGCATTCTATCAGGGAAGAACAATGTATTCACGATTCAGCAAACTTTCTCAGTGTTGTACATTCTACTGTTTTTCCATCAACGGTTTTCAGCTATCATACCTCGCAGCGCAAATGACTGTCAACTGTGTTTACTTATAACAAACTCCTCCCAAAAGCACCATGTTTTAATGCGAAAGCCTCAGATGCCTAATCAAACACGAAAATTGACTGTCGGTGTCAGCGACACGAGAGATGCAAAACATCACGAGATAATGTCAGATGACATGATCATGACATCGAATAGTTTGACATCACACGACATCATCACAGGACATACAGAGCAATACAATTAGTGAGGAAAAAAATAAGCCCGTCTTCTAAGTTAAATGCATATTGACAGCGTGACTTTTTTTACAATAAATAAACATACAATAAGAAAGCTCGATTCATATCAAAACACATCCCGCCATGCTAGAAACAGCGTCACATCGCGCAAGGAATAGTGTCAAGGCCCGATAGGGAGAGCATCGAGTCACACTAGGGACCACATCGCGTCACGTTAGGTACACATCACGTCACGCTGAGCACAGCATCACGTCATGCTAACGACAGTGTCATGCACTCTCCTACAATGACATGAAGGCACGCGGCTCCGGCAGGAAAGTGGCACCATCTAAATTTCCTAACGATGCTGCCTCGGTGATGAGGTCGAGTGTGCACCTACCTCGAACAGAAGCAGGCCAGGCCCCACAGAGAAGTGGACAGGACACTCAGAAGCAGGAAGGCAATGATGATGACGTACAGTACACTCCAGTCTGCGAGGTGATAAAGAAGTCGAAGCAACTGTTTATGCAATATAATATAGAACAGAATTGTAAAATTTTATTACTCTGGACTCTCGTTAAACGAAACCTGGGGGGACCAAGAAAGATGTTCAGTTTAAATTGAGTCACCTTTACTGAGAGATTAACGGGGCTGTATCATTCAGGTATGAGACCAATAATATTAGAAGCAGTTTTACATGCCAAAACCATGATATTGAACAAATGTGAAATGATACACCAATCGAAATAGAACTGACGATTTACTTGACGATCACTCACGATCACCTGACGATTTACTCAGTTCTGCCTTGCTTACAATAAAACCCATTACAGAAAACCATGACACAATTATGAGGTATGCTGTAGTGGGGGACGCCATAGTGATTTGACCACAAGGGGTTCCTTAACTTGACCTTAAATACATGAGTGCAGGAGTGCGACAGCCGAGATAAAATTTGGAGCTCTTTTTGAAGCAGTTTGGAGCACTAAAATGCAAAGTTCGAGCAAGTTACAGAGAAAAAAGACATCTGCTTTTTTTATCACGAAAGATCAAATTTGGAGCAGTAAAAAAAAGCTTACATTTAGAAAAGAAAGTATTTAAAAACGATTCAACATCCCCTAAATCATGCAGAGCAGACATAAGCACAGTTATTTCAATAAAACTATAGTATTCTGAACCACCCCACTGAGCGAACAATGATAAAGTTCACATTAGCATTTGCTGCGTCTGTAAAACCTGTTGACAGACTCGGCGAATCCAAATGTGGATCGGCTAAGCTAGCGGCCTTAAAATTGAGGCGATTCATGAAACTGAGAAGTAGGGATGGCGAAAAAGAAGTAACTGGCGCAAAATGGCGACAGAAATGTCGTACACTGCTTTAAATGACTGCCAGTGTTTTTTTCAGACATCAGCAATCATACTACGCACAAAATTATGCAGCATATACATGCATGAGCAACTGCAAAAAATGCGTTGTGTCTCGTGACTATAGTGCTAACAGCCCCTTCACAATCATCCGCGACGAAGGTGGCTTTAGCAGTGGTCTGCACAAGTTAGAACGAGGCCAAGACATTTTCTAACTCAGTTACGCCCCCCTCCCCTCCTTTTTTTCACGGTGGAGTTAGGTTTAGAGCACAACTACTTGACTGGTTTGCAAGGCAGATGCTTGGGCTAGTTGGTGATTGGGAATCAACATATTTGCACAGCGCAAGACTACAAGTAGTTACGACATAACTACAGAAGAAGAAACAAGGACAGAAAACAGCACTCTTTCTGTCCTTGTCTCTTCTTCTGTAGTTATGTCGTAACTACTCGTAGTCTTGCGTTGTGCAAATACGTTGGTTTGCAAGGCATGTTCTATCACCAGATATTTATCGCTGGTACGACGCAGCTAATGCAACTTCGATAAAAATATGTTTTATGTGCCATTGCTATGGCAACCAACGCTGTTGCCAGCAATGATAGCATGTTGACTATGTTCACGTGTAGTAAACGTGGCATGCACTTCCAGTTCTAGTTTCTAACATGCCATAGCCACGCTTGCCGATTAAGAAGTTCACATTCCATTCACATTTCTCGCAAAGCGTTGACGGCTACGGCAACACATTTAAGTCTTTAAGTTGCCTCGTTCCGCCGATAGGTATTCGCTACGGTCAGCGGACCAACTAACAGCAATATATCTTTACCCCGTGATTTTGTTTGCACGTTTAAATTGATTGATAGCACAAACTGCAGGTGACTAACGTGGCCGCTATTTCTGCCTGAAATTAGTGAAAACTGGAAAAGTTTTGAGGCTGGTTGGACATATTGGCACAATTTCAGCAAATTTCATGATTTCGGCCCAGCTTGGAGCGAAAATAGGGAATTGTATCAAATTGGCGAAATCGGCACAACTGTTGCTCTCATGTGAGTATCCTTGCATTCCACCTCATCGAAATGCAGCCCCCAAGGCTGGAATCATAGATCTAATTTTTTGCACAATGCCTTTCTTAATTATTAAATAAGTAATTAAGAAAGACAGCATGCAATTGTTTATACTTCTACAGCAACATTGCATCAGCAATAAAGCGGGATATATTGGTTACTAGAACAACATCTCTCAGATTTACGCCTCACATTTATGCCTCAGGCCCCTCAGTATAAATCAAACGACGATATATAGATTCCTTATCATTATTTGTATAACTTCAATATTATTATATTTTGTCATGGGAAATCCACCCCTTAAGCCCATTTCAGCATACATAGCTTAAATATAACGCAAAATAAATGATACACTACACACCACAGTTGCTCTCACGGTCTCCTAGACTTGCACGAACGAAGTCCTCCATCCAAAAGGCTTCACAGACACAGCGCTTGCTGTACATGTCACACGTGCCATGCCCCGAGCACTCGTTCTGGCACACTGCAAGATCATCAGAAGGGCAAAGAGATGGGCATTAAGTGTGAAATGGTATGTAAAGATGAAATACTACATTGCAAAGATAATTTACTAAATGTTTAAATACTTCAATTTTTGTGCATGCGATACGGTACATCAGGACACTCTGTTACTGGTATTTATGTTTAGCCAACAAAGAAAAGGCCCTGCCTCGGTTGAACACCACCAAAAGGATTCAACTCTTGTACCAAAAAAATACAATATATCGTTTTGATGGTAATGTCATGTTCATGATAAGAATTGTTTACTTTTCTTAGAGCAATGCTAGAGGGCCACACAGTTCTTTTTCTTTTTTTTTTTTTTTTTTTTGCTTTTACTCCAAAGTGCTTCCTTTTATCGAGCTGTGAGACTGTGCAGAACAGGAACATTGACGCTAAGCATAGTTCTTGCCTTTTTTTTTCGTAAAAAACGTAACATTGGTTTATTCTTTTATAACAGCCAGACTAAGAATGCCTTAGTCCACATGGCCAGTTTTTGGCATGAATCTTTTCACTTGCTGAAAATGTGTCTAATAAAATCTCTAATAATAAAAAATAAAATAGTCAGACAAAGCTATCATCGTCAAAGTGCAGAGCGTGATATAATTGAACCATGCTTGGTCAGTGGTGTGAAAATATGCTAAGCATCTCAACATGCTAGCCTGAGAAAAGAAATTCTTTAAAACACTTAGCATCGTGGAAACGTGACGAGTGTCTGAATGCACTTTCGTACACGTGGGACACTGTTAAAGTCATACCACCAGTTGCATAGCGTTTAAAGCAACAAGTTTCTGTACTAGAGGCTTGGAGATTCAGAAAGTTAGGATTGATTGTTGCAATAAAATTTATGGAGAATTGATAAACTATACTACGAAGGTGCATCTAACACACAAGTCTTGTGGTGACAGTATTGTTTTGTAAATGTTAAGGGTCAAAAAAAAAAACAGACAAACACACACCTGTCACAAAAAGCCTGTACCCTTCCTTTACCTCCCTGTACCTGCATGCTCTCAGTGTTCAGCTTGAAGTACGAACTTCCGTTGGCTAAGAGTTTTGCCATAAGACGTGTCATGCCACGTAGCACCACTGACACGAGCACATAGTTGCCAACTCTTACCAACAGTGTCCACCGAGATCACATCCCAGTCGAGCAGTGCACTGTGCGTTCGTAGCCTCTGCTTCAGCCGGGCAACCATGAGGGGACCCCGACAAGGTAACCAAGAGCCCTTGGCGTCTTCTTTCTCGGCCACAAAGATGATTCGGACCCTGGTATGAACGATGATGTGAGGCAGACAGAGCCAGTATCAATCAATCAGCCAATCGATCAATCAATCAATCAATCAGTAGACAGGCAGGTGAAACTGAAAAACCACACTTGTAAGCAAATAATGAGCATCGAACGGAGCATTATCCAATTTTTTACACTAGAGTTGCATAAAAGTATAACCCTGCACACAAGTACGTATACCAAGATGCATTAATTTTAATTTAATACCTTCGGGAATCTTGTTGGTAGTTCAGGTCCACCAAGTGAACCCTCAGTGACTCTCCGTCGTGCAACAGCAATTCGAGCTGCTTCAACACTGTGTCCTGCAAGGTAAAAAAAAAGCTTCTTTGTCTATCACATGCATCCCACTGAACACACAGGAGTTCAAGAGAGTTGCCATGTTTTTTTAAAACTGTTCGTTCTAACATCCGTGACTGACGGCACAATTCTTACCACCGCTGCAAAGTGATGTTCATCATATTGTCACGGGTATAGAAAGGTACCTCAGACACGGGTGCCGAAATGACAAGAAGGAATGAAGACGACGATACTGTTGTGGGGCTGTGTGCTGCCCTGTTGTCCTGCACCCTTGCACGCTGTGTGCCGTATTAGCCCAACCGGCATTAACTTATTAAATACTCCTCGTTACAATATATTTACAAGCCTTGCGAACTACATTTCTTTATGCCATTAATCTCTGCATGCTTACAAGGTACAAATATAAGAGCATACAAGTAAATATCGCTGCTCGTTCAAACATATTTGAAGATAAAACATACAACCTTCCACCACAGCCGGTTAAACCCCGGCACATGTGCAGATGCTTGAAGGTGAACTTCGCCTGCTTTTACACGCAGACTGTGCCTAAGGCACCAAGCCAATGGTTGACATTGGTCACTGTTCAACTTACCAACATCAACCCTTGTTGACACGAGTGTATGTACTTTGTCGCCACTGTGGACCTAATGAATTTAAGTCATTTCATGCGACACTGCCATTCTAATGAAGTTGCACTGAGCGAAAAGCACGAAAGACCTGCACAAAAAGAACAGGACAAATTTGTGTATTGTCTTGTTTTCCTTGCCCTTCATCCTTCGTGCCTTTTGCTTGGTACAGGTACATCAGAACTCCCTATTAACTAGCCTAAGTTGAAGCTGTGCTGACAATAATGCCACGTTCCATTTCCCAGGTTTTGTTATCGCCCCAAAACACTACAAAATTCTCAGCGCAAACCGCACCTGCAGTTTTCGAGAAGCTTCCGGACTGTAGTAGATCATTTTGATAAGATCACGCCTACTCTGCGAACTGTACAGATTATTCTGGAACCTACGCCACCGCCAGCAATAACGCTAGAACATTCGATGGCAAGAGTATAAATGCTGACGCGCTTCGCCGCTTGCAAGTAGTTGATCGACGGCCGACGCTCCGTTCGCCGCTATCAGTTCAAAGGCTGCTACTGTAGTTCGACTTTCCGTTTACTGGGCACAGGTTCGCCCAAATAAACAATTTATTATTCGACTCGCAGTGTGCTCCATTTGTCCCCGTCATGACCCCGTGACAATATCATGCTTAAAAAAAAAAAAAAAAGAACGATGCCAAGATTGGGTTACCGGCCTGTATTCAAAGTGAATAGAAACTAAAGCTCTACACTTTTAGAGGCATTTACCGTATTTATTTTAATGTAGGTCTGCATATGTGTGTGTGTGCATGCGTGTGTGTGTTCGGAAATGTCACCCATAATTGGCTATTAATGTAAATTTGTGATTGCATTTAGGAAACGCATCAAGCTAATACAGTTGCACTCTCACTCTCAATGTTTTCCAAGCGGCACCAACTACACTGGTTAACTATTTGTATTTGCGGTTTATCTTCACAACACAAAATAAAAATGTAAACTCCACTAGAAACTCTAATAGAAGTGCCTGAAGATCATTGAGAATGTTGCCTAATACAGTTCTGACTTGGCCGCCGTAGCCGCGCACCCTGGTACACTCAGCCAAGATATTATGTCGGTGGATAAAAACCAGGGAAATAAGAATGGCGTAATCCCACAGAGCAATGAACGCTGTATGTACTTTCTTTCCACCACTAGTTGAGAAAATGCAGACTTCAGAAGCCACGCTTTCGCTTGCGGGAACCTGACATGTCGTGGGATTTGTACATGCTTAGCACAAATATTATTGCATGCTTATTGTGTGATGTTTTCATTTTTCCATTTCCCAAAAAGTATGGGTTCACCTATATTCGAATAATTTTTTAATACATTTCTTGATTAGAACAATACAGATGTGTCAACCTATATTCAAGTAGATGCAGAAGACTTATGGTAAAGTTTGAAGAACTTCGTTTAGTGATCCTGAGAAGTGCAAACCCTTACGATGACACCATGGGGCTCCCACATGGAGATGGTACACTTAATGACACTTAATAGTTAAACAGGTCATCTTTCATTCCAGTGATTGTACAGTATTTTTATATCTTCAAGCTGTTGGTATAAGATACTGAGGCTAGACAAAAGGAACAGGGATAAATGGGGGTTTAAGTTACAAAGTGCAACAAATCAGCGCAGAGGACAACACGGAGCCTGGCACAGAGAACAGCGATAGAAGGATAAGTAAATGCTAAGACACACATTTTGCATGCTTTTGACAAGTGAGCCACAAAAAACTCAACGCACTAGCAAACACTAACCAGTTGCTCTTGAGTGAAGGTCTCAATGTCGACATCCAACAGCAGCTCCACCTGTTGCACCAGGCTGGGCATCGGCTTCACGATGAGGGACGCGGTGTCCTGCCCCGTCGCACCTTGGGCGTCGGACACGGTCAGCGTGAACATGTACCGGCCCGGGATCAACTCCGACAGACGAAGGATAGGCGAGAAGCTCGAGTTCTCCAGAATGCGCTGCAGCGAAAAGGCGGCACGTCCTCAGCATGGGCGAAAAACTACGACATCCCGAAATTGTGGACATCACCAGAGCACCCGGTTAAACGAGTCCGCCAGCTTCGAAAACGTTTAAATTTGTTCTGCCGCTGCTGCCTCCTGCCGTAACCACTTTTGCTACTTCTTTCTACACAATTAACAAATGAAGAGAATGCATTCCATCTTGCCAGACTGTTGAGCTTTCATTTCTTGTTTCGAGTTCAAGTTATGCATGCAAAACACAGAAAAGAAACAGTTTGCACCTGTTCAAGTCGTTGTTTCAGGAGATACACCAGCAGAAACTACATAAATGAACAAACTGACAGCGGCTGTGGCGGATTCACCCAGCTTTCCAAAAGCAAAATACCATCTGCTAAATTAAAGTATTCTAGGCAATCTTAATACAAACCATGCTCTAAAGCAACACATCCTTGTAGAAGTCATGAGTTTTGTCGTGCACCACAGGTAGTTTGCTACTTCACTGATCAGAATCACCTTAGACTCCTTGGCCGCCACTTTGAATTTATGGCCACAGGTTCACAAAGTGTGGTTCACATGCTAGTGTAGCCAATGCATCCCTTTCTGTGAAGCAGGAAGGGGTTCTGGCATGGCATGCCGGAAAAATCTCTTTTGGACCGATTTTTCCCGTCGGGCTCGCTGCTTGGTTTTCTAGCCACTCTGGTGACAAGGCGAGAGGAGTTTTGGTGAGTTTTGAAGCTTTCAACCCCTTCGAGACCAAATGTAAAGTGCCTCAAAGCAAACTATTAGGTTTTGTTACATTGATTTCTCGCCTCCGTTGGAGTATAGTATCACCTGCTTCCTGTGCACCGTTAAACAAACTTTTTACGGCGAAAACCACTGCCAAAGGTCCCTGGTGCTGTTGCTCAATTTCAAGTGTCCGCACCGACCCAAGAACATGACGCCACCACCTCGGCTGCCAATTTATGTGACTCGGAGGGTGTCCGAGATCTCCATGACCGCAATATGTATCAACAACTCTGGCTTACTGCACATTTATTTATTGCCATAATATATATAAATCTCTTTTCACCTGTAAGCCATTTAGCAAACACAATAGAGCATCTCATGTTGTTTACTGAGATAACCACAGACCAAGGCTGAGGACACTACTCCAATTTCTCGGTTTTGTTATTTCCTGACTCGAACATACTGTTCTTGCCAGGAATGGTGTATTGATTAATGCACAAGCCTAATCGTTCGATCTAGCTCAACTTACTAGTTTCCTTCAGTGTCTCTCAAATGTTTCAGCCTCTGCAGCTATCCAACAAAAAGAAATGTCATGCATTCAGAAAACAAAAGTTCTCATTTGTCATGGAGCCCATATCCTCTAAGCATTTGTCGTTAGGTGTACGTGTGCATGCGGCAAACAATTTTTTTGTCCTTTAAGAGGGTACAGTCCAGTCACATAAACATTGCAATAACTCAAGTAAACGCTTCCTTTTTTTAAAGCCAAAAGCCTAGTGGCTTCTTCTTAGACATGCTTTGACACGCAGCGTCAATGATAGGATTGTAACGCATCCTGCGTAAGGAAGCAGCACTGTGGACGTATAGTTCTAAGCATAAAGCACCTTTTAAAAAAACACTACGTAAAAATGGCAAATACATGTTACATCTGGTTTAACACGATTTAACAAGAGTAAAAACAATTCTAAAAAAGTGGTATAAAAAGCGGCAGATTTCAGTAACACATGCTGCCGAGGTGAGTTGGCGAGTCAAGATGACAAGTTTCGATGTTTTCGGTTGCCACCCCATAGTTACCGAACGAGCTCGAGGCCGGATTAAATCCAATGTTCTCACCCCTGCTGCCAGAGATGAAGGATCTCGTGTCCAGTGCCACGAAACAATCTCCACGTCATCCGACGACCGTGATCCATTCAGAGAGACTACGTCCACAGGGAGGAACACCGTCCGGTCACCACCGGCATCAGCCTTGGGCGGGGCGTTCTTATCTGTGGATGAGCGACGGCTTATACCAAAGGCAGCTCTGACTAGCAGTTTCAAAAGGTAGCAATAAATTAAAAGCAAGACCAAAACGACGGCCTGGCAAACATAAACATGAAAAGCAATGCAAATGTCATCAAAATCTGGCATCCTGTTTTTTTTCATGACTAAAGAAATTGTCATTTCGCCCTGGCGATGATGCTGATACTTTTCTTCCCATTGCCACGGCACTTGCGGCGATCAAGAAACTCGGAAAGGGTGTCTATAAAGGGACACTAAAGAGAAACAATGACTTGGTTGATATTGAAAAATTGCACTGTGACAACTCTAATGTTGCTTTCGTAAGTTTATTATTAGTGGAGAAAACCAAGGCTCAAGTTTACTTTTGAAATTTCGTGCCGAAATCTCTGCACTCAACATCAGAATTAAAAAATTGTATTTCTCGTATTTCAACAACATTGGCTCTATGAAATTTTGTGAAACTTGGTATGCAAAGTTTATGGCACCAACAGATGACAATGTACTTCAATTTCATCTATTAGAGGCTACATAAGACCCAGTAGACGCATCCAAATTTTTTTGACGTCATGGTGTTTTTTTGCAAGAAACTCAAAGTGATGTCTCCAACCACATTTTTTTTCGGCACGCTTTCTCGCTTGCCAAGCGTCATGTCAAGGTAAGAGGGGTGTTTTCGGGATCGTGAAATTGAACTTTACTAATACGCAATAAGTCATTTTGCTCTTTAGTGTTTTTTTTTAATATAAAGCTTTCGCATGACGTCAACTCATGCTATTCTGTACAGTTCCCTGCTATCACAGTGCTTATAGATAAAGCACAGCTTTTGCCTGTGCTAGACCCATAACAAAACAGCAACCACATTTATGGAGGTATATGTACCTCCTACAGAACTTGTAGCAATCGAGTATTCGAAACTTCCTTACTTTGGGTGACGATGATGGAGACGTTGTCAGAGCTGGTCAGATTGTTGGCGTCCACGACATCCAATTTGAACACGTACTCTCCCGGCACAAGGTTCGACACTCTTGTGGTCGAACTGTTTGGTTCTTCGACTCGGCTTGGCTTGGGACCCCTGACAACATGGAACAGTAGTTGAAGCTTGACGACGAAAAGCACGTCCTTGGGCTTCCACGCAATGCTATGTTACACACAAACAGCTCATACAGTGTGGTCTGAGACGCTCAAATGGACACTAAGAAATTACAGTAAGCCACTTTAGACAGCAATTGATTACTTTGTAGACTTATTTTCTTCCTTTTTTTATTTTGTTAAAAAAAAGCTTGATGAATGTTTTTTTTTTGTTGTTGTTTTAAACTGGTTGAAAAATTTTCAGCCATTGCCGGAGAAAAATGAGGGTCAGTTCCTGCTGCTGTGATATCCATGCAAAAAGTATTGGCAGCCATGTGCACCACAGGCATACAGCAAGGCTGAACAAAACGTGCACTTGCCAATTAAAAAAGAAACCCAGAACGAAATGGCTTGCATTAATGGCGGATCAAATCTGCCCACCTTAGCATGCAGCGAAGTTTAACAAATGCCAGACTTCAAAGTGCACCAAAGCCTCCTCCACTGAATCCCTTATAATCAAAAGGCAGTTCAAAGACGAGGTATGTGAGAGAGGGGAGGGTGTGTTCTGTACTAGATGGGGTCGGGGTGGGGGAATTCCTTTTACTACAACAGTGCTTGCTATCAGAACGCAGCAGAACAAGAAATTAGGGTGGGCCATCATCCATCTGTGCACGTATATGCCGAGAATCAAATACGTGCTTCGGGCAGCACAGCACCGCAACCACAAAGCCAACAATGGCAGGCAACCCCACACAGTTACAAGCCCACAAGACAAGAATCCACAGCTTGGCCTTACTGAATCTGGCTCCAGTGCCACGACGTGATGCCAACGTCGTCCGTGCTGTGGCTGCCGTCCAGCATGATCGGCTTGTCGATGGGCAGCGAAACGCGCACGTCCTTCCCAGCATCGGCCGTCGGGGCCTGGTTGGACGCTGGCTTAACGAACACGTGCACCTCGGCAGTTGCAGTTTGGTCGGCCGTGTCGGTGACCTTCAGGAGAAACTTGTACACGCCCACTTCCATGTTTGACAGGTGCAGGTATGGACTGGTCGTTCCCTGTGCGAACCACAAGGCGCTTATGAGTTAAGACGCAGATGGTAACAGAAAGCAAACAAGTCTGACATTGTGAGAAACATTTGGCATGATTCCCATTTGCTCGTGCTGTCAAAAGTTATGTGTACTTTTTAGGCACTGTTCAGAAGACCATACAGCCAAAAATCTTGGCATTTCCTAGTTGGTGTATTCTTCTATTTTACAGTCACCGTCCAACTTTTAATATTTCCTAATAGCCCTGAAACTGTCCAAATGGTTCGGTAGTCCAGAAAAACAAGTACACTTGAGCCCCTTTACAAGAGACACTGATGCAACAGACATTTCTGTGGACGTGAAATTGGCGTGCATACATTAGGGTGGGTTGACAAGAAAATAAAAGTGTGTTATGAGAGACATCTCATAAAAAAAGACAAAAAATGCTTTCTGATGCAAGTCTTTTATAAAAGGTTCACCTGTAGTTAGAACTGTAACAAAACCTTATTTTTATGAAGTTAACAATCTTAACGTGAAATTTTAATCCAACGGCACGTAACCATAGGCTTCAATGTTGTCATTAACACGAATTGAACTTGGCTACCAAACATGATTTAACATGGTCTTTTCTGAAATAATTGACCAAAAAAGCAGTTATTTGCATCCAATTTTGGCACAGCTGGATCGTTCTTTGAGTGTACAATTTATTGTTATCGTGTTAAAATATCTGTGTCCCACTCATGGCCATAGCTTTTTTTTTTTTTTAATAAGCCACATGCCAAGCCTATGCACGGTGCAACAGACTTGGCAGTAGGTACCAGTTTTACTATGTTGGCAGTTTAGCTCGAACAAACGCAATCATTCAAAAATAGCAGAATTTGCACACTGAACAAAGCAGTTATGGTGCAGATAAGTCTAACCACCGACTCTGTAAGCAGACAAGAGTCGAAAAACCTCGAAGAACTTAGCTACATAAGATCCGCTGCGGTGGTCTTAATCATATTTCAAACATATCAATCAATCAAATCAAATTGAAGTTAGCTGCACAAGGAACATACCTCCATGTCAACATGCTTGTCCGTGTCGGGGCTTTTGGTCCACTCCCAGCTTTTTATGCCCTTGTCATCAGGTGCTCAGGTTTCCGTTCAGCGTCACTTCGTTGTTGGGCATGTACACAACAGACTGGGGCCCCGCATTGGCTGTTGGTGGGTAATCCATCTCTGCGACCAATGGCTTGTTTGTTAGCATCATGCACTCACTAGTATGCCTGAATGTAGAATAGATAGTAACAGGTAGCAGCTAATATCGGAGACTGAAATTGTAAGACCTGAAGTGATAGTGCTGCATTTTGACTTCATGTACTACCGCTATGTGTGTGTGTGTGTGATACGTCGCCTGATACAATGCCAATTAACACCTAAATTCATCAATTTTCACTACACTGAGGAGCAGAAAAACAAAATGGGTCGGGCTGGCTAACTTTACTGTGACAGCACACTGGTTTGACCGAAGTCTACATTTTTATAGTAGAAAACTGAAAAAAAAGCATGCCGTTTCATTTCAAGCTTTCCTTATTTTGTTGCCTTTAAACTCAGCCAATAAATAGCATAATAACACAGTTGCTCATATAAATACTATTATATACTACATTAATCACTTTTCAATGCCACTACACACAGGTCTTTTAAAACACATCAGAAGTTCACATATAGCCATTGTTGTACATATCTGTGTGAAGTAACATGCAAAACGTAATTGACAAGTGTAATCCAGATTACCCTTTGCCAATGACGCGATCCAAAATACTAAAATCTACACATGCAGTCTTCGTCCTTGTACTAAAAGTTGTCAGTCTTTCTGTTCATCAAATTAACAAGGCTCTCTTTTACTGCTTCTCACAGATTAGAACACATCATCAATATCTCAGGGTCTAAATCCACAAGCATTAAAAACAGTCCAGCAGGAAAATGCGGTGTATTCTTATCTGTTACGCAGTGCGACGTACCTTTAAGAACAGTCACATTTGCACTGGTGGTGTTTGTGACACCGTCAGAGTCTGTCACCTTGAGCCTGAAAAAATGTAATATACATGAATATCCATAGTTGAGTGCAATCCGCCTTTTAGATAACATTAGTTATGCATCATAAACACGCTTCTTGACACATAACAGTTGCCTTCAATATTAAAGATCACGAAAGAAACTCGTGGTACTAGCAACACTGAAGGCTTATGATAATTTGTTTACATAGATATTTCCTTACCTGTAATTATTATAGTTACATACTATCCCAATGCGTACTTTCCGAGTATCACATGTGTCTTCTTTTAAACCCTTCATTCCTCTACAGGATCTGCTGAACTATCTTTTCATCTTGTTTTTTGGGGTCATTTTGCAGTTTTTTTTTTATATGTTATGTGCATATATCCTCTTCAGGTGCTGCGCGTTATAGTGTACACATAAACTTCAGAGGCGCGTCACTCACCGCTTCCACTCAAACCTCGATATAACGAGCCGGGATACAAATAAATGTAAGTTATAACGAAGTGAAGTAAAAATTGTCTTGCGATGGATATAGCGTTAGAAATATACCTTCATAACAATTTTTCGGATGTAACAAGCTCACTTTCTGGTAAGATGCAACGTTATTGTAAAAAGGTTTGAGTGTATTTCTTAGTCGAAGCTTTTACGTCTGCGGGCTGTCACAAAGCGTAAACAGGTAGGTGCCGCTAGTGAAGAATCCCCCCACTTGCCACTACGCCCACTACCACTACTGCCACTCCTCGTACTTCATTGCACTTCATTCAATGCCAGTTCATTCAAATCGCACTTAATTACCAGCTAAAATAATTGGCAAAGCGAAAGCTTCTTTGTCAGCCAACGGCATCGCTTTTTCGTCAATGTCCGCTAAATGCAGATGCTTGAATTTTTTTTCTAGGAAGTAAAGCATGGTCTGTTTTTTTTTTTATTGCACTGATGGTTTAAAAGGTAGTAGAATTAAAAAAAAGAGCAGGTGCATACATGAACTGGTAGAACCCAGGAATGAGGTCTTTCAGCTGGACTGTCGGTGTGTCATTCAGTTTGGGGCTGTAGCCGATTGGAATGGTGATCGGCTCCCAGTGGTACTGCACTATTTTGTCATCGTCTGTGCTGACTGCACAAGAACACGAAAATATATATACGTATATTACGCAGAACGAGACCCAAGAAACAAATGGACCAGGAAAAGCCGCTCGGTAACCAATGTGCTGCGAAACCAGCTTTTCAGGCAGAGTACGTAAGTGAGATGTACGTGTACTACGAATGATTCCACAGTGCTCTCGGTCTTAATAGGCAACGAGAATCATTTACTGATCCTGTTAACTGTCCAAGAACAGCCGAGTGTGCCTCAGACCACAGTTAAATAAATTCTTCTCTCGTAGTACTGAGGAATCACTAGATAAAGGTTGTTGATAAATGAAACATTTAGAAATGTGAAGAAGTCGACAATTGGCACGTACTGTTAATATTTCAGCAATGGACACCAAGCATGCACTATAAGGTAACAGGCAGCCAATCATAAATGTCCATCAAGATTGTAATCCAGCTATCACGAGCCAGACATTACACTACAAAGTGAAACCCCATGTATACAGTCCTGTTAAATGGATTTTATCCTCTGCTGGATAAACGTTTCACGGTCGGGTGTTTCTGGCCTAGACGTACCCCCCAGCGTTGCCATGGTTTCAGTGATATCAAAGAAGCTTGAAACGCACAGAAATGTCGCGTCATCAATAAAGTTGTTGGGTAGGGTGGAAAGAGGATACTACAACCTGATTCGCTGCCGATAGCAGTGTGCAATGCCGCAGTCATGAGAGAAAGTTTTCCCACATTCACCCGGTACTGTTTGAGTCTATTGGAGAGATAACAGCGCAGCCCTGTCAACATGACGCGTCTTAGCAGATATGGCAACAGAATACCAAAAATAAACAACAACGAAAAATGGCAAATCCGTGGAAGATGGCAGAACAACCCTTGTGCCCGTAATCACATGCACGCCACTGGTCGCTCAGCCTAAGGGTAGTTCGCGCGAAATGACCACGCTCCCCCAGCAAAGAAGATGGGTGTGGTTGCTTCTGACTCTTCAATACACGCACCAATGCAGCAAGGGACGAAATTAAGTGCTTCTAGAAAGATTATACAGATGGCGCAACCAGCAGAATCACACTAGATCATGCAAGCTATGTGAAAACGGTGCGAATTTCGGAACAAACAATGGTGAATGTACCGATGCGTCAGTGCCACTGCAAAGGAACAAACGCGAAAACATAGCGGTACATCAGTGGCAGCAAAAGGTTTAACGAATGTGTGCTTTTAGGATCCGCATTGCATCTACAATGGGGTTTATTTAATGATTTTTTGGCTGCATATATATACATACACGAAAACATACAAACACACACAAACATACATACAGAACAAATTTCTGGATGTACTCCTGCTACACAGCTGCCGTAGCCCAGCCACTTACAAGAGCCATCCAAGACAGTGTCCTTGCTGGGAAGCTTGACCGTAACGTTGTCTGGCTGAATGATGGCCACAGGTGGTTTGTTGATTCGTTTTGCTGAACAAAAAAAAGAACAAAAAAAAAGAGAGATAAAAGGCTCATATTTGAATCGAAGTCAACATGGTTTCCACAGACGCTACACTTGGCTGCTAAAGCTTAACCATTAAAGCTAAACATGAAATGGAAGCTAAACAGGAACTGAAAGCAACTATTTATTAGAAGTGTGCTTGAGAAGTATTAGTATAAATGCTGTTAAGGTAGTATTTCTTGCAAAGCAAGTCAATAAAAGATGAAGCAGTGCTTTGGAATTTAAAGTAAGACACCACTACAAAGCCGACATAGCCTTTAGTAGTGCATATGCTACTTGGTGCCAAAAATCTTTTAATTCTGCATGAGACAACTGAAGCAAAAATATGCACCGAAAGTGTTTAGTTGCTCCCTTAGCATGGTCACTTGACATTCAAACATGAAAGCCTATGCAACTCACGAGGCAGAACCGTCACGTTGGTCGTGGCTTCGCCGTAGGAGTTGTTTCCCGTCACAGCGACTCGAAAGGTGTAGAGTCCCTCCCGCAGGTGCGACAGCTTCAGTGCCTGGGTGTTCTGGTCCTGCATGACGCCTGTCTCCTCGCCGTCGGGGTGAGACACCAGCGTCCACTGGTACTGGAACTTGTTCCCTGAAACATAAAATCATTGCCATGACAATCCCATGCATCCAGTTTTTTTAGGCTTGGATGAATATTCGAGGACTTCGAATATTTGAGCGAATATTATAGTACTTGAATTCTTTGCAACACGAACATAAAATATTCTAAATTTAGAAGTATTCTAAATCAACAATAAAATATATACAAACAGCATGCAACCTCCTGTAAAGATGGTTTCACTGCAATGAACAAAGGCTATGCCGTGAAGACACATATCCAAGGCAAGTCTTCATTGCCTCGAAGCCCCCCCCTTTCAAGGTTACAGGAACATATCCTCGCATCAATTCATCATTTTATCAGTATAAAAGCTTGTTGTACCGGCTTATATGCCTTATGTATAGCAAATTTCCAAACTTATTTTACAGGTTATCACTTGCATTCCACCGAAAGTCAAATCCTGCTACTATTCAAAGTTGCTTCCGTTTCCTTTTGAACCAAAAAAGAATTACATTTACGTGTGCCTTAGTTCAATTTTGAATATTGTGCAGGTTAGCTGGGTCATGACAAATATGCTTATTTTTCTTCATAATATGCAATATATACTATCTGAATATAATTAAAAATTATTTGACGAAATCACTACTCATTTTAAATCTAAAGTTGACTAATTGCACAGGATTAACTTTTTTCCAATGCTGGCATTAATTATATCACCCCTGCTATCAAGTTTTTGCACCAGACCAACACCTTCAAAATGTCTTGAACTGAATTTCTCCGAATTTCTGGATCTTTTATCCTTGTTAAATTTAAATCGATAACCACCTGTTTGTATATTAAAGCCATGAGCAAATGGTAGAGCAACTGTTCCGGGAAAGCGCTGGTCCCCGGGTTCAATCCCCAGGTCAGGATGAATTTTTCGACAATTAAAAAGCTGAGAAATCTGTATGGGTTCCCTTGTGGTTTTGTACCACGAACAGGTGGGTGTCTGTTTCCCTATCTTGATTTTTTTTTTCCCCACACCTTGCAATATTCTGCAGAAGCAATTTACATTGTTTTGTTGCTTATTCTACAAAAATTAGGCATTCTTCACCGACAAATTTACTTAGAGTAGCTCAAGCGCACTGCCTCAGAGATTTGATATGTGGTGTTTAACGTCCCAAAACCATTACATGATTATTAAAAACGCTGTAGTGGAGGGCTCTGGATATTTTGACCACGTGCACACAAATCTGAGCACATAGGCCTACAGTATTTTCACCTGCATTCAAAATAAATGCAGCCACAGGGATTCGATTCCGTGACCTGCAAGTCAGCAGCCACTAGACTACCAAGGCTGGGCACACTGCTACAGAGATGTTTCACAGTCCTCTTATCTCTAAGGTCATGCCAAGGGGCCGTGCGCTCTAGCTTGCGCTCTTATCACCAGTGGTGCTGACGAACAGTATTAGCAGCATTTCTTTTCATTTGTTCCTTTTTCTTGTCGAAGCCTACCATAAAAACTGCCATTCTTGCAAGCTTCCTTGGTTGTTTCCACTCGCATTTCAAACCGATACTCTACTAAGTGCACACTATATGAAACAAGGTGTTTTAAACCATCTAAAATGCTGCCACAGTAAGCCCTTAATGATTATTTCTGCAGAATTACATTTCTACGGCAACTTGCAGCGACACTTGCGACTTGCAGTCACTCACCGTCTCCTCCCCCCTTGAGGGCATATGCCGACAGAACCACTTCGTTCTCGGGAAGGTGCAGTTCCTTGTTTTCTCCGGCCGACACAATCAAAGGATAGGGTGTCGTCGTAGTTGGCGAGGCGGCTGCCGCGGCTTTCGTCGAGGACGATGACAATGGAGCTGCAGTGGGCACAGCCTGTGGGTGCACCCAGTGGCACAACGCACAAGACATGACTTAATTTGCAAAGGTCTCATATTTTAACTAAAAATGAAAAAATCTTACTGCAATGTAGTCTCTGTTGAAAACAGTAAAGCTTAAAAAATACCAATATATCCAAACCTGAATTTGTTAGTACAATGAAAAGCTTGTGAACAGAGTATTGTGGCATATCAATATGTCAAATACGAGTTTCAGTAGATATGACGGAAGAATGTAAGCACATTAAAATAAAATATAAAATGTAAAACTATGCAGTTTTACGTGCCAAATGGACAAGATAATTACAAGGCACTAAAACAGTTGAGGGGACTTGGGTCAATTTGAACTACATGCATAAGCGTGCGCACGAGAAAGCAGGGGGAGCCACCCTTTCTATTAACCTATGAGGAGTATGGGGAGTGAAATCTGCCCCATCATTCATTGACTGAGTAGGCAGGGGGGTGCTGCAATGAACCTTGGCGCTCCCCGACGAGAAACCTTGCACACTCCCGTGGCTACATGGGGTTGTTTCATGCGCTTAAAAATCTAAGTACAGTAGATTTTCATTGAATGGAACCTGAAGGGAACCAGGAAAAATATTTCTCGTTCAACAGGCATTCCGTTTACTGAAGATGACCCAGGGTGCAGCTTTGAAGTGTGGAACCCCTCGTATTAGGGCCAACTGTTCCACTTAAGCAGCAACTCCATTGAAGAGATTTTCTTTTCATAGTGTCTGTACCGTATATGAATGTTTCAGCTTTCTGCCCGCACTGAAGTGCAGCTGCCACGTCCAGGAATCAAACCCTGGTAGTTGAGCTTAGTAGTCCAACAATTTAGCCGTTAGGCTGCCTCGCACTTTTTTCAATCTTTATTGTCTTTCTTTCTGGGTCGATCTCACGCTAAACCTATGAAGGTGAGATCATTGATGATAGAGCTCTCAAAAAGTGATTTATCTTGATAAATCTTAATAAGAGTAATTGTTCATTTGTATGACTGTCTCAATGTAGCGTCTCACAAAGAGTAGCCATCCACGTGACTGAACTTTCGAAGGTTCACCAGAAGACGCACCTGGCTGCTAAGGGAGGCATTCTGGGGTCCCGTGCAGGACCCCGAAACCGGGTCCTTGGTGAAGCCCTGCCGGCAGCGGCACGTGCCCGTGCGCCGCCGTGGACCCGACGTGACACACTCCTCGTTCTTAAGGCACTGTTGCACTATCCCGTAGACGCACGTGCGCCCGGTGTCACCCACCACCACCTGATTGGCAGGCACCTTCTGGTTGGCATGCAAAACATGCACGTAGAAGTGAGACTAACCAGATCCACTGAAGTGACGCAACAACTCTTCAATATCTGAAGGTAATATCCCAGCATGTGCTCACTTACACATTCTCCAGATGGAAGAATGACTATTCAGTGGCACTTGAATAGATTGACCCTTTGATCTCAGAAAGAACAACACATGGTTTGTTAGAGCTTCTAATGTGTACCTAGAGAGCTACCAAGCTTTTCATATTCTTACTGCGTTATCACAAAACATTGAAGCTGCAGGCAAGACTACACATAAAAACAGCACGATATGCCAATTAAAGAGTTATGCAGCCGCCATTTTACCGGCCCACTTCAAACCACCGAGATTAACTTCAAGAAGTGTAGGTTAGGTCGTTCGCATGTTTTCTCTATTGCCAGTTATACCTCATAAGCGAGTTCAACATTTCAGAATGAACACTGCTTCATTTGAATGCATAGTTGAAAACACAGTGCAAACTATTCAATCCAAGAAGATAAAGGACAAGTGAATCGTAGAGTTTCGTACCATTTAAATTTTATCCATGCCCCACCTCTGCAGCGCTGGCTAAGTTCGCCATAGGTTCTCACCATGTCTAACCCCGTAAAAAAGCCAACCAAAATGGCTCAGAAACCAACAGTCAAAAAAGTCCACAAAGAACAAAACAAAACCAATTTTTACCAATATACTAGAGCTGTTCAGCGCTTCTTCGGATGAATCCCCATTTCCTTTGGTGTTTTTCCAACCGTGCAAGCTCGGTAACCTGAGAAAATGAGAAATATCGAAGCACCAGTGAGCAAACAAACACCTTCGTTTAATCGCAGAATACTGGTCAAGCCAGCCACTGCAGCAGATTGCACACGGCACGTGCACATTCCGGTGCCCATAAACAACACGGAAAGACGAAAAACCGGAAGTCAAGTAAGTACATAACTTACGTGTCTTCATTCGAGTTTGGCGCTGAGTGGCTAGACCATTCATGTGAAGAGTCGGATGAGCCTTTTTCTTGAAAAGAATGGAAAAAAGATACAAGGATAAATGTTGCAAAGTCTCGAGTATTTGAAGTATCAAAGAACCATCTGGAATCATGACTAGACTCATCATCTTGTGAATGAGCTTTCTAATAAACGCCTTTGCAAGTGTAATAAACAACTAAGTATTAAGAAGACCAGAGAAACAAAAACAAACTAGAATATAAATACAAGCACATGCTATTCTGTAATTCTTGTGCAGATAATCAAGCAAGAAAATTTCATTAACAATCGCCGTGCTAGTCCTCGGAAAACATTTACAACTACTAGAAAACAGCAGACGTCATTCAGTGACCCAACAAATAAAATATTGCAAGGAATCTCCAAAACCAGATGACACACGCATATTTGTACTGTTAAGTTAACAGATGGCAAGACTGAATCTTAGATCTTTTGAGCAGTAGCAGCAAGATAATTGACCAAAAAGAGCATATTACACATACTCGCTCATACATATATATAAATATATATACATGTTTAGACACAAGAAACTGGAAATAAGTATTAAAAAAATATAAAGCTTGTGAGTACCTTACATCAGAGCTCACCAAGAAAAGCAAGCCAAACGGTAATTCACGTGAGGAAGAACCAAGATGAAATGTGCGAGCAGCTCGAAACAAGCCTAAAGACCACAAAACAACCAACCTGAACATGGAGGCAAACAACAACAAAAAAAGAAGTCAACGAAATAATGCAGGAATGTAGGTTCCGCAAGCAAGTCGTGCCAAAGGTCGAACAAAATGGATTGGGTGTAACCGAAAAAAAGGATGTGAAAATAAATCCAAAAAGCAGTGATGCCTGTCACCGAAATGAGGGCCAAATCAGCCGACTCAACGGTGCAGCAAATCAACGAAAGTGACAGCCAAATCAACGGAGAGTGGCAATTCTGTACACAAGTACCTCGTACCGTGAAATGTACCGCAGGTAACAGAACAGACCGAAATAATAAATCAAGAAATGCACCGAAGATCCAACAAATAAATTATTACTACGGTACAACAAGGACACATGCAAAGAATGTCAAACCAGGATAAAAATCCAGCACGGAGATAACATGAAGTGAAGATGTCAACACAGATAAAAAGAAAGCATGCTTTCGATGACAGTGAACGTGTGCAAGCAATGCAATGCAAAGCATAATATTGCTGAATCAATAAAGAACAATGTAAACAAGGAGAAGGAAAACGTGCAAGTTGAAACTGGCCACAAACAAATCGACCCAAGATGAGAAAACCGTGTGGAGTGATTGCCAAAGGTTTCAAAGCCACTGTGCGGTAAGCTACCTCCAAGTGAGGCAAATTTAGTGGTTTACAACAAGAAACATTCTAATGAATAAATAAGAAGTACCGTGTACAAAAAGCATCATATACTTTTGTTATTGTGTTCTTTTTTTAATTTAAAACACAAAAGAGAGGAGACAACATTATACAGGAATTCGCTGTTAGCACTACCGAGATCGGTTGTCCGTCATGCTATACAACCAAAAAGTGTGAATTATAAAGGAATACAAACAAGTCTTTTAATGAGGTGTAGAAAACTTGTTTCTCTATCCAACACAGATATGCCAGGACATATGAACACCTTTTGCTGTCACATCGCAAAATACTGATTAGTGCAAACACGAAAAAAAAACACAAAGGCACATATGAAAGAGTTTTGCAGGGAGTGTACCTTTTTCTGTTTTTTCCCTCTCTCTCTATCCTTTTATTCAATTCCGTGCTGTTTGACAAGATGTACCACCTGGCAGGCACAAATGGACGTGCTGTTAACGCTTTGTGAATTTTTCCTGCATTTTTGCAGCCAAAGTGCATGTCGTTTATCCAAATGGTGTTCAGACTACCAGACAACAGTCTCAGAACTATGCGACAGTGGCTTCCAAACATTCGACCAAGCTCCGCCCACACACGACTGCCATGGAGACTTACGCGGAGGCCGCACTATCACCATAAAGCTAGAGTCAAACTTGGTGCTGGGCCGGCGCTGCGGTTGGCACAGGGCCGCCGAGCGGCACCGGACGAGGAAGCACGAACTGCCGTGCAGGAAAACGAGGTTGCACAAGGCACCCTGCTCGCAGCACGCCTTGGTGCAGTCCATAAGGCTCGAGGCGTGCGCGACCTTGGTGAAGCGGCCCGCGCTGGCGTTGCCCCGCGGAGTCACGTGCCGCAGCAGCGTGAGCTTCGGGAACAGCGAGTCGGGACAGAACCCGCCGCCGTCACCGCCACCGAATTCGTCCTCCTCATCATCCTCCTCTTCCGCGGCCACGTCTTCATCATCAGGGTCGTCTAAAGTCGGGTATGACGATGCACGACAGGGAAAGGAAAAGCAATGGCAAAGTCACCAGCCAGAACATGCTCCTGTGGCGAGCTATGAATTCTGTCGGCACATACATGGAAGCGTTCTGGACCATTGAACAAATCCATGAAAGGTATCAGGAGCATCAGTATTTTTTTTTCATTCAACTGAAAGAAATGAATGAACTAGGAATAGAGTTGTAGCAATACTGTTTGTTTGACAGTTTCTCATCACTAAAGGCAACCATCTTCCCTTAACTTATGTCTCATTTAGAATTCAACTGACACGGTAATTAGAAGAACACTAAAGTGAGACACTCAATCGGACTAGAACGACAATTTATTCTTCGATGACTCTACCATAACTTTGTTAGCATATGTTTATTATCACAAGACAAAATAAAGGCCAATATTGTATATCTTGAAATTACGGCTGAAATTTTGGGCCGGAACTGCAACGCCAGGATGCGACCATGACGTCACAAATTTCAGTTGTTTTTTTTTTTTTTTTCTTTCTGGCCAAGTCGCTCTCAATAAAGGTTGCAAGGTTTGCTGTGTTTTTGAAGCTTGCCATGTCCGACTTATTATCCACTTTTGCTGAATAAAGAAAAATCTGAGTACAATGCAGGGGACACTGTAAAAATCTATGACAAAGCAAGCTGGTGCGAAAACTTCGAGGCAGGGCTGCCGCCAGCCCTTTATTCTTGTGCCTTTCCTTTTTGCACTTTGTCTTCTCCCTTCAGGGGTATTGTTTTTTGTACAGTGTAAGGATGATCTAGTTATACAAGTGGAAACACTAGTGTCTCTTCAGAAGACTGATAATCCTGTGTACTGCAAGCATGCATTTTATTAGCTTGTTAGCGCTGTGCACATTCTCTTGTTTACACAAACACACACGAGTTTACAAAACAGAAGTAACATGTCAGCAATGTTTTCCCGTCGATAGCCCGTGGGTGCAAATACCATAATTCAAATATTTGTTCATAAAAATTGACGACATATTTCACACAACACGTAAGACAGGGAAACGAAGATGACAGGTAAATGAAAATTAAATACTTACTCGCCAAGCTGTCAAATATCAAGATTAGAGATATAAGCAGATGCTTGGGTGAACACTAAGAGAAATATAGATTTACTAAGCGAAGTTAATTTGCTTACATCGCGAGAAGCCATAGAATATGTATAGAGAAGTTGGGAACCAAACAGTACTGAAAATGAAACAAACTGAAATGAAGACGTATTTTCTGCTCCCTGTTTTTCCATCTGTTGCTCATCTTATCTGGTTATGATTATTTCTGCGAATCGTTAATTTCATGTCATCCATCTTTTATGAATGCGAAATTTCACACATTTTATTCATTGATGTTACTGGTTCCTGGGTACATAATTTCGTGTGCTTACATTACATGGGCTTGAACTCATAAATTGTAATGGGGCCAAATGGTTTTGTCACCAATTTTTGTGTGCGTCGTCGTAAAGGAATAGACTGAACTGATTGAGTGGCCAATTCAAGTAATACGACATGCACATCACAGGCAGATCCACCCATTTGACAGTGAAAAAAAAAAGTGCTAGAAAATTAATCATTATAATACATGATTCTTGTTGTTTAAATCCATATTAAATAATTGGAGTGCTTTCTGGGTACAATCTATGTCTTGCATGTGTCCTGCATGAAGCTACTATGTCATTCATTGGAGACTGCATACACATTCAAAATTCTGGCAATGACAAAGCACAGGAGGGAGCTCAGATGTCTTATTTACTGTGAATTGAGAGCATTAATAACTAGAGATGACCCAGTAGATTATTCAAGCTAGCTAGAAAAACCAATGCCTCACTCGCATCTCTACTTAGAGAAGCTTCCAAATACGATTATTTTTACTGTATTAATAATCTTAAAATGGTGTCATGCTTGAGATAAATTTCGCACAAGAAATGTGAAGCACTAGACCGGTGCCTAGAAGTTTAATCGAATGATACGGGACGGCACAGTTAAGAATATTGGAATCTTCGAGAATGAATTGTAAATCAGGTACGTACGTCATGCGACGTGCATGAAAAACGGATCAGAAACTTCGCGGCGATTCACTAATTACGCGGGCAGGGTAGATACATGCGACAAAACCGCAGAGATGCGTTGCAATCAATACACTCACTGTCCAGAGCAATGCTGGCGACAAGCAGAGACGATAGCCAGACAATCTGTAGAAGTCTGCTCCGGCACCTCATGTTCGCCTTGGTCTTGCTAGTGAAAGTTCACATCGAAGTTGACGACATCGAAGCGCTGCAGTAACTCATCAAGTGAGCTCTCTGTTTTGTTCTTTCTGGACAAACGAACGTCCTGCAAGGCAAATCAAGAGCACGTTTAATGAGCGAAGTGTATACTACGTAATCTTAGACAAGCGTAATCAACTTCAACACTCGGGAACTTAACAGCAACGAGACGCCGCAGAGCAATTCTATAAATAGGCACTTTCAAACTGAAACTTTACAACGAACGCCTGCAAAGTCCACTATAAGGTCCACTGTTAAATGAACGAAATGTACACACACGCAATGCAGGACATGCACATTCAATCTCAAGAGACACAGCAACTCAACATAAAGGAAACCCTGCAGAGCATATCCAGACGTTCGTTAAAACTGAAACTTGGGTGTAGAAAAACGAAAACAGAATTGCGTCCGTTTCCTTTGCATTGCGAAAAAAACAAGGGAACATCAATGTGTTCGTTAAACATCACCGAAAAAAAAAATACTTAAGAAGCACTGAAATAACAAAAATACCCACATTTCAAACCATATGGAAATCGGGCGCGCACGCGAAAAGTGTACCAAGGACACGAGCAATCGCACCATTTTCGACACCGCGAGTCATTTTAATTGCGGCAGCCGGGAGCTCGACAACAAACCTCGGATATATGTAGAAGCGGCGCCTCGTTTAAGACAAACGCAGGTTCAATGGTTCAGTTCGCTACGCACGAAGTAAAACAGCGCGATGCAAAAACTGATACGGCGGTGCTACGGTTCACAGGGCTGCTGCGATAAGTGTCAGTCAACGAGAGCGACCAAAAACACTCGAAAAAACAGGCGACAGCAACGATTTATTTCGCGCTGCGTTGCAGCGCTACACACGCGTTAACGCGTCTGCCGTGCAATAGTTTAACCTGAAATCGTTCAACTCACTCGTTATGGCTTAGGGAGCTGAAGAAAGTTCTAGCTGCGAATCATTGAGCTTGACAGAAAAGCGCAGCAGCAGAACACACAGCACGGCGCAGCGCAATCTCTACAGTGAAGGCTTTCCCGCAAAGCTTCTAGCGGCGAATTTTTTCATGATCAAGAGAAGCCAAAATTTCACATTCCTTGATTAGCTGCGGAGCGTGCATTAACGTTGAAAAGGCCCAATTTTTTTTTATTTTATGAGTTAGTGCTCTAAAGCACATCCTAACCATTCCGAGCTTTAATTACGTGTCTCGGAGGTTATGCTTGAATGGTTTGGTGACGTCAAGAGCAATCACGGCTGCCATGCTTTATTTTGACTGAGAACACTTTCAGTGGCATCGACAGCAACATTAGGCAACATGGCAGCCTCCACAAAAGTCTGAACAGCCGCAAGCATTCACACGAAGCGATTGCATTCTTTAGTTACGCGCTTTTTAAAACGCCGGAATAAACACGAAGCCTCTAATCTAATCGCCCAGCATGACTGAGACGTCGGACAGCGAGTTTACAGGTCACTACGCACGAGAGCTCACTCGAGAAGAAGCGGCCAAGCTCGCCAAGGATACGGTTTTGGTTTCAGAGTTCAAGAGGCTCAAACTGGAAGCCGAAGCCCAGAGAAACTGGGACCTCTTCTACAAAAGAAACAAGACTCGCTTCTTCAAGGACAGACACTGGACCAAGCGCGAGTTTGAGGAACTAGCAGCAGCCGGCGATTCGGATTCGCCGGGCGACGGGACTTCGGTGCTACTGGAAGTCGGCTGCGGTGTCGGCAACTTCGCGTTCCCGCTCATCGAGGAAAAGACGGGTTACTACATATACGCCTGCGATTTCTCGCCGCGCGCCGTTCAGTTCGTGAAGTCGCACCCCTTGTACGACGAGAGTGTCATCGCTGCTTTCCAGTGCGACATCACCAAGGACCGCCTCGTTCACAAGTTCCCCACGAGGGCGTCGACGTGGTCACCATGATATTCGTCCTGTCCGCCATTCAACCCGACAAGATGATCGAAGCTCTGAAAAACGTGCACGAAACGCTCAAACCCGGAGGCCTCGTCCTCTTCCGGGACTACGGTTTGTTCGATCAGGCGATGCTGAGATTCGCGCCGGGCCACAAGATAGACACCAATTTCTACGTGCGCCAAGACGGCACGAGGGCGTTCTACTTTTCGGAGCAGTGTCTGGAAAGATTGTTCCTAGACGCCGGCTACGAGGTCGTGAGCAACGAATACGTGTGTCGCGAGACGGTGAACAAGAAGGAAGGGATATGTGTGCCTCGGATATTTGTGCAGGGAAAGTTCAGGAAGCCGAGGAGCCAGCCGAAAGAAAGAATTTTCAACGGAGCCAGCAGCTGATGCTTGTGCACTTTTAATTCTACGGGAATACAAGCACATCAGAGGGTTCGTGCAACGACATTTATTGAATCATAACAAAATACCTGACGTGTCAACACTAAAATTTGATGCGCGGATGTTGATGTGAAACTAATCGCCAGTATTGGTGTCGGCAAAGAAGTGGGTGACCACATCTACTGCAGGAACTACACAAATGAGCACAATCACAGCTGCTCGATATAAAAAAGAGAAGAAAAAAAGTACAGTCGGTTGCATGCCCAGAAAACAGCGGGAGCTGCCCGAGACAACTTATTGCAACTGTGGCACCACAAGACTAGTTGCACCAAGGTGGTTCAAAGAACGCACAGGTGTCTGTGCTCTGGTTTTTTTCAAGGAACCTTGAATTCTTGGCGAATACTATTTGGGACCATCAACACTCTTCTGTATGCACTGTTTTCTTGGGAAACAACACTTTATCATGCGAACTTTCAACAGCAGTCAAGTGTCGCATGGAAATTTATGGTACCCAATGTTAACATCCTTTATTGCAGTCCAAAAACTCCACGAAATGCAGAGGTTCCTCAGCACTCTGGGATACAATGTCTCGCACGTGCCGCAATCCTGTCTTCTCATCTCTTTTTTGTTCTAAATACGCATGACTGTTCGTCAACTCCCCGCTGCAGTGGTCTAGTGACTAAGGTACTCGGCTGCTGACCCACAGGTCGCGGGATCAAGTTCTGGCTGCGACGGCTGCATTTTTGATCGAGGTGAAAATGCTGTAGGCCCGTGTGCATAGATTTGGGCGCACGTTGAAGAACCCCAGGTGGTCGCATTTTCCGGAGCCCTCCAATACGGCATCTCTCATAATCATATGGTGGTTTTGGGATGTTAAACCCCACATATCAATCTATCAATCTTTTCATCGACTAACATCAGCACAGATGGAACTGTCAACACAGCGTTCATGCTTATTCTCATGTGTTTCAGCACGGCACAAGAGGCAACACCTTTGTTTCTTTATATTGAGTAGCCACGGCACAACTGTGACATAAAAGTATCAATGTCTTTTTCATAAGACAAATCAGTACAATAAAAATATATGGACTAGTACTCTAGCCAACAGTCATCGTCTGGCAATAGGCACTGTCCTAACTAGCGCCTTGGCAACAGTACTCACTGTCTACGGCATCGTGTTTTGTTTTCCACCTATTCCAGCTACATTGTTGCTGCTTGTTACTAGAGCAATTGTTATCTACAAAGCATGGGTGACCTAGATGAGTTTGCAGACATTAGCACAATTAAAGGTGCCAGTCTGAATATCTGTGACAGAAAACAATCATTGCATGTCTCTTTCTTTGAACATCACACCAAGTACAAGAAAAAGTAGACTAGGAAGCGGCCATTTTTTAGCATTCACAGTGACTCAAAATGAGCTCACAAACAAACATATGTGAGCAAGTTCACTGGTCCTGCGGCTTGGCAAGATCGCTCGGCTAGTTGGTTGTAAGCTTGAATACTAGGGCGCGATTCTCAACGCATCTGTTTCGCGACTTATCCACTTCAGTGAAGCAAGTACAGTTTCTAAAAACTAAAAAAAAAAGTGAGTCGTTGTGTCATGGAGTTTATGAACACATTGACCCACCAAACCAGCCAGCACATTCCCAGCGTGGAGAGAAAAAAAGTGGATTAAATGTACAGTAACGGGACACTTCAACCTTGCAAGCCTAGACATGCATATGAACATGTTCACATGTTTCAGAACAATGCATAAAATGCATACAGACCTTCCAGGTGGGTGGCTTTGTTAAACCTAATTCAAGGACTAACGTGATTAGTTCATGCACGGCCTTCAGGACGTGCATTCAAAAGTGGATCCCCGGAGGCAGCATCCGTTGCTGTGAAACACATTCCATATTTTTCGTTTTTGTCGAGAGTTGTGAAAGCTTCGCGACGTCAAAAATGACGTTGAGGAAGAAGGATGGGAAACAAAGGGCAGCTCCAGCCAATCAGTAGAGGCCAGTGGATGATCCAGAGGTGGACGCATCGAGAATCATGCACCTGGATGGTGTGGATTCAACAAAGTACGAAGGAGCGCAGATGCATAGGGCAAGCACTTGTTCTGTGCGTCTGTGTTCTTCCTCTGTGCAGTGCCAAATCAATGCCATCCAGTGTTTTAATTCACTGGGCTTTATATAAACTGTATATATTAATCTTTTCTTTCTCTTTTTTGGACAATCGTCAGAGTACATTCTTGAAAAAAAAAAAAAAAGAAACTGTAAACTTAAGGGCTCCTTTTTTTTGTTAGACACAATAATAATAACTAACAAACAATAATGCCGGGGAAAGTATGGGGGATGTTATTATAAGTAATTGTAATGTAAATGTGAAGAAAGAAAAGCGGACGTAAAGGTAACTTGCCACTGGCAGGATCCGAACCTACAACCTTCGAACAACGCGATCGATACTACACCATTGAGCTATGGTGGCACTCATTCCCCCATCCACTTTGAAGGGCATATATGTGCATTTAAACGTGGGCGCGCCAGTCAGCGCCACCTGTTGCCATTACGGTGAGTGTATGTGTTTGTATATTTGGCGTTATGTAGTACGTCATATTATTACGAGGTGGTAACTGACAAACATTCATTTGCATACCACCTCAAGACATCAAGTCTTGGAGAGCAAGTATTATGCTATGAATAAAAGAAACTGTTCTTGAAAAAAAAGGGGGGGACTACTGCACCAGCACGCTGTCATCTCAGTGCATTTCCCGCCAGAGCAGCGCAACACTTTCCCAGAAACTCCAATGTGGCACTGTCACCGGAATTACCGTATCTAATTTTCCTAAACGCTTCGGCAATGTCACTCTGCAAGAACCGCACACCACGTATACCGTCACGTATCACAGACAGCAGTTCTCGGTTGCGGAGGCTCGGCGTTACGCGTATGTCCTCCAACAGCCCGTGGTAACTCGTGAGTGCTACTTTCACTACTGCGTTCAGCCCCAAGGCATCGCCAAGATCGAGCGAACTAGCCTGTGAAGCAGGAAGCGAGAAACTTTCAAAATGGTAAACTTTGGCGTTTTTCCGAATATCCAATTCCACGTCTGGAGCTTCTCGCACATGGCATCGATTCCTGGGAAGTGTTCTTCTGCGGGATCGACTGAATGTACGCCTTGGTTCGATCTTGTGTCTTCGTCTTGGTGCTGGCGTACGAACCTGGCGGCGAGTGAAGCAGACAGGGATTCCACGGTCAGACGAGGGCAAAGCTCTTTGAGGTTCATGACGGACGCTCGTACACTTGGACTTGCCTTGCTGTCATGTTACTCTGAAACAAACAGCGCACAAGAAAGGTTGCACAGTCTTTCACAGTGTGCGGGAAATATCCAATTTTAGAAAGTCTCTTCATCCTACATCACCAGTGCATTGCGTTTTACAATTACAGCTTTCGTGACTGTATTACAGTCGCTCTATAGAATGATGCTGTTTAATATTCCTCAGTGCACTCGATTGCAAATTAATAAATGTGCAGTATCTCTGAGTAATAGCACGGAAGTCTCAAGAGTTGCGTGCACCATTCAGTCAAACCACAATACAATAAGCACTGATATAACGAATTTCCAGTTCTAAGGAAATAAACATTTGCCTAATTACTTTTTATCTGACAAACACATGCTTATAGTGAACGTTGATCACAGGGACTTGCTTTATATTCGTTAATATCTGTGCACAATATTACTTAACATACCTGTTGCCTCTTATGAGCTGACAATGCCTTTCAGCAAAGTTAACGAACATTTAGGTTGGCACGAGACGGTCACACAACATCCAGATTCATCAAAGGAAGGGGGATAGGAATGAAAGAGGAATATTAGACAGCAGGCGAAGGAAAACGCGGTAATCAACAACATTACTATGCCAGAAATGATCACGGACGTTTTGGCGCCACAGACATAGCACATCTGCAAGAATACAAAAACCGGCCAAGCTATCTTATGAATGGCGAATAAAATACAGTGCTGCACCTCTAGTTGCCTATGGAGCTTTCCAGTGGGCTCACAAATATGACATGCAGCAAAATAACTTTTGCTCAACAATGAAGTTTATAGTGCATGAACTGAGACTAAGATGGTGCTGTAAACCTCATCATGTCACACCAACATGCCCATAACTCTACGTTGCTGATCTTGCTCAATATTATGCTGTAGTGCATGCGTCGTGTCGTAAAAAAACTAAACACATGCCAAAACGACTTACATAGCGCCCTCCCAGTACTTGGTGGAGCACAGTGGTGTTAACATCGACGAGCACTGTGCAGTGGTGGTACGCCTTCAGGTGACCTAGTTTGGCAGCTGTGCCAGATATCTGTAGGAAGCGTGGAAACATGGCCACCGTGATGAACAATTCACAACTGAACATCAAGAGGTGCGCGAGATCAAGCCATGCCAGTCTCTGTAAAGAGCACTTGTTTATTCTGCGGTCCTAAACGGTGGCACGTCGTTTTTTCATTCGACTTCCGTACATCACATAATTATGCAACTTCCAATGAACGACTACAAGTAATGCCTCAGTGCACTTTTCTTGTAATATGGCTGCCTGACACTAAAGAGAAACAATGACTTCGTTTAGATTGACAAACTGCACTCTGAGAACTCCAATTCCATATGTTCCGCTATCAGAAGTTAATATTAGCGGAGAAAATCAAGCTTAAAGTTTCATTTTTAAATCTCGCACCAAAATCTTTGGGTGTGATGCAAGAAACTTCAAAACACAATTTCGCTGACATTGGCTCGATAAAATTTTCTGAAATTTCGTATGCTAACTTTATGGCACCCACAGATTACAATGTATTTCATTTTTATCGATTGGAAAACACGTAGGAACCAGTAGAGACCTTCAAAATTTCATACGTCACGGTGTTTGGTGCAAGAATCTCGGTGCCATTGCCTACCTATATTTACTTATCGGATGTTTTTTCGCTACCAAGTGCCGTGTCACGGTTAGGGTGGTATTTTTGGGATTGCAGAATTGTACTTCACTAATACGCGAAAAATAGTTTTGCTCTTTGGTGTCCTTTAACAAAAATGGGCTCCCTATGATACCTTGCTTATTTGCGCTCAGAGAGGTGGCCCTAGAATAATTAGGAAAGTATGAAAAGCCAACATATATTCAAACTCAAATACCCAGCTGTACATCAAAAGGTGCATTTGAGAACCGCAAAAATGTGCAACTTTTATGCATATCATTCCCTACCCAAGGAGCTATTGAGTGAAACCTTGTTCATTTGCTGGTAAGGTTTCTATCTTACAGTCGCCAGACAGTTTTTATACGAACTCCTTTACATTTTAGCTCGTGTTTTCAAATAGTATTCAGGTGACAAAAAAAATTAAATAGTGCTGATTTCAGCACTATTTTCTTACTGTTCTGTTGTTTTCCGAGTCGAATCTGCGCTGCACACACCAAAAAACTTACGGTTCGAACGACACAAAGTTGAGCTAGCTTGTAAGGAAAATAAGGACATGAAAATAAGGTCGTGAAAATAAGGACATGAGAGAAGATAAGACAAAATAAACGCGCATGTATTTGTAGACCTTTTCACAGAAGGCTCCCTGAGCACTACCGGAACCTCCTCTGGGATGCGGCAAAGAGGCATGACCCAAAAACACTGTCCAGGCAGTGGCATTGGCCTTTGTGCAACCAGGCCACAGCTCAAAAGGATGTGTTCATTCTCTCCTGTGAAAAGGTTCATTGTCTTGTTCTCTTGTGTACATCTTTTCATGACTTTATTTTCCATTATGAGAAAAAGTGATGGTTGCAGATGACGAGGAAAGCTCAAGAGCACGGCCAAACCCAAGTCACCTTGAAGGCATTTTGTACTAACACGTTATCTCAGCAGTTAACGGTGCACTGCACACCCCACATTGCCTTGAGGGTGTTGGCGATAAACTGAAGGTTCGCCTTGCAGTCGCAGTTTCGCTTGTCTCCCATGATGCAACAGTTTCGGTTGCCGAGAGCAGCTCCGCTATGTTTTTATCGGCATAATATAAGAGTGTCTACACCCCACCCCCAACCCCTACTATATAAATTCACTTTTGTTCAGTTCTATCACGATAGACATTCGGCCCTAAAATAACTAGCTAAGCGTGCAAAGTCAACATATATTCAAGCTCTAATGTCTTGTTGCAGTACACCAAAAGGTACATATAAAAACCCCAAACATGTGGATTTTTTATGCGTGGTTGCTACCCACGTAGTTATACAATGAAACATTTCGTTCATTTCGCTGCTAAGGTTTGTGTCTCGCATTCGTCGGATTTTCTACCGTACTGGCTACAAACATTGTCAGCTCGCGTTTACCAGCAATGCTAAGGTGACGAAGAAGATTTAAATAGCGCTGATATCAGCAATATTTTCATCATGTGCAGTGATTTTCCAAGGCGACTCTGAGCTGCCTCCGCAAACATCTTGCACCATGAAAGCGACGGTCGCGTATGACGAGGAAAGGTCGTCAGGCTGATACGGGTCAAACCGCGTCACCTTGAAGGCGTTCTGTACGAGCACGTCGTCTCTAGCGTTGATCATGCACTGTACGCCCCACACTGCCTTCAGCGTGTCGGCGATGAACTGCAGGTTCGCCTTGCGCCGGTAGTCCCGCTTGTGTCCCATGAAGCAGCAGTTCAGGTTGCCGGCGTCGTGGTACACCGTGCCGCCCCCGCTGTTACGCCTGGCCACGGCGACACCGAGCTTGGAGGCCGCGCTCAGGCTGCACTCGACCCACGGGTTCTGGTGACGCCCGATGACCACCGCGGGCGCGTTCCACCACATGAGCAACAAGCCCGGCGATCCGGCCGTGAACGCGGACATTTTCGTAGAGCCACTGTTCCAGCGCTAGGTTGCGGTAGATGCAACGCGAGGTGGACACGAGAGCCCTGCCTTGCTTGCCGTCGCCGCTAAGGAACGCCGGCGACTTGGAGGATGAAGAAGAGCGCCTGATAACGAGAACGACCGGCGCCGGAGTCCTCATATTTGGCAATGAGCCGACCGCTAGTGAACCGTCCAAAGTTGGCGATAGCAGCGAGCGTGGTCGCCCTCCTGGGCGCGGCCATTTTGGTTCGACCTTGAAACAGGCCACGTGATACGTGTAGCTAAAAAGGGTGTTTTTTTTTCTTCTCGCACGAGTTTATTCACCCGCAACACAACAAAAAAAAAAATGTCACACACGTTTTTATTCTTTTAAAATACTAAGCTGTTTTTGCTTTACAACTAAGCTGAATGGATGGTTGAATGGATGTAGGTGGCTGTACCCTTTAGATTGGGCCGTAATACTTAGTGAACTAATCCCTAGATTTATCTTTTTTTTTTTTTTCCTTTAAATAGTAAAGTTGGACGGGTACTTTGCAGTGAAGGGTTTAATTTTCACTCGTGCCTTGACTTTAGTCACCAATCAGATAACCTCCTTCTAGTTAAGTCTACCCGCTTAAAGTCTATCTTGCCCTCCCTGTGCCTCAACCCGTGATTAGCTTGTATGGCTAATTGATTGATTGATTTGTGGGGTTTAACGTCCCCAAACCACCATATGATTATGAGGGACGCCGTAGAGGAGGGCTCCGGAAATTTTGACCACCTGGGGTTCTTTAACGTGCACCCAAATCTGAGCACACGGGCCTACAACATTTCCGCCTCCATCGGAAATGCAGCCGGGATTCGAACCCGCGACCTGCGGGTCAGCAGCCGAGTGCCTTAGCCACTAGACCACCACGGAGTATGGCTAATTGAACCACCTAGCGGACATACTGAACAACAACTTGACGCGGAGTGTTTCAACTTTTAACAGCTGTGCGGTTGGATGGAAGGTACTTAATGTGACGAAAGTGCCTGGTGCTACAAGTGGTCACCAGCCACTTTATGAAGGTCCCAACATTTTGTGACCAGTTCGTTCCCTTCCTCGGGGGTTAACTATAACTCAGCCAATAAAATTCTTGCTTCCCTCATTTCGTTTTGCATATCTGTTTTGTAATGCTTTGAATTGCTGTGATGCAAGTTTAGTTCAAGTATGTGCAGTGGCGGCGCAAGGATTCTTCTACTCTGTGAGGGTCAGGAAGGTGGGGAAGTGGTTTGCTCTAGGGGGCTACAGCACCCCCATGTACCCCACTGGCCCTGCTTATGTGCATATTTAGTGCTTAGCACTGCTCTGGTGCCCAAGCTTTTGTAGCAAGAGCAGCAGGAGGTTAGCGTATAGCTGACCACTTGCTAAAAGTTCTTAGCACAAGCAAGAAGTGTTTAGCGTATGGCAATGTTCTTTTAACTTGTCTTCCATTTCAACAAGTGACTAACCTACTTTTTTTTTAAATTTCAGTGCAGCTACTGAATGCCATGCAAGACACTCTGGGGGGCAGTTTCATTTGCACAATGAAAACTAGGACAAAACTATGACTACGGATGTTGCCTGCAGTTGCTTGCCCGATCGACAAGGCAATGGTGTTGCGTGAAACTTCAGTTTTTCCAACGATAGTACCATCAATTGTGTCACAATAGGAAAAGCTGGCCATTCACAGGAGGTGGAAAATAGCCCATGCAACAGCCAAAAATTCTTTTACAGTGTAAACCAATTTCCACAAAATGGGTGGTGCTTGATTAATGCACTCCAAGGATGAACTATTTTTGTGTGATAACCTGCCTGTTCAAGTAAAGAATGGTTGTCAGTATAAATACACTTGACCTTTTGCAAGTGTGTAAATGTGCAAATCTTACTTGTAAACCTATTATTTTGCAAATCAGGTTTTTTCTCAGCACAGCACTGTAGCAAAGCCAGACTCTTCTGTGCGGGCCTAACTATGGAACTAAGGGCAGCACTATTGGGGGAATAGGGGAAGAAGAGGCACTTCCTTCCCGAATTTTCAGCTGCACTCCCTTTGGCTCCCCAAAAGCAGTCAAAACAAAATGCATATGTCCTCTGCCTCATCTCCTCCGCCCCTTTTGTATGAACTTGCTTGTTGTGGGCGCCCCCCCAAGTAAAAAAATCCTGTGGCCCCCTCAGTTTAGAACACTAAGCAAGAAAAAGACACACAATGTCATGCTGCAATCGAATTTATTCTCACCTTCTTCGCATAGATGTGACAGGCACACCTGACGCACCAAGAGCACAGACTGACGGGCCAAACAAAGTTTTGGTATGCACTGATCGCTAAACATTGGCAGGATGCCGAATTATAAAATTCGTTCCTAATCACGAAAGAGGTAACTTCTGCCTGGATTATAATCTTTTCCAGATTGTCATCAGGGTCCTTCACGTTAAATTAGTATTTAATACCGTGGGCACACTCTTCACAATCTTGTGTAATTATTTATCTCCCAAAGCTAGCTCACTACAACCAAACACTGGTCAACGTAGAGGGCTCGTCGACAAGTAGACGAAGTGCAGCCGTGTTGTTAACAGCGGCTTTGATAATGTAAAAACAAAAAAATAATCTAAAAACAGAAGTGGGTCGTGACAAGCTATGCTACACCGGATGAAAATGTCTTTTTTTCAATATCATTCTTTCACCGGGAACCACACCAATGTGTTGGGCAAGTGAGCACCTTATATTCCACTTAAAGCCACAACATTCAACGATCCGTTCATTTCATTCACCAAGACATGCCTGATCCTGTTGGACGTTAACATATGAGCAAGTTCTGATATTCAGAATGTACACCGAATCTGAAGTAATGTAAACGATCATAAGATCAGAAAGGTTCAAACAACACGGATTACGACATAAACATAAAAAATGAGCTTGAAGGACCATAATTGTCGTAGGAGTTCCAGAGGCCAGCAGACTGTGCAATCCCAGTTGTTTGTAGATTATTAAGACGTTATGTTAAATGTTTCGTCTTGCATCTTGAAGATGAGAGGCCAACTATCTTCGGCTCTTACTCAAATATTGGCACAAACTGCATAATAACAGCTTCGTGGGCATCCAAGGTGAACTCGTTGAGCTTGACCTTCGACTGCACCACTTTGGTGGAGTTGGAGCTCTTCACTTCTATGTGTCCGGACTCGGGAACGTGAACTGCTTGCATCCGCAAGGTTTACCGTCACCTGCACGGAGGACACAGGAGACTTATTTGGACGTTCCCAAATAAGAAAAAATATCGCTTCGATTCTCAAAGATCAAGAATTTCAATGCAGAACAAGAAAACTGAACTATTCGTCTTTTGACAATCATGATGGTATGGTGTCACCACCGATGATAGATTTGAACTACCAAAAGCTACAGGGCCTTCATGCTATTGCTTGAAAGAAGCAAAAACATATTCTTGTCTATTTCAGAATGTTCCTAAGCTTACAAGATTGCAATTTCATTATTATGGTGCATATCCTCCCTTATCACCAGCCTGTTTATATGTTCACTGTGGAAGGAACACTCTTCCAAGTGGTTTAACATATATAACCTGCTATATTTCCTATCAAACGTATATCAAGGTATCTTGCAACACGAGAGAGAGAGTACACCTACTCCTCCTGTCTGAAAGTATGTGGTCAAGCAGCCATATAGGTAGTAGACCAGCAACATCAAGTTGACAAACCATTAATTCGAAAAGACTTATAGCCGATCCTACATGGAACAAAGACCTTTTAACGTTCTCCTGGTCTCGGAGGCGTTTGATGTGACACACAAACATGGCTGCCACAATCGACAAGCTGCGGGTGCCGTACCTGCTCGTGGTCCCCGTTGACCACGACCATGTAGCCCGGAGTGCCCTTGCGCACCCGGAGCATGACGAACACCGTGCTGTTGGCACCCAGCACAGACGGTCACCGTGGTGCCCAGCCTGACGGCGAGCTTGTCCCGCAGTTCTGTCGAATGGCGCACCACTTCCAGGTGCGAACTGTTGCTCGACAGCGCCTACAAAAGCAAGACAGGTGGCGTGCTTAGTGACCGCATCCGCAACACTATGCGCCCACTTTGAAATGAGCTTGCAGAGCAACTTTGAAATGTCCCTGACCTAACACAGTGTAGCATATCTACACGATTGCAGGTCGACCTAGAATGGAAAACTGGTTTCGGTTGCAACGTCATTCCTGAAAATAATCTCCGCGTACTCTCCGCAAAGCTAGTTTTTCTGCATAGCTTTCAAGCACTGCTGTGAAGCCGCCGTGGCACATCAAAATATCACTTTGGCTTGTTCAGACTTCGTAAATAAATTTCTTTTTTCTTAATATGTGCTCATGAAGCTTTTTCTTTCCCACGACATTTGGGTCGTCTGACAATCATGTAAATATGGTACATGTTTTGCATACCAAAGCAACAGCTCGCCTATGAGACATTCTCATCGTCATCCTCATCCGTCCATGAAACACAGTCCTCTGCCAATGATCTCCAATTTACCCTATACAGTTGAACCCCTTTATAAGAGACACTGATATAAGAGACAAATGAGTATAAGAGACACCAGTGAGCCTACAGTAAAATATGAATTCACGAGAAAATGCATGCCAGGTACCCTGCTTATAAGAGACAAGAACTGCTGCCCAGAGCACGCCTCTCATAAAGAAGTTCAACTGCATTTTACATGCCAAATAAATTTTTATGTCACTCCATTCAATTTGCTGCTGTCTTTTGTCTGCATTTTCCATCCCTCGGCAAACTTTTTTATCATTCAGTGACTTGTTACAGTCAAACTCCGCAACAAGGAACGACGCTTCAACAAAATTTCCGCTACAAGGAAAAATTCACAATTCCCCGTCAGCAGTCCATAAGAGTCGATGCATAAATATTGTCGCCACAACGAACAATTTTTCTTATGTCGTACCGCTTCAACGAAATTTCACGATGCAATTCCAGGCTCAGATACTTACTGCTATGCAATAAACCCGATCTTTAACGTTTCGATGCATTTTCAGAGCCTGAAAATGCGTCAACAAAGTCTAAAACACGCATTGGCCCCATCAGAAACTGCCGCTGTTCAGCAAGCATGGGTGCCGCCATTGCTTGATAGCGATGACAATGAGACTGCCATGCTTTTGTTTTGCCACTGGCTTGCTTTTGAGCTGCAGACAATCCGAAGCTGAAGCTCAGTCGCTCAGTTCATGTTTTTTTTTCACGCAGCTGCTGGGTGCAACCGCAGAACAATGCCTTTTCTGATGCTTTTCATTATGTTCGCACTTGGCCAGTGTGGCAACTCATCAGAACGGCTGTTCTTCCGCATTATCAACAAAATCAGCTCGCCGTGAGTGATAGATGATAAGAACAGCATAGAAGTCGGCGCTTCAGGATACCCTGCCTCTATTTCGGCGTTGCCGGATACTTCTGACGGCGGACAGCTGCTGGTGTTAACGTGTTAATGCAACTGTTTCATTTGTTCATGAAGGCGGTTTTAGGCATTGTTTTAGCGTGCTTTTCATCATGGCCTCGCCATGCATGGGTGAGAACCATGTCGTGACGCTGCTGGAAAAAAATAGGAAGCAGCGGACACTTTTTGAATTATGAGAATAAACACTCCTTTGTTTTGCTAGCTCAGATCAGCTATATTTTTTCGATTTCACTACACCGAAATTTTTCCCGCACCCCATCAGTTTTGTTGTAGCGGGGTTCGACTGTATTTATGCTCAACTGTGAGCCTATGCAGATGATACTTAAGCATTACTAAAAAGCCGATCTTCAGTAGTATCCTTAGCAAGTCTTACCTGCGCACCGACGACAGGATTGTCTGCTCCTTCCTCAGCCCACGGCATTACACATTGTTTGGCCTGTTGGAAACGAAATTAAGCACTGTTAACAAGGCGCACATCAGATTTCATTCTGCTGAGGAACTGTACACTCAGCTGAACAGGCATAAAACCTCAGCTGTGGTCATTTACCATGGCAGCCAACGTAATGGATATCGATCAAACAAAACATGTTTCTTGTTTACTATGAACGAGACGGAAATGCCTGTTCACTTTACGAAAGCGAATACTTGCGAAAAACTTTAGTTTTCCCAGCAGCAGGACACCAATGTAAAAAATGAAAAAGAAAAAAAACTTGCACATTGCTTAGCACTTCTCTACAATTTGCAGCAATAATTGATACATAACGAACTCGCATGTCACACAAAGATAACTTCATCGCATCCAGAAATATCGCAAGTGCTCCCCTCCATTATTGGAGGCATGTATTTGCAATAAGCGTGAACATCCCCCACCCTCACTTCTTGCCATTTTCGCTCTTTCATCCCCATTTTGGTAACAGTCGGTGTATGGGTACTCAATAATGCATTTCAATAGAAACACGAAAGTGCTTTTTTATTTTTAAGCGCTCTTGTGCTGCCATCTTTGAGTTTTGCTCCATGACCAGGCGAGGGGCCGCCCTGCAAATGTTGTTGAATCATCTTTCATCGTAAAGAGGGCGCTTGTACAGGATTTTATGGTACACAGTCGTCGACCGTCTATTCAGATGCTGAAAATTCGGACATGACCATTTATTCGGGTACCTTTGCGGCACCGCCACTTGTCCCATCGAATGAATGTAAACTCGCGACTGAAATTCGCGTGCCCCATTGTGTGCCGTTTTATTTTTCAGACTCCAGATCGATGATCGAGTGCGGCCACATGACTGAGATTAAATGCCATGACCAGCTGTCGGCAATGTTTACAATATCTTTTTTCACTACAATGCCAGCACTGAAAGGTTGGTATGGCTATGGCTGGAGATTGCATCAGTGTAAAAATGCAAAAATTGCACTTGCCAATCTCTAGGGGTGCGTTTTGGCTACCCGTAATGGCTATTTTTTGGCTTTAGTCAGCAGAGTATCCAGTGAATACATGCTACAGCCAAACCCACTAGTCAAGCCACAGTTGAAGTCTGCTCGGTGTGATGTTTGAAATTCCTGTGCATATGGTACGGACGAAGAAAGGACAGAATCTCGAGTGCTGGGACATGAACTAGCTCAACGTTGTTCCCTTTCGGCATATGAGAGTTTGCTTGTCAGATGTTTCTGCGGCTAGGCCTAATCTGTGTCTTGCTCTCATGCTTGTTGCTTGACAGGCAAAGCCTGATCTACTGAGACGGCTCCGCCGCGACTCCTTCCAGCCATCCATCGAATTGAGGACGGAGAAAACAAGCTAAAATAATTCGCCAGATCGAAGGCCGCCGACCTCATTCCAATGGTGCACGTGAGTTATTGCCGAGCTGGGCAATGATGAGGGTCGGTCAGATATCTGAACCAGTGCAGGTGAACAGCGACTCCGATGAAGCGCTGCCGACGGACACCTCTGTTATCACATGCGGATTAGGCACAGGCCATAACAGCGCCACCACCTACAGCTATAGCGAAACACTGGCTGAAATACAGGCCGACTTGGTCGTCAGCTATCATGCTTGTATGCAGACCCACATTAACAAATTTTTCCGGTCAATGGGCCAAAGAAGATGTTCTTTTCTTCTTTTTTTCTGGTGAATCTTTCTTTTTTCCTGACTCTCGATTATTAGGACCCTTTGCCAGTTCCCGCCGAGTACGAATATACAATCGGTGACTATATTTGTAACACTGTATCTGTAACAGGGCTATTCTTCGTTTAGTTCGTTGTAACAACTAATTTGTCACACCCGTGTTCGTAATATCGAGGTTTAACTGATTTACATTCTTTCCTCAGAATCTATTAACACTATTAATGTCACGTACAGGAAAACGCATTACAGTGAAATCTCGATCCAACAAATCTCAAGGGACCGCTAAAGATTATTTGTTATTTTGAAAAGTCGTAGTGAAATTATTAAAAATTTGCACGAAAATCGTAAACGCAAGCACGTGAGTAGCCTACCTGTGCTGTGTATATATTCGCGATCGCGTCAGGCTCTAATAAGCAAGAAACAACAAGCTCGAAATATTACGGAACCTGTGCGCGTTTATTAAGGAAGAGCGCGATCTCTCCTGATGTGGGCAGCTAGACAGACTGCTGAAAAACGAACACTTAAACGCGCGCATCCTTCTTATGAACTGCGAAGTATTGGCGTTAAATACCAATTCTTCACATCTGATCGCGCGCATTGTTTCAACACTGTCTTCGCACTCACCGCCGTTTCCTTGTCACGGCAAATGGCAAGGATTATTTGGGTCGTCAGCTAAGCTCACATGCATGCTTCGTTGTTACACTGTTGTGTAGTGTTCGAGGGCTATTGAAACATACACAAGTAGTCATCGGTGACTTCATCCCACAGGTCACTCGCGTCGCACTTTTCACTGTTGTAGCATTCCTTTAGTGCTGGTTGTGGAGCTCATCTTGCACGTTCCACCACCAACCAAAGGCTAGAAAACAGCCGTGTAACAAGCGGGCAGGTAAACCTGCCCGACGAAAGCAAAGGCAACAGGGCGAAGCCCAAGGCAAAAAACAATTACCAGGTGATGATTACTGTGATAGGGATATCGCAGAGTTGAGTAGGGCGGGCAGATAAGAACATGTGCAGGCATTCTGATGATGCCGATGATAGTGGCGGGTACGGAGCTGGGCATTACTTTTACAGTGTCGAGTAACTTATTAAAATTGCTATTCGTTATTTTGAAGAGTAGAGGAGATATAAGGGGAATAAAATTCAATACGTTATTCTGAAATATTTGGTATTCTAAAATTTGTAGTAGTAAAATATTTTTACATTAAACAAATGGACATTTGGAGAGGTATTTTTGAAGAAATCATTAGTTTGAGGAAATCGTTAATCTGAGGTTCGCTATAACGAGATTTGACTGTAGTAAAAGAGGTAATAATGCAACACAAGGTGAAGGAACAAGAGGTACACAAAAGAGCGTCCCTGTGCCTTTTGACGGAAACGATGCTCTTTTCTGTACCCCTTGCTTCATACTGTCCGAAACGTGACACATTTTGCACAGTATGAACTAAGTAGCCCCACAGCATGTTTGAGTAACCTGACACGTTAGCATGCTTGTCCTGCACCTTAACCCCACTGCCAGTTAGAGTGCTTGCGCAAGCCGTTTCAAGATTAAAAAAACGCTTACGGGGCACTCTAGAGCGAGCTCGTCTCCGTTGTAGAAGACAGGCGTGCCTTGTACCAGGGCGGCCACCATGTGAAGGCCATCCAGAAGCATGCCTGCACGCTCCTTGAGACGGGAGGAGCTGGCGCTACCCAACTGCACAGACACAGCGCAAACCACCAAACAGTTTCAAGTCTATGTTTATTTACATCGTGTAGATGTGGGCAACCTAGGGTAAAAAGTGAAACACTTTGCTTGAGGAAAGCCCAAGCCCCAGATACAAAGTATACAGTAGACATCATCATCATCAGCAGCAGCAGACAGACTGCACCCACAACAGGTAACCTTTTAAAAAAATATACATACGAAAAAATAAAAGCTGTTTGGTCGTTCGAGTGCACATTTTTAAGAATGAGTCCATACACAGTAGAATCTCGATGATACAATTACGGTTGATCCGAGTTTCACGATGATACGAATTTTAAGGTTGTTTCGGACAGACTGCGTTATATAGAATGCACTGTGATTTGGTGTTATACGAACGGTTTCCCAGACACCGGAGATGATACGAAGGCGCCATTGGCCGCTGCACGCGGGCAGCGCAACGCAGTTGGACTGTGGGAGGAAGGCCCGTTTTCACACTTGGTCTCGAAGTGAGTGAATGCAGCAAAACTCACCACAATTCCCTTCGTTTCGCCGCCTAAAAGTAACCGGAAAACTACATTGCGAGGCCACCGCGAAAAAAAAATTGATCTGAGACCGATTCCGCTTCACGGCTTTGACTGTACCAGCTCAAACCACGTGACCTAAACAACCGGCCGCCAATACAACATGGTGGCAAAAGCTTCGACGGTGGCTCGCTTGAGCGCAATCGGAAACTACTCGTGCTGCACGACAAAGCAACCGTGCTCGACAAGGACGCGTTCATCGAGAGCCTGGTTTCGGTAACGATCGCCGAGAATACCGGAAGTAGAAAGTGTAACCGCAGTGAGTCGGCATGCCCTAAGGTGGCTCGCCTTAGCACAGCCAGCTGAATCTATTGCCGCTCGGACTGTTTCTTTTCAGAGCTTTGCATCAATAACTTGAACTCAGCATGAACTTTAATGCTCAGGAAAATGGTAAAATGCAATGAATTGTTAAAGCGGCGACATGTTACGCGGCGCACAACGAATGTGTACATTTACTACGCGTATGGACGTGGATTTCAGGATGCTCTGGCGTTTTCGCTTCGCTTCACAAGTGTGAATGTTCCAGGACAGATTTTTTTATCATGCCAACTTCGCAGCGCGGTTTTCCAGCTGTGTAGGCAGCGAAGCAAGTGAACTTTTTTTTGAGTAATTTTGTTGCTTTCACTCCCTTTGAGGCCAAGTGTGAACACACCTTAAGAGAGGAGCATGAGCGAGGAAACAGCGGCACGACTTCATCCTTTCAAGCGGCTTTCGTGAGACCGCGAAGACAGAAAAGTTTAAAACAACAAAAAATAATGGACTTTTTAACAAGAACCAGTAGACCCCAATAAATTTCTTATTTATTGTCGTGACCAGCTTAACTTGTTTTGGTTCATGCAAATTTAGTATGATACGAATATTTTGTGTGCTCCCTACAAATTCGTATCATCGAAGTTCTTACAACGAACTACTGATAACAGCCACTTATTGCGCCACTTCCTAGTTTGTTGTAAACGGCTTTGACTGTACTGCTATGAGGAGGAAGACAACAACACAGGGTAGACTAAGGCAGTTGCACTGTTTAAAAAAAACAAAAAAACAAAGAACAAATATCTCACCACAAACGATGGCCACATGCCCTCTGGTGTTACGTCCAGGGTCTCCTGCACGAACCCTCGTAGACTGGCGGCGCCAGGCTTGCCGACGAGCTGTTCGAAAGGCTTGCTGAGCACCAAATCCGCTGCAAGTTCGTCGGAAGATCCGTACAATGGCTTGGCTTCGGATGCCACCTTGTCCACTCGTACACCGAGCACCCTGGGGAGGTCAAAGGAATGAAATATTGTATGTGCAAAGGGAAACACTCGTTTGATAGATGGATTCAACAGTGGGGTGGAAAGCGGGGCCAGCGTTGGGCACATACTGTATCACACAGTAAGGTTTATTCACTCAGACTAGTCTTACACCACTAACGTCACTAATCCTACATCTTCACCAAGCTTCCTGCCCTCAATCAGCACCGCAATACCGCAAGATTATGGTTTTTACAGTGTTGAATCTACCGCAGGAAAACAGGTACGAAATGCCATGCAGGGACAAGACACGCGAACAAACGAGCGCAGGGTGGGGCAGCATGTCAGCCTGATATAAAGAGAAGGACAATGTGTACAAACAGAGCAACACCGGGTGTCGGTCTCTTCTCTGTCACAACATATTGGTGCCAAAACCCGGTACCAATACGTTAATGACTGCGTTTTCCCACGGTAGATTCTATATAAAGTGAATGCTGTTATTAAATCACAAGAAAGGCCGATTCTGGCACCGTAGCTGCCCGCCACCGATGTCCCTAACCACTAGTGCATGAAATTAAAAAAAAAAAAAGACTGAAATGAATAAAAAAATATCGAGGTCAGAATGGGATAAACTTGGGTCCTCTGGATGGCAGCCCAGTGATCTACCAGTGAGCCACACCGGTGCTTAAAACTCCGTTGCAAACTGGCCCTGTGCAGGCTTCATGACGGGTAAGGAATTGCGCTAACATGTGTGATGAATCGTTTTAAAGCAGTACACAATCAGCCGTCACACAGTGCAAATAGTTTGTAACGTTCGGGTGTTTGAATGCTTCAACCCATCACAAAAACCTCAAGCATAATTCATCGTCATCAGCATAAAAAAAGTACACGTTATGCTTTACGAGTTTGTAGAGGGTGCCAGGCTTTTCTGAAGAGTGCAAATAATGGCATAGTGGTTGCTTCGCTACTACACAAAAATTATGATTTATGGTGTACTGGCTACCATGCAAGCGGGCTTGTAGTAATTGCCCCAAGAGTGTTCAAAAAGGGCTCTATTAAGCCACTCATTGAGGAAGAGGAGAATTGAAAGAGGAAGGACAGGGAGGTTAGCCAGTTCTCAGAACGGCTGGCTACCCCACCCATTGAGCTTTTGCTGTGACTATGCCGAGTGTTCCGCGCAGACCTGGCAGTTAGTTTTTTTTTTCCCCTTAAGGGGAGACACGGGTCTTGAAGGCCGAAAAATTTCCGAAAAATCAATTTCTTGAAGTATTTTTTCTAATAATATACAGGGTCTGAAGAAGGTGTTCCTAAAATGCTATTGCCATGTAATGCATATTTGTCGAGTAATTCGGTCTTAAAGTCAGTTTGGTGACCATTACCACTCGCGAAACCACCCCAAAAATGGTCATATTCGACGCTGCCGCATCTGAGAACAACGCCAAGTAGCGCTGCCATTTTGGTCTCATTTGAAAGACGCATTCTTCTTTTGTCTGTTCCTAGAGGAAAGACGCTTTTCGTCCAGCAAAATGCAGCTATTGCGAATAAAGAAAAAACAAATACTCGCACATTATTGGTGTGTTTCTATTACATGGGGCAGTTCCCGGTTCCCAATTGAATGTCGAGAGATTCGTCTGCTAGACAGTGGAGTGCAATCCACAATTTTGTGACGAGGCCTAAGAAGCGACGGCTGCGCGATCGGTGCGATTGCAGGCGGTCATCGAAAGTTCCATACTGCTCATGCATCGGAAAGAAACGAAAGCGGTGTCTGAGAGCATGCAATGTCTTATCAGCAAAACCTTCTGCCGCCAAGAACACGAAAAAACCTGGCTGTGCCAACACTATTACAAACGTGGCTCCCCGATCACGGACGCAATAGCCGGGGCCAACAATCACACGCGAGATCTGCGCGTCAGCACTCACTTGGTTTCCAACACTGAAAAAGTGGCCCTTGAGTGTCGTGCGAGTGACATTCAGAGAGACCTTTCGTTGACATCAGCCACACGACGCGAGCGGTCTGTTTTTCGAGACTCGGAAGCGACCGTGCCGCGACTACTGGAACGCCCTTCATCGTCATAAGCTTAGCGATAATGAATGAACTGCGTCAGTGTATGAAGTGCGGTGTTTGTGGCAGGCCTGGGAGCATTTTGAAGAAAGCTCGTGAATATGGCATCGCCACGAAACTTGTGCTGACGTGTGATGAGTGCGGGGAATCGAAAACTGTATGAAGCTTGCCATGAGCAGGGGGGGATGCAGCGCGTGGTCTGTTTCGAGATCGACGTGCTTGTGGTTCGCGCGAGACCGCAAACGAACAAACTGCGTTGAATTGCATTTTCTTTTCAATTCAAATGTTTCACAGAGATGCATGTACACAAATACATATAAAGGTTACGTGAAAGTGGAAATTATTTTTGCTTCGCAGAAGGCTGCCGGGCAGGTTACTGACGACTGCACGAGCAACGTCAAAAGGCGGTATGACGATCTGAACTATGAAAACCCTGATAACATCTGGCGTGCAATGAAAGAGAAAGTACATGAAAAATGATGATGACTATACTCCTCATGACTTCTAGCATTGTTACTGCACTGATTTACACCTTTGCCTGTCAAATATACATGCTCACTGTGTCCCCCCCCCTCACCCCCCCCCCCAACTACTCTTCTCGTTTTCTCAAAACGTCTTTTATCACGTTTGAGGACATTGCCCACAGTATCTTTTGATATAGTGGTTGGATTTAGATAACTTTTGCAACATTTGAAAGCTTATACAATGATGAGTGCAACAAAACCAAAATATTATGATGTTTATTAAGAACAGTGCTTTACTTAGTAATATAATTAAGATACAGTTTCAGATTTCTGATGAGTCTACTTGCTCAGGCCATAACTCTTGAACCAATGAAGCTAAAAATAAAATTATGGTTTCCTTGCACTCCCTGTTCCTTACAGAACACTGTGATAGCTAATTTGCAGCAATCTTTTATGAGGAAGCTGTCTAAACAGTGGGCAGAATGTGAGTTTATGAAACGGTCAATATTATAAAATTTGGTAGTGACAGCTGAAAACTAATGGCATATTTGTTTCCAGCTGTGAAAAATGGATATACTATAAAAGTTCCATCTCTAAATACTCAAAATTAAAGCACGTTTTTAAGACCAGTGTCTCTCCTTAAAGAGGTCCTGTAGCGCCTTTCCGTGTAATCATTGAAAAATCTCAGTATTGGAGCTTTATAGCCTCAGGAATAGATTGTTGCAAATGTTTGTGAACACGTTAAGAAGAAGCAAAGTTACAGATTTGTTGCGCGCTTTAAGTGATCTCTCTTCTCTCGATTGGACAGGCAGGCTGGAAGCTACACAGGGAGGGACGCCAAGGAAAAAAGAACAACCATTCTAGCACGCTGCTGTGTGCAGACTGCACATTCACCTGTGCTCGGTCTCGTGGGTGCTGGAGTAGTTGCCGAGAACCTGTCGCCACTCCTTCAGCACGCCCAGCACGTCTTGCTCCGTGGCGAAGGTAGCCTGCTTGAGAACCTGAGAAAGAAGCACATACCCCCACGTGAGCGCTTCTCTGTGTTCTCGTTAAAACTGTAAAAATAAAGGCTCAATGAAACTTTCGTTTCATTTAAAAAACTGGTTTGTGACTTTTACGAAGGGGGAACCGATACTCTCGGCCATGTACACGAGCTTCCAAAGTGCCTTGGCTCGCGTATAAAGTGCCCGTAGCAATTTTCTCGTACTGAGTCTTTAAGGGAGGACGTGGCACTTAGAAGTCGAAAATCGGCCTAAAAATTTCATTTTTTCTCTCTCATCATTTTCACGTTCCCGATGCCCTTCCGCACCTATCAGCAAAATTGGACTTCGAAATTCCACTCATTTCTCAAGCTATAACCCATAAAGAGAGCAACTTCGCCCAAGCAGACCTTAAATTGAAGTGTAAACTAGCCGTACTTCAACTACGCACTCCACCAGCGCCATTTTGGTCTTGTTGGAAAGGTCGCGTTTCTAGCTTTTTGTTTTTCTTTGCCAGTAGACAACTATGCACTCTCACGAAAACAAAAAAAAGCAAAGTCAAAATCACGCACAGCGCGTGATTCCGTTGGTTGCTTGACGCACGTGACTAATATGGCGCTTTCCGATTGGCCAGGAAAACTTGCTGGCAGTGTTTGCCGTCATTTTGAAAGCGTATCGCCTTTGCAAAGGTTTCGTGACTCGTAGCGCTTGTGCGTCTCGCTATGCCCGGCGGTGCGAAAAAGTTACGACCGCAGCATCACTTTCGCCGTTCACGGAAGACAGGCAGAAATCCCATTGGTGTTGCTACTGTGTCGCGGGAGCAAACGCCGACGTTACTTGACAATGCTGTCTTGATAACGCTGGCCGCCCGTGTACTGAAGATGTTATCGAGGAGGAATGTGCAAGACTGCTTCCCCGAATAGCCGAAGCTCTGTGAATTATGACCGCGCCGATGCCATTGGCAACGGTGAAGTGCGTGAACACACGAGCCTTCCTGACAGTGCATGCTATGTCGACTCCGGCAGTGTGCGGGTAGACCCTGATGTGATAAATGCCAGTGAGGTTTGCGATGCGCGCGCCCGTGAGACAACCACGACGCTTGATGGTCTTTCGTCGGTGTCGGCAATAGCGCGAAAAATTGAGCGCTTTTCGGAGTCGAGTGGTGCGGCAGCATGGCAACATGCCAGCAAGGCAAGACTCAGAATTCACACGAAAGCCTCCAATCCAGGATTTGGAGTTTGGTATCAAAGGAGCGGCACCCTTCTCTTTTTGCTGTGCAAGCTGCTGCTACAGAAGCTGTGCTGTGCTTCAACACGGGCAATGCCAATACATTTGCTACAATTCTAGAGCAGCTGGACATCACGATATTCAGCAGCACATCCCTGAGGGCTAGGAAAGATTTACGTCAAGTGCAACATCAAATGAAGAGAAGCGTCCCAAAGTCAGAGAAAGCTGGTCAAAAAGAGGCATAAGCATGGGATGCATCCAGATTATGCCCCTGGTGCATTATCATAGGAACTTCTTAGTATTTTTTCAATAAAGGTGTTTTGAAACGTTTTTTTCTCGTTTTCTCAAAGCACCAATTTTAGCACATTTGCCACGTTGGAGGGAAAATAACTTCTGTTCCATTCGAGCTATCAGAATAATTCTTTTTTTGCCAGAAAGATAAATGCATGCAGTATGCAATATGCCTATTTTTAAGGCAATATACACATAAAAAAACTTTTAGTTGGGTTACATGCCTGACAGGTGAAGGTGGCTTGTTTTTCAACTCCTGTTGAAATTGGCCCAGCAAATTGATTTATAGCATATTGCACTCCTTAAACATCTTACATTGTTTCTACACTGCCGCTAATGTTTTGGTGCTTTCTGCTTAGATGCTAATTAGGCTGCAAACAAAGGACCCCCAGGTTTTACATTGATTGTGGAGTACAGTCGACTCCCGTTAATGCGAAGTTCTTGGGAACCGCAAAAAACTTCGAATTAAACGAACTTCGAATTAAGCAAAAAGCACTAAAAACGGCACTTTTATTAGTTTAAAAGCGCGACAGTTTTGAGGAAAAATAGTCTGTCATCTTCTTCTGCTTGCCGAGTCTGGCTGCGGCTAGCAAGTTTTGTAAGAAATACACGTGTCGAAGTGCTTCTTCGGCGTTGTGTTCTTCAACAAAAAACCGCTGCGCAAGAGCAAGACCCGCAGCTACATCGGCAGCCCTCGGTGGTGGCTCATTTCCGATGTCGTCGTCATCATCGCCATTTTCAGGAATGCAGTCATGGGGCCGAACCATCTGCACGATTTCGCTGTCGGTTAGTGGACCGCATGTTTCGACGTTGCTGTCCACAGCGACATACTCGTCAAAACGGACGCCACCGAGAGCGGCGCGAAAGCTGCCGTCGTCGAGCTCATTTGTTTGCACTTCCACTGGCGCACAAGGAGAAGCATCCCCCGAGTTTTCCATGAAACCACAGGCCCGGAAACAATTGGCGATGGTTTCTTCTTTCACGCGGGTCCAAGCTCGCGCTAGCATGTTGATGGCACTAAGCAAACTCACCTCGTATTGCGACGAGTTGTCCATGCACAAAAGCATGCACTCGACGAGATGCTGCCTATACAATACCTTCACATTTTTTATTATGCCCTGGTCCATGGGTTGCAACACGGACGTCGAGTTTGCAGGCAGGTACACAAGACGGATGGCGCTCAAGGCAGGTACGTTCATGTGGGCACTACATTGGTCCACAAGGAACAACACCTTACGGCTTGATTGCGCGAACTTGCGGTCGAGTTTGGTGATCCAGTCCTTAAATATATCGGATGTCATCCACGCTTTTCTGTTCGAGGCATAATCCACAGGAAGCGTCTTCACGCCTTTAAAGCACCTAGGCTTGGCAGCCTTCCCGACCACAAGCAGGCGACACCGTTCTGTGCCAGTCATGTTCGCCGTGACTAGCACTGACACTCTCTCTTTGCTTCTTTTGCCTCCAGAACAGTCGTCGTCTTTAAATGCCAGGGTCTTGTCCGGTAGCAGCCGATAAAAAAGCGCAGTCTCGTCTGCATTAAAAATGTCTGCCGGCTGGTATTCTTCGAGGTACTCGCGAAGCTTGCCCGCTTTCCATGTCAGGCACGTTTCCTCATCGACTGACGCCTTCTCCCCACACACGCTTTTAAAAATCAAGTCGTGGCGATGTTTGAAACGCGTAAGCCACCCATCCGAAGCAGCGAAGTCGTTGATGCCCAACATTTCAGCAAGCGATGACGCTTTTGCCGTGACGACTTCACCACTGAGAGGAAGTTTGTTGTTTCGTGCCTCTCTGATCCAAATCAGCAGTGCTTCCTCCAACTCGGGGTAGGCGCCGGTGCGCATCCGCTTCCGCGATGTCTTGAATTTTTCACTTTTAAACGCACCCAATATTGAGCGCTTATTCTTTATGAAAGTCGACAGCGTGTTAGGCTTAATGCCGTACTTTCTTGCAATGTCTTGTTTGGCGGTGCCTCCCTGGTCAACTTCCTTCAAGACTTTGACTTTCGTCGCTAGGTCTAGCGTTCGGTAAGGGCCACGAGTTGCCATTATCAAACGTACGTCACTACCACAACACTCAAAATCAGAAGCGCGGAAACACGTGTGGAATCAACCCAGCGCGCGGGTGACGCGGTGACACACTCGAGTCTCGACAAAAGTCAACTAAAGAGTCAGTCGATGCCGCCGATGCGATTCGCCAGCGTTAAAAAGATTGCCGCTTCAAGATCTGTGGCGCTGTGGACAGTAGTGATGGCGAAGACACCAGCGCGGTCCGGCAGATGTTTTGGCATATGAAAAGTTCCCCATTTTACTGTAAAATTACGGTCGCGACGAGACTGTCGATTGAAAAAACTTCTAATTAACCAATATTATGGGTTTTTAACTTCGAATTATCGAGCATTTTTTTCTATACGATTGCATGCAAAACTGATGGGACCACTTGCTCATTTCTAATTAACCGAAACTTCCAATTAAGCGACTTCGAATTACCGGGAGTCGACTGTATCTTGGAAACTACTTGATCTATAAAAAAAGTAATTAAAATTTCAAAATCTGCACATCTAAATACACAAACTGTGAAAATTTCGTTCAGATTTCTACATAAATAAAAAAAAGTCGCACATCAAGTGTAGCCTCCCCCATTAATGCAGTCAAACCAGGACATAACAAGCATCAAGGAATTCCTAAAACAGCTCCATATGTTGAGAATTCCAAGTTTTCTCTACAGACATGTAGAAGTCGTAAAATGTTTACCTAAGTCATCATTTTTATTCCACACTTTTTCGTGGAATGTGTATATCTGATCGTAAGCCTTTAGCCTTCTTGAAGGTCTTTCATCTCAGAAAAAAATGGTTGGAGATTCTACAATTTGCCGCAAGACGACTACTTTTCTCTTGGCTGTTGAAGAGTTCCTTACCGCATTGTACAGCTGTGTTTGGCGAATCATACTGAAGTGACCCCCTCTTGATTCGTCCAGCCAAAAACATTGCTAGTGTAACTTACGCCTGCTATTGCAGGAGAGAAGTTTAGAGATTAGCATAAAATACGCTATTGAGATCACATTTAACGTTTTATTCACAAAAGTTTGCAAATTTAAGCTCGAACTGTCATTTGGCATGTCACTTTGCCATTAAACAATTTTTTTTATGCGGGTGTGACTGAGAAAGAAATCTCTTTCTCGGAGTATGAGCATTAGAGTATGACCACAAGCATTTCAACTTATTAAGTATCTTTAAAAATTTTATTCCATCCCAAGTTTGTTGCCACATAACTAACAGGTATGCAGTAGAAGTGCAGGCAATTATTATTGTGCCTAGAGTGGTGTGCTGTTTCTGTTCCCTGAAGTTCATTTGGCAACACAGAACACAAGCAAATGTAGTCAATAAAATAAACACAAAATGTTAAAATTTTCATAACCCAAACTTACAGGCGCATGGTCCAGGTAGGTGTGGCTCACAAGGAAACCACTGACGCCTCGTTCGAGCCAGAAACGCAACACACCCTGCAAGGGCAAACAAAACGCAGCAAGCTTTCCGTTGTGCTGAGGCATTCCTCATCTGCACATTCCGATTAGACACGCACAGATCACAAAAGCAACGCTAAAGGCATCGCCAGCGACGACAAGCACAGCGAAAATGATTACCAGTCGTAGCTACCAAGAACAAGATTCGAAGCTATGCATTGCGATGGTGCCGGGTGAGCATAACGAAAGGTGCAGTAGATTGGTTTCATTCCAATGGGGTTGTTTACAGGGTACATGAGTTTAAGAAAATGGCAGCTATCATTAAAAAAAATTTTTTTTGCTGCCACCCCAGCTACACTAAAACCTCATTATAACAAAGTCACACCTGCCAATAAAATACTTACTTGTTATATATAGAAATTCGTTATAACCATACATTCTTCACTCAGTATCGATGAAAAAAATATTCTTCACTTACTTTGCTATAACCGATAATTCATTGTATCCAGGTTCGTTCTATCGAAGTTTGAGTGTATACTTAAATGATAAAAGTCAATATTCCTATTCCAACCCACCAAAATGAGGTTACTGCAGAAACATATGTTGATCTGTGTTCGTTAATGCAGCAACACTACAAAACACGAATGAAGAACAGCATCCTTTTATCTTCGTACAGTAACTTCACTAAGTTAAGGGGGGGCGCGGCAAGTAAAGTGCCGATTTTGGTCAAAATATGCGATTTTCTGATTTATTTTTTTTCGTAATCTTCAGACCTTCAACTTCCTTGTTCTAAAATATTACAGCGAAACGTGCGCTACAAATCCCGCAAATAGTGTTTTTGCCGAGGCTAGTCGCCGAAAAGTGCAAAAAAAAAGCCCCTGAAACGGTGTTGTTCACGCCGCACAAACGCGCCAAGTTGTTGACCGTGGGCCGCCATTTTGGTAGCTTTGGAAAGAGGAGAAAGCCGGCTTCCCGATGGTCGCGGTCTCGTATTTCGCCGAGTGAAAATAAAAGCGCGAGGAGCAAGTAAAAAAACGAAAACGAAGAACGGCAATTGGCTGCGCGGGTCACGTGGTAGCAGGCGCGACCTCTTACTGGTCAAAGCTGCGCCGCGCACCTTGGCAACCTTGGAAGCGCGAGCGCATCTGCGGCCGCCGAGTCGAGAATCATCCGGCGTGCGCTTCGTTTTTTGCCAGTTGGCTGTTTTTGTGATAGTTCGCGTGCTTTTTTTACCAAGCTTTGTTTACATCAGTGGTCTCTTCTGAGTGCTTGCTCATACTGCGGTGCTATGTTGTCGCAAAAAAAGTTCCGGAGCGTCCACAAGTACGGCAAGCGTCGGAAAGCTTGGAACAAAGGGCAGACGACTGCGGCTGCCGTCCCAGTCGCAGTTCCGAACGGAGCATGCTCTTCAAGCGTCACGGAGCCTCTACTCAGACCCTTCGCTGATTGTTGTGAGGCCGAGAGTGTGGAATGTGCCACATCGTCGTATGTCAGACCGCCGGATGCCGTCGACCGTGATGGACGCTCTCGCGAACCCGATTGCGGTGGCACCGCGTCGGCAGCCGTTGCAACTCCGGGCGTGCGCGCGTCGAACATTCTATCGCGAGTTTCGGCCCAGATTCCGAGCAGTGAAGAAATCGCGCAGCGGGCGCAGACAAGGCGGGATGTTTTGGATGCCGTAGCATCGAAGTCCGCTTCAAAGCGGAAGCTCGAGCTTCTGAACGAAGGCTGCGACGAAAATGACGGCGGTAAGGACTCCACATTCTTCATTGTAAATAAGAAGATGCTGAACGGTCTGCTTTCGTCAGTAAAGTGCAACAAGTGCGACGAAGGGTCGATACGCCTCGAGACTACGCACTGCCTTGGACTCGCGGCGAGGATGGAACTTTTTTGTGACAATTGTGGCATAGTGAACAGTGCGTGGTCGTCCCCGAGGTGCTCCGGGCAACAAAAAACGAACCCCTTTGAGGTAAACGTGCGTGCTTTGAGGGCTGTGCAGTCAGTTGGCAGAAAACAATCTGCCATAAATGACATTTTTTCTGCGATGGACATTTCGCATCGAGCACTGCACCACAAGTCCTACCAGAGACTGCAAAGGAAGTACAGCCACCCTGCCACCACATCAGCTGCCACCCGCATTGAAGCAGAAAGTGCACAGAAGGTGCATGACATTTACAAGGACCTAGGAGGAGTGCCAGGCAACATTGACGTCATTTACGACGGCACGTGGATGACGAGGGGGCACAGAAGTCATATTGGCGTGGGCTGTGTAATCGAGCTGTACACAGGCTTGGTCTTGGACCACTGTGTCCTGTCCAACTACTGCCAAGGCTGTGCTGTTGGCCCCAAGCCTGGTGACGACAACTATGAGGAGTGGCTTGAGAAACACAAGCCACAGTGCCAAAAGAACACCGATGCTAATGCAGGCCAAATGGAAGTAGAAGCAGCGAGGATCATGTTTGAAAGATCGTTTACCAAGTACAAGCTTCGATACATCAATGTGCTCTGCGACGGTGACAGCCGTACGTACCTTGCCCTCACGCAAGACAAGGTGTATGGCTACATGTTGATTAAGAAACAGGAGTGTGTGAACCATGTGAAAAAAAGAATGGGCACTTCCTTGCGCAACCTTCTTGATGAGCACAAATCCAAAGGCCGAGGACTGAGCATGGGTGGCAAAGGCCGGCTGACGCAGGGCCTTATAAAGAAGTTGACGAATTATTATGGCTGGGCCATTAAGAGCCACCCCAACGATGTTCCTGGCATGGAGAGGGCCATCATGGCCACTTATTACCATGTAACATCCACAGACCAGGATCCACACCACGACCTGTGCCCAAGTGGGACTGACTCCTGGTGCCCGCACAATCAGGCATTGGCCAAGGGAGAGCCGCTGCCGCCTCACAAACATAAACTGCCCCCTCACGTGCGAGTGGCACTGCTGCCAATCTACAAGCGCCTCTCGAACAAAGAGCTCCTTGAAAGGTGTGCGCAGGGAAAAACCCAGAACGCTGTGGAGAGTATGAACAGCCTCATTTGGTCACTCCAGTCCAAGAGCCAGTTCGCCTCCCTTCGAAGTGTGGAAAGTGCAGTTGCAGATGCAGTCTGCCGTTTCAATGGTGGCTGCAAGAGTGCGCTGCAAGAGATCACTGCTCAACTGGGCTTCAATCCAGGAGACTGCTCTTTGCGGCGAGCAGCCGAAAAGGATGCCAAAAGGGTGAAGAGGGCTCAAAAGGCGCATTGTTCCACGACAAAGAAGCGCAAAACTGGGTTGCGCTCTACAGAGGCCAAGGCCACAGCATCTCAGGATTACTGCCCAGGAGGATTCTGAGTGTTTTAGGCATGTTGTGAACTTCCAAACAAGAGTGAACTTTCAAAGTCAGTTTTCTCAACTCTTGATTTTCGCCTATGTGCCTTCGCTAGAACATCTGTCATTTTTTAACAAAGACTGATAGAGTCGTTCCGTTTTTTGCACTAGGCTCAGGAGGCCTTTAGCAGTGCAATAAAGCTTTATCTCTCTTCTTACTCATCATTTAAAATTTTTAGAACACATTTTATAATTACTGCGATGTGTGCGCAAAACAACATCCATGTTTTGGAAATTTTATTTATGGTTACAAGAACTAGAAAAATCAACTAATAGCTTCTTTGCACAAGTTGATGCTTTGGGAACATAATAATATGAAAAAATAATTTCATTTAGCAATAATTATCTCTTTAAGTGTGAAGAGCATTAATTAGTATAATTATGCTTGTAACTCAAAAAGTACAAGAGGTATTTGAAAACGGTTTTCATATTTGGAATCCTCACAATCATCCACATACACACACCAAATTTCATCACAAACAGTACATTAATAAAAAAATTAGTTTTACTTGCCACGTCCCCCCTTAAGCTGAACGAAGTTCTTTTCATTTGAAACAGGTCATGAAACAGTGAATTGGTAGCTCTAAACATGCACCTCATATCTTACGCTCACTGTTAGATTCGCTGGAATAAGTAAATGTATGCTCGAAAAAAGAGCAGAAGAGAACAGTCAATTAAGTTTCTAAAACACAAATGAGAAAGCAAGTTTTGTTCATGCCAGTGCAAGAAATGTACTCATTGCTTATGAATTGTGACACTGTTTCTGCGATTCTCTACACGGAAAGATTTTACAAGCTATAATTAACTGACTAAAAGTATGTGTGCCATGATATTTTTCACTAGAAACAGCAAAATAAAGTTGTAACAGTATTTTTCTCAAAGCACAAATTTTGACCACTTTCTTTCGCTTGTTCTGTAAAAGTGGACCTAGGACAGCTAGATCTGTAATTGTTTTTGCACAATGTAGCTAAATGTGCACAAAAAACAATGCTGAAGCTGATTTTACTGAGCAGCTTCATTTTTAAAAATTTTAATATGAAAATGTTTGTTTTTGGTTACATACAGTTAACTTAATTGTGCTGTAATTAGAGAAGTACTCGTTCAATTCTCCATCAGCTTGCAGCGTTGCACTCCTTAGGCTTTCTAGTATCTATACACATGTTAACGACTATGTAATTCTAAGTACATAGATTTTTACGGTTAAGAATGATAGAATTATTTGTTTTCTTGATTTTTCTGAAAATGGCAATTTTGTACACCCTGCATAAAAATTCCTGCAATATATCGGAAACTATTACAGATAGCAAAATTCTTTTTACAGCATGAAGCTATATGTTTGGAGCACAAATTATAGGAAGCAGATTTTGATTTCTCTTGATGCAAGCTTTTAAAATTGGTCTTTTGTGTGACCACACAATGGCCACATTCAGAGCTATGAAGTTTAGTGTTTTGTAAAGTAAAACATGACCCAATCAAAAAAGTGCTGTCTACGTTCTGTAGCTTGTGCTTTCTGGTGTTGATCCCTATGCTATTTGTAAACTTCTGACTGGTTGTTATTTTTATATTGTAGTAGGAACAATACATAGTTATTCTAATTAAATAATGAACTAATGAAGCCACAGAAAAAATAACTACATCTTTGAATCGGGAGAACAAACCGAGTAAGCATGCCAACTTTTGTCACATTTGGTGCAAAAATAGATAAGAGAGCCTTAATACCCATGTCCCCCTTTAAACTGCTGTAGGGTGCCAATATATCATTCAGCTTAGAAAGCACCACAGCTCAGAGAAGGCAGAACACCACATTCTCCTCACACAGCATTGCCGTGTGTTTTAGCCGTTCTATTATGAGTCGGTTGCTTTTTAAGTCTACTAGCAAATAAGAAAGATTATGGAAGCTTTCCTAATCAAGAAAAATTACAACTGCATCAGCCAACGCTTCATCACTAGAAAATGAGCTCTGTCTGAGGCACAAATCTGGAATCAAACTCCAAACGAATTTTAATGTTGCAGCAGGCACAAAGTGATCAGCGCTATACTAACTTTAGCTGTTTTTTTTCCTCTCTCCATTGAGTAATAAGTACCATTTTGAAATCAACATTTGCCTGCCTTTACTGTTCTACCTTCTTGGACACTGTGCACCTATTTCAAGATGTGCAGAGTTGAAACAGTTCTTTTTGCCGCTGCACTTACGGTGAAAAGCTCCAGAGCTTTGGGACTTTTCCAGTTGATATCGGCCGAGTCCAAGGAGGTCTGATGCAGGTAGAACGCCTTAAGTGCAGCATTGTAGGTCCATGCCGACTCGCCAGATGCCATCTGCGTTGTATCATCAGTTTTCAAGCCTTCGCATTGCATAGGCACTTGACTGCCAGAATACACAACGGCATAACGCTAGTGACACCCTGTAAATCAGCATTTGAAACATCATGTCCACGCATGTGTAAATATACGTAGAGCACAGTAGGAGCAGGGCTCGTGTAACTGCAAGCAAAATAATAATGGCACACAGTGTTGCCCAGCCTGTGTCGTTCCTACATAACACAGGTAGCCCAGGCAGCAAGCAAGAGCTCTGGACTCTCTGCCCTAGATAAAGTGTAACCTTGTTACAAAAAAGTGGTTGTAGTGAAGCAAACCGCATACATTGTCATTTTCCTCCGTAACGCCGCTAGTAACTTCTCCCGACTGGTAGTTAACTCCAACTGTCTGCAACTTGTCCAAATGCCAAGCAGCTGTTGGTACTAAGGAATTGGTGGCAGAGCCTTCACTGTACCCATCACCACCTTGTAATGTCTTCTCGTGAGCTCTGTAACACGGCACTCTGTATCTAAAGCAAAGCACATGTAGGTTTTTTTGGGTATGTGAGCCATCCGCATCCCTAATCAAAAGCTCCCCAGGGCTGCCACACTACGTCAGCGGCAGAGACAGATTAACATATTCGCCACAACAGCTATGTAAGAGAAACAGATGGTCCCCTGTTGAGGACACAGCAGAGAGCAATCCATCACGGCCCTACGGAAACATGAAGGAAGGGAAAAGAAAACATTTAGCCTTGGCGTGCCAACCCATTTTGAAGCCAGCAGTGTCGACCCAACACGTGACCTTTTGGGGCGAGATCACGCAATGAACGAAATTTGCCGAGACTTTGGTGTACGGCACCGAGTAGCTCCTAATCGAAGCGCATTCGCTCGGTACAGTTTAGGCCGGGTGACTGATGCAGTTCAAAATCGGCACTTAAGTGAGAACACTAAAACATACCACACGCCCCAGCGTCTTGCTCACCTGTTGGGCCAACGCGAGAAGCTCGCAGCTTTGTAGTGTATTAAAAGACAAGGACAAGCGTAGACGAAGCAACAACAATGTGAAGCCAAAACTCACAACGCCATCCGGGGGTGAAGCCTCGTCACCCTGCTCCCAGATATAAATGTCTTGGAACCCGTCTTTGCCCTCGCTGCTGTCTAGGAACCACTGGTGGTCCGTGCTAGTGTAGGCCGGGTTGATCTCCAAGACCACGTGGAGGTCTGCAACCAGAGTGATGCCATGTCAACACTGTGGAAAGTGTGGTTGAGCAACACAAGGGGCACCCTGAATGATAAAATGGAATTTTTTTTTTCTTTGGCACACTTGTTCGCCTGTCAGACACGACTAAATGAATCCAATAAACAATCAGGAAAGGAAAAGCATAAGATAGACTAATTGCTGTCCGTAACCGAAATGTAGGAGTAATGACGCAGACTGAAATGAATTGCACTACCAGATTAAAAAACCGTGCTTTCCTTTTGTGGGATCCGAACCCACAACCTTCAAATTTAGGCAAGAATTTCATGCCCTGCTTCAAACCTTCAGTTGTTACACAGGCATCTTTTGGTACACTTGTGATTCCTGCATTAGTATATCTCGGATGGGAAACCTCATGCGCTCAACTAGCCAAACTTTCGCCTCAAAACTCATGCTTACGTTCTGCAACATTGCCCAGCACTTAGAGTCCTATGCGCAATTTTTTGGTGCAGTATGGCAGGAACGTCACAAACACAAGCTCAGAGACAGCATCAAGTAGTTGATTTCAGCTCTTCACATATTTTGCATTATTTTTGTAATTAACAGTACCAAAAAAAATTTGTCAATTCTATACCATGAAAACTCAACGATGACGATCAAAATTACTTTTATATATCTCATTTCTGTAGAACGAATCGATGGGACACAAGAAACACACACAATGCAGAGCAGCCTGTTGTGTGAGTGCATGTCCTGTTGAATCGTTGCGCTATACAATGTACTGTGATGCTACACCATCACAACTAGTCTTCAACCTTAGGAAGTCATCATCATTTCATTATATTCATTTAAAAAAAGCATCATCATTTTGTTTTATCTATTGCTTTATTTACTACCTCCTCTGGTCATGTTACCTATGCGACAAATACTACCACTACTGCTACCACAATCACTACTACTTCTGCTACTAGTGATACTACTGCGACTACTACTACTACGGCAACGGCACATGGTTTAACTATGACAGCTTTGGTGTAAAATGGGCAAACGTATAAAGACTGGGAATAAGAACAGCTAAACAAACCTTTCTCCTTGGTAGAGTTCAGCAAAGCTTCCACGTCGGCTAATGTGCCAAGGCTGGAGCGCACTTCCAGATAGTCCGTTATGGCGCCACTTGCGTCCTTGGCGAATATGTCACTCAGCAAGAGAGTGCGCATTCCCAGCTGCTTGATGTACTCCAGCTTGGATGTTAGTCCTGAAGCACACAAGAAATCACCGCACCTTTCTATGTAAAATGCTGCAACAAATGGGGGCAATCGAAACTTAAAAGGGCAAAAAGAGAAACAATGACTTTGTTCAGGTTGGCAAACTGCACCTTACAAGCTCTAATGCCATGTTTCACGATCGTAAGTTCATTATTAGCACAGAAAACTAAGGGTGACATTCCATATTTAAATTTCGGGCTCAAATTTCCACGCGCGATGTCAGAAATTTCATTTTCTTTTTCTTTTTTGTGACATTGGCTCGATGAATTTACTGAAACTTCGTATGCTAGGTCTATAGATGCCCCTGCAGGTGACAATGTGCTTCATTTTTATCACTTAGAAGCTACACAAGAGCCAGTAGACGCCTTCAAAATCTATGACACTGACAGTGTTTGCTGAGAAAAGGTCAAGGTGGCGTCTCCACACGCATTTTTTTCGTGCGTTTTCCCACTTACAAATTGTCGTGTCATGGTAAGGGTGGTGTTTTCGGGATTGTGAAATTATACTTTACTAATACACGGATAATTCGTTATGCACTTCAGTGTCCCTTTAAATACTACATACAATTAATTTTGATTTACATTAAAAGGGTACTGAAATCAAAATTTTCAGTCGATAATTTCTGCGTCAGATGAAAGACCAGGTCCTTAAGAGCCTAGAAGATAGGCTGATAAGCTTAAGCGTGGCCTTAAAAATAGATTACAACACATTTTAAAAGTTAGTTTCGGTTTCTACTGTACCTTGACATTACAATGTAGTACGAGCATTTCGTCACGTGCTCGTGCAAGATATCGTGGCATTTCCACGGCCGCTCTGCTCCGTGGCTTCGTTGCTAATGCACAAGCGGCCATTGTGTTATGTTTTGGTGGTCAACATCACACATCATCACAATTGGTGCTTGAAGTCACCAAACTTTGTACGGTAGCCAGATGTCAAGCTGGTGCAGATGTTAGTAGGTGCAGCATGTGAAAATTGACTTTCAAGTCAAAATAATGTATTTTATCAACATGTGCTGCACTTCACACTTGGTCAGAGCTGTCTTTGTATACAGGAGATTTGGGCGACGGAGTATAATCAGCTTTGAACATTGCTATAAGTACCCTCTTAGGTCACTTCACATTTTTTTTTTTTCATTTTGTTGAGCACTAGCCCGAGAGACGGAATGTGAGAAGAGGACGTGAGGTAGAGTAGCGACCTGCACCAGCGTTCTGTCGCAGGTGAGTGTTAGTGACAAATGGTTTGCATGTTTTGAGAGCCAAATTACCGGGGTAAATTCTCATTTTATTTTTTTATCCCTAAGCAATTACGTAAAGGAATAACCTCATTATATTTATGACTAGACAAAATATTCCAATTAATTTCACCTCTTTATTGGATAACTTGCTGCATGTACTGCAATATCTGTTCTTCAAAAATAAATATGAATGTTAGTAAGAAATCATGGCCGCAATTAGGTCCAGTGCTATATTCTCTGGTGCATATAACAGCTGCGGCTGCCCAAGATTTAATACAGCCTAGAACACCACAAAACTGCTGCTAAATACTATATAATGCTGAGCAAGCGCTCCCCTTACAGTGAAGAATACTCCGATCAGATTTAGAAGGGGGGTACGCTTGCTCAACTGGGGGCGTTTGCTCTACGTTTTACGGTAAGCTTTGCCTGCTTGTACAAGTTCCCAAATGTGAGTCAGTTTCGAACACTTGGCTTCGAAGTTCTTTGTGTACATGCAAATGTTTTTTTTCTTTTTAGGAAACACTAAAGGAAAATACTACTTCATTTGTTTCAATAAATTACCCATCTGCAATGCCCAAAACACCAATCTCTTCACAATCACATGCTTAGCAAGCCAGGAAGTGACAAAAAGAAAATAAATGCAGTTGTGCTGCTTCTTATTAGGAGTTCATGCATCAACCTGCCATAACATCACAGGTTTTGACCCAGTCTGCTAAGAATTAAGCAAATTTTGACAACTGTACTGTGTTCAAACAATGCAAGTTACTAGAATTATTGTTGGACAAATGTGGCCAAAAAATGATTTTGAAGCTTGTTAATCACCTCAACGTTAAGGTGCAGTGGTTTCAGCATGAAGCTCAGAAATAGAACATTATATTCTTTTAATAATCAACCTGTAATTGTGACACTTATTACTGTTAATAATGTTTTCAGAAAACAATTCATCAGCCTAAATTGATTTAATGTTTCACTTGACTGTCCCTTTAAGGGATTACGGCTAGAAAATGCTAGCACACCAATCATTGCATATGCGAACTAGCTAGCGCCCATACTCTTCCGAGTTAACCAGAATACTCTGGCCACTGTTCCTATGCTGCTAACAACCCTGCTACCTTTTTTATAGCATTGCTTTACCATCTACCTTTGCACACCATGGTAGACGTTCTGCAGAACATTTCCCCATGTGTTCCTGCCCGCCGTCATGCCGTGAGAACACAACACTCTGCATGCTGCATACTTGTAGTGCAACTTGTTCGACAAGAAAACACACGGTTGCCCGCGACGTCGCATTTGTTCCTGCCTCGTCCCGAGCTATCATGGCCATGCTGTCCTTGCCGCCGTGCGACGGCAGGACCCGGCCCGACTCACCCGCGATGTCTCCGCGACCGTCCCCGTTGCTGTCGGAGTACGTGTCCACGTCCACACTGTAGACGGGTGAGCTCTGCCACCATGCCAGGCGTGGTGGTGGAGCGCACCGCGGCGTCAGCACTATGATGGCGACGGCGCCCACCAGCATGGCCAGCCAGAGGACCCAGAAGAGCACAAACAGGGTCATGCGCAGCCGCACCCAGAAAGGGTCGTTGGCGTACTTCATGAGCTCCTCCTTGCTCAGGCCAACAAACTGGCTCTGCATGTGAAGGAACGAGGTCAAGTCAAGATACAGGCCTAATGCCTATATACAGGTGGCTGTCTCATTCAACGGGCACAAAGATATCCAAACAGCATTGAGCTACGGCAGGGCCCTGCTTGGCCTGCATGCAGGCTGAATATATAAAGATAAATCTATATGCAAACAGGGACGAATACTCAATTTGAGGTTCGAAGCAAATAGTGATTAGGTCGAATAACTTAAAATTGAATAGTTCCAATAGTATACCACATATCATTAAGAGAAATTAGCATTTCTGTGATGACCCATCTAGCTTGCACAATATTTTTGAGAACTGAAACTAGGCATGTGCATTTGCCACTGTTTTGGTTTGAGGAAGTGGAAGTGAAATTGAACTGTAGAACGATTCCCATAGCAACGGGATGCTAATATGGTACAGTATGGTACGTTTTAAAAGTTACTACAGTCACATAAGCAAATATAACATTCTTTTAAACTTCATAAGTAATTAAATGAGTGGAAGGTAACATGTACATTTAGCCTCGAAGTCTAGCTTTACGGCAGCTCAGACTTCACCTGGGTTGTTGGCTTAGTGGCACGGCACCCTTACAGTGCAGTGGAATCACCTTTACGGAAAAGGGGGGGGGGAGGGAAGGGGTAAACATGAGGTGAAATTACATATAATGGTCCATTGCAAATACTTCCAAGCTTTGAATTCTATTGTGATATTCATTCAAGTATTTTCCAATCCAAACAACAAATGCAGCTAGCTGTCTCATATCTCTGCCATTACAAATTATTCGACAATTAGAAAAAAAATTAAGGAAAAATTGACAAATTTTCGAGTGCCGTGTAAGGGGTCATCGTATGATGCAATTGTATCAAGATCTCGAACAGAAAGCTGACAAGGGCATCCCCACCTCGACACCTTTGATGTCAATCTTGGCATCGCCATTGCGATCCTTCCCATCAGCCTTGCTGTTGGTGAAGGTGATCTTGGTGCCGTCACTCTGGGCCACCAGCTTTTCGGTGACCGCTTCGTCCCTCTCGAGGCCATCCTCGTTGACGTGGGTTGGCTTGTTCTCCATCTCAACAGCTTCCATGGTGCCCGCTTTTTCTCACCAGTTTCCCAAGAAGTATTTGCTGCGAGAAAGAAGCCCGCAAACAGAGGGGAAGCGTTTACACTTGCCGTGTAAGCGTACGAAACAGCGAGGCTGGTTCATCTTGGGAACTCAATGTAGCCTTCTAGGCTGATGATAGGTCTTTCCTTGGCGTATAGAAAAAAAAGAGTCGAACCACAGCCTGTCGCAGACCATTCCAGAATGTCCATGCTCCAGCACCAGAACTAACGTGCAAAGCCAGCTGTGGCCCTTAGTCGCTTGTAATCGGCTTGCACCGCGCCAGGAAACTCAGCGGGGCAGTTGTGCGGACTGTTTCCATGGGTGGGCGTGGCTGATAAGCAATAGCGCGGAGGGTTTTTTTGTTTAAGAGGTTCACTTTTAAGAGTTTTAAGAGCTTCACTTTTAAAGAGAAGCAGATATTTACTGAAATTCTCACAATGAAGCCTTAAGCAATTATCACTTGGAAGAGAGTTCAAGTATCTCGGCACTTGTGAATTTTAGTGCCTAATAATACATCGCGCCGATGTTACGGCTCATAAACAAAGCAGCTAATGGTTTAACCAAAATACAAAAACCCAGAGACACATAACAAGCGCAACATAGCAAGTCACTAACTAGGATGGTCTACTGCTACATTGGATGGTTCTCAAACAGCTTGCTGCAAACATTGGCAGAGAAAAAGTCAGATGAACAGCAATGATTAACCAGAGTTTCACTTATAGCTATCAATATCAAATGAGTTTTACCTGGTTCAAACATGACTATTACATATTTCTCTCAGTGTGCATCTACGTATCTTGCACAATTATGCAATTATACAATAGGTGTACAGTGTCGTACGTCCCTGTTAAAAGCGTCGAGCAAGTGTTGACACAATTTGTAAGTCAATGTCATTACGAGTTGAATGTACTTGCCCCTCACATCTTCCACCTTTTTCTTACGCACAATGTTTTAAGCTAGAAATAGCGCAGCACTGGTTCGCCTGCACTGTGCAAATTCGCTATTGGCCAATAATTTCCTAACTTGGTACCAGCACTTCCAAGTAACAAGTGGACTGTTGCTGCATCTGTTGACTACCGGCTGATGCCGAATATCTACCCCTCTCTCTTTTTTTTTTCAGTTTCAGATCGGAGAGCACTTGTGTCCCTGCAAAGTATTCCGCACTGCACGTGGAAAAAAAGTAAACCAGTTTAACCATCTCCTATTTGCACATGATATGCGTTATTCAAACTCATCTGCCATACATTCATAAATCAAAGCTTCTGTTTTGACTAAGGAATATGTGTTGCATAATCTGCAAAATCGGTTAGTCAAGTGAGCACTGGCACAAAAATTTCGCATCTTGGCCAGCTTTTTACACCCCTCTATAGATGTTTTTTAAGAGAGAGGAGGATCCCCTTACTTTTGGGCTGTTGTATGGGAGCACAAAAGCCGACGTTTCAGGCTCAGCAACGAAATATAGGGGGGTCACGCATGTTAAGAGTTTAGAGAAAACTACGACGTCACACAGACCTTCAGTGAAAAGGTCTATAACCAACTCACTTATTCCAGCCGGAAAGTTGGTTTGCTTGAGCATTCAATGGTTAATTATTTGGAGGCTGTTTTATAGCGCCCAGTCACAGTTTCCGGTTCTGAGAGGGCCGAGTGAGGCATGTACCAGAGTAGTTTCCATATAAACATAGCTGGATACTTGAGCACGCCAAACTGCGTGATGAGCACTGCACTAACAACTCTCATCTACGAAAGCCTGCTTCGTGGGTGCCGCTATAATTCTTTCCAGAACGTAAATATGAGTGACCACTCTAAACATGCACTGCTAAGGCAAGGACGTCAGCCTTTGTGCTCCCGTGCAAGTAGGCCCACTCTTTCCATTAAAAAAAGGTCTGCTAGGAGAGAGCACTTACAAGGGTTGCAGCAGCCAATACAAACTTGCCACGCAGGTGGCAGCTGGTTGTTTACACGAAAATCAAGGTGTATTTCTCATGCAGTGACACGACCCGTATCAACCCAAGGCTGTCCAGGGGGGCTTGTGTCGTCCCCGAAGTCATCATCTCCCAGTTCTGACAAGGGTGGAGCCACCAACTTGACTGGAAAGGTCTCTTAGTCTTTTTTTAGTTTTGTCACTCAGGACTTGAATAAAGTTCTTTGTTGCTATAAATTCTTTGTCAATATTTCGTAGGTACCTGTGTTTCCCCATAAATCTATCCCACAAGTTCTCTCCCCTTCAAAGTTTTGTGTCAGAACTGCTTTTAGCAAATCTGTAACGCGTGTAGTTAGCTGTTACACAAAAGTTCAGTACTCCAGCAAGAGAAGCTCATCATAACCGAAGCTATCGTAATGAGACCATAGCTATACAAGCATAGGCATGCGCAGGTTTCCCCTTCAAGGAGTGGGGCAAAAGTTCATTGCAGTGGCCTCCTTCCTCCCTATAATGTCAATGTATGGGGCTGGCTTTGCAATCCCCTCCCCACCTATGATCAGTCTAACAAAAGTAGCTAAGGCAATATGAAATACGTATGCAAATGAGATTTTCAATTTTGCTTCTTTGATGGCAGATAACTTCTTCAGTAGGTTCTCCATGTAAGCTTATAAGTAACCTAGTTGGTTCGTAATCTTAAAAAGCTTGGAAGCGCAAAATCGACGAGGACAGGAAGGAACACAGATACACAGGACAGGGTTGTGCCCTGTCCTGTCTATTGGTGTTCCTTCCTGTCCGCGTCGATTTTGTGCTTCCAAGTTTTAATAAAACCTAACATTACTTTTGCACCATCTGGAAATAATCTGTGGAGTAGTTTGTTATATATGAATGTTCTGAGACCACAGATATGGTCGCAAGTGTAGGTGTAATGAATTCATAATACTGTTCAACCATCCATAATACTTCCCAGAAAATTCACCTTGCCAGTGAACAAAATTTGCATGTTATATCTGTACAGTACCACAAACCGTACTCTCTTCTTCCTCTCTCACCACCGCAGTGTAAAGGTACTACGCAGCTGTTTTTCAGTTTTACAGCGTCAATTCAAGCGGTCTCGGCTGGCACATGCCAAGGGACGGGTGAAATTAAAATAAAAACGAAAAGCATTGCAGCACTCAGTCACGAGACGGCACTGATTGCCCAAGGGGTCTGCGTTCTGTAACGAGACAATCAAGGATATCTCAAAAGAAAACCTGAACTGATGCACAAACCAAAAATTTTGAAGTTTTTTTTTTTTTTCTCGCAGCACTTAATTCCGTCAAGCTGTCGGCCTCGCCCGATTTACCTCTTAGCAAGCCAAAGGCGTTGACCCTACCCAACTTCTCCGGAGTACGAAGTTTCGTCGAAGTTTCAGTTAAACTTAAGCGAAGTATAAGCCCTCGAAATTCGAGTGCGAAAAGGTCCACGCTGAACAGCGGTTCGCGAGTAATAAGCGTGCGGGGACCCTCAAGTAACTTCACAGACAAGTCCTAACATCTGCGGCCTAGTTAATGTGCAACCCGAGATCGTATTATAGACCGGTTTTGCGTGATCACTGCATGGCATCATCAGTATCTCTATAACACCACGGTCCTGGAGTACACTCACCACAGAAGGGAGATGTTGAAAGCTTTTTAAGTACGATGTTGCCTTGCAGCCAACACGGTGGCCGCCCTGTACCAGTCGGGGTCTACACGTCTGCGGGCCACGGGGACAACCTACGGCCCTGTGGCTTTCAGCAAGCGGAGAGATGAGAGAGAGCACAGAACTTCCAACTACAGTGGGAGAGAGGGACGCAAACGAGAGCACAAGCGACGGCCTGACGCAATGAGCAGCGCCGAAAAGTCCCTAGGCATCTGGACAGGGCATATCATATGCAACCGAATACAACCAGTTAACCGAATCAAATCGCCAACTTTCGTATGCAGATGTGACAGCCGTTAGAGCAGTACATACCGTCAACCATTGTTCGGTGGTTTAATTGTAAAAACTGCACGGAAAAACGCGAAAAAGCTCCCACACGTGGTCGCCCTGACGGAGTGCCGAGATCTAGGGAAACTATAAAGCGGAAACGACCCTTTCAATGTTTGCCTCCCCAAAACGGTGCAGCGTTGTAGATGCTACAGACGCGCCGAACCACCTGCAGCCAAACGCTCGCTGGGCTAGTTCACTTTGAAGGTTTTTGTTCACTTTGCGTAAATAATCAGTGGCATAGCTGACCGTCGTTCATCTTGATCGGCTGGCGTGCATTATTCGATTTCTATTTATTTTTGTGCGAGAACCACTCTGCAAGTTTTGCTACACAACAACACACACGCCTACACCTAGCGCTGCACGCTTTTAGTGGGTGGCGCAACAGGATTCGCATCAACGTCGGTGCCGTTGCTTCTTATCGCTTGTCATTCGAGTGCGAGCCGAGGCTTGCCCTATCAGAAACACTTGTCGGGAGGACCGTCATAAAGTGGTGGTCGGTCTGAGTGCTGTCGGCCAGGGAAAATTTTGCGATTCGCATATGTGGACGACTTGAATTATTTGAACGCTGTGAGCGGGACCGCGAAGTGACAGTTTACAGCGAGTTGTTACCATTTATATCATGCACTACTTAATCGCTTTCAAGATCAATATCTCTAGCGTGAGTGACAAGTACAAATTGAGATGCACTGATGAAAGCCTGGCGCAGGTGCATATTCATTTTAACATTAAACAGATAGTATTCATTAAAAAAAAAAGGCCTGATTGAAACAACATAAATACATCTTGAATTTCTTCAATTACCGAAACTGTATTCATAAATCTCTGCGACTACCCATAAGACGGCTCATATCTTCATCTCTCACATCCCCTAATGTCAAGTTAGCTTCCGAGCTATCACTGTACATATCTGCCACTTTAGGTAGATGGGCCTTTACCATACATCACCAAAAATGACACAAATATGCATTTTTTTGTGCTTCACTAATTCTTAAAATTGTATCTAGAATGAGTCGTATGTCGGTTTGGTATATTGTATTCATGATATGCTGCATGCGTTTCTTTAGTCATGTACAATACATATGTACAGCTACAGTGCATGGACCTGAATTCCGCAGTACAAATACTAGACTCAACCCAGGACATCGAGTTTCTTATAGATACAATAGAGGGAACTCTAGTGTTAATGTCCATGGGAGCTGCAACACACGGCGCTTGAACGAGCATGCCATGGGAATGATGGGTAGTACGCATATTTTTGCCTCTGGTTTTCCTTTTTTTTTTTTTTTTTGGCTCCGTGCGACCTGAATCTGCTTTGTCGCAATACACAGTTTAGCGAAGGTTTAGCAGTTATGCTTCACTACCTTGAACTTTTTAGGCTTACGAATTCAAATCGGGTCATGAGGTTCACAACCGTCCATTCTTTTACTTGAAAAAAAAACAAAAAAACACAGCAATGAACAAAGCCACAAGAGCATTCGATGCCCACAAGTTCAAAGACTAGGTAGGCAAATTTGAGTACTACCCATCATTCCCAAGGCCTCTGAACAATCGCAGTGCCAGAGTCTCCTCTAGTTGATTTCAAGAGACCTATGCCACAGGATTCTCACATCCCCCAATGTTAGTCTGTATGCCTCAAGAGAGTTTAGAGGTGAGTCTTACTCTCTAGTAGCCCAATTACATATTCCTGTAGGTGAGTATCTACCGTTGTAGGCGTCACTCAGGGTACAGGCCGGGGCCACCCCATGCTGGAACAAGCTTTTCAGCACTTTAGTGGTGGCAACAAAGATGCGAGGAGCTTGGATTAAAATCTCAGGAGGTAGCCACCTTAGCTCAGCGGGCATCCATAGGTAGGGAATTCTCAGTATTCCCCAACGAGGAATATTAGGAATTGGGAGTTCAAAGCTCTCCTCCATATCAAGGGGGCTGAACTCCCAAGGGTAACAAGTCTTCTTTTCAGAGTATTCCATGTTTTCTTGGCGCAGCCAATACAAGCCAAGATCAATATAACTGCCACAAACGAGTCTCCATATTCTTCAACAAGTCTGGTGGCAACTGTACCAGCTGAAGCTATTGCAGGTCACTGCAAAATATGGTAGTCTAACACACCCAGATTTCAGCACTGGGTACTTGTTACGACATCATTGGTCTGCTAGTTTTGAATGTGCACTTCTGTTGCAGATGCAGACTCGCCTCACTATGATACAGTTTAACCCATATATATAGAACCCACATGTAACAAATTATTGTGTATATTGAACAATTGTAAAATCCACTTGAATACATTTTGGATGTCTAAAGTATGTAATATATAGAACTCTTGCATGATCTTCAGATTCGATATATCCAGTTTCAACTGTAGTTCGTAATTTCCACTGCTCTTGCGAGAAAATGTGATGTCAACGCTTTTCTATCATTCACCCTTTTGTCTTGTTTTCCAAACACTCGCCCAAAGGTTCAATTAGCATGCTGTACAAGCGCATGCAAAACAAAGTCACCACAAGCCAAAGAACATTCACAAATTTTTTATTAGCGCAATTAACAGCTTTCATGTGAATACACTGGTCATGGGATAAAATGGCACATTCTGAAGGCACAGCAACTTTCTGAAAGCTGCATCATCACAGGGCTGAGCTTTGTACTGAATTATCAAATGTTTTCTTTCTGACTTTTTTTGTTGTTATTGCTTGATGTAGGAGTTTCTTGACAAGCACTGCCAGTAGGCGAAATAAAATGGCACACTCTGAAAACACAGTAACTCTCCGACAGCTGCAACATCACATGGCTGAACTTTGTACTAATCTATATCAAAATTATTCATTATGATTGTGTGTTTTTTTTGTTGCTTAATGTACGAGTTTCACGACAATCGCTGCCAATACATACACAGCCATGAGATAAAATGCCACGTTTCAGTTGCATAAGAGAAGAAACTTGGAAGTTCAGCAAACTTCCCTGCACATGATCGTGCAATAAAATAGCACAATCCAAAGTCAAACAATTCTTTGAAAGCAGCGAGGCGATTAGGGTTAACTTTGTACTGATTCAAGATTCAAGACAAGTTTTCATTTTCGACTGCTTGTTATTGCACAGTGCACAGGCTTCACGTCAAAAAAACTGTCCACACAAGATCATGACATAAAATGAGATGCTCTAAAGGCACAGCGACTCTCTGAAAGCTGCAAGGTGGATGGGTGAATGGGGATGAACTTTGTACGGGTTTACCAGATGTCCTTGTTCTGAAAAGAGGAACAAGCAGATATACTTGCACATTATTATCTTGTATATTAAAAATATATTTTTTATCAGAAAAGATTTAAAACACAGCTGCACAGGGTATAGAGACACTTGGTGCTCGGAATGTCCACGAAGAACGCAAGGCCGTGCAACGTCACAACGGTTCAGTTCGAACATAATGCCACGCACGCCGAGAACGATGCTAAGCTTCGGCCACATCAGCTGTCAAAAGCCTTCTGCAAAATTTCCTGGCACTCTTTTTGGTGTATTTGTCCCACGCCGACCGCAGGGACGCCCAAGTTTGCGCGGCCAGCATACTTCAGCTGGAAAAGAATTGCGACAATTGCGATGTCCAACGTTTTGACACTGTTAGAACCCTTGCGGTACAAAGAAGGGCTCTTGTATGGATTAAAGAATGCTGCGACTACTCGAGAAAGGGACTAGAACGAAAGAAAACGTCAAAGACTGTGCACCGTCTCTCCTTATGCAGGGCCAACTAGCCTAAAATTTCATGTTACCGAAATTCACGTTTTTTAAAACATAGTTGCACTACAACCAAAGAGGCATACAAATAAATTCCGTGGTCTTACATACTAACCGAGCTACATGATTACGAGACATGCAATAGCGAGGTGGGGGGAGATTGTAGAATAGTTTCGAACCCCCCAACGGTTCTTGAACACGCGCCCAAATCGGGTCAGCTTGCCCTACACAAAAATGTGACTGCCAATACAGGTAATAAAGCCCGTGCTATGCCGCCATGGTGAGTGCAATGATAATCAAAGCAATGATTAATACAGTAAAAGCTTGTTAATTCAAACTCAAAGGGAATGATAGAATTGTTCGAATTAGGCAGAGTTCGAATTAGCGGGCCGGCGCTGTAATCAATGGACATCGCACGGCACTGTGCGGAAAGGACTCAAAGAAGTCACCTCCGTACTTGTTACCGTTACTTAGGTGATTTTGTAAACTAAGTTCATGAAGCTTTAACAGAATTGATCAATCAGTTGATAATTAGAACGCATATTGATGCATTCTAATTATCTGGAGTTTTCCCCCCACAGAAATACACAAGGCAGTGTTGGGACCAGGATGTCAGTTTGAATCAACTGCAAGCCGAGTTCGAATTGACAAGCTTTTAATGTACTGACCTATTGAAATGTGCTAAAATATAAGCACAGAGAAATAACATACAGCGGAGAGGTGCTATCCTTTCGCTGTCCTAGTTTTTTACAGTGCCTTAAAACAAAACACCGTGAAACTTTACCAGCTTGTCCAACGAGCCTTGGACAACACTGCGTTGTACCGAGAATCATGTTACAAATGTGGCTAAAGACTTACCCATGTCCTCGTGGCCCATACGTTCAGTGCTTTTTTACGACTCAAAGGAACCTCAACTCAGTTTAGGCAGGTGCGCCTTTTCTTTCAGTCGCCACATCTATGCATTTAAAGCGGCGGTTGCATAGCAAGTCTAAATGTGGCACTTACACGCACACACATAGCCCCAATGCACAATTGTAGCTACTGAACGTAAAACGAAGAGAACGAGCGAGGCGGGCTTCTTCAAAGTCTATTCTCGTAATGAAGCCAACTTAAAAAAACTAAAAAAAAAACCCCAAAGGCGGCTTTTAATAGCGAATTCCATTGGAAGAGCAGGAACACTCACAAGCACGCTTAATAGTGCTTTCTTCAGAGCCGGCGTGTATCAGTGGTCGAACAGGTGCAGGAGCACTATCATCCATTGGTATAGCGAGAGTGCTTTTGCTGTGCCTAGAGCAGCCAGGAGCAGTTTGCAGTGCTATCGCCTGAAAAGCAGAGTAGGCGCAGTACGACGACTCACGTGGCTCTTGAACATCACACCCTCCAAGTTTTTCTTCATCCGGCGAGTGCTGCGGCAGTGCTAGAAACTATGCATAGTTTGACGCCGCTATTTTGTACGGATGGCTACGATTACGGCTTGATGTCTGCTGAATGCATCATTGCACAAACATACTAGGTACTATTAGGATAATGAACGTGTGGCGGACGCGATTTCACGCGTATTTTGCTGCTGCCCCACAGATAATATGCCGGGGCTTGGAATGTTTCCATCACATGGTCTCCCCACTCATCATTCCCTTCACCTGCCCTCCGGGAGGGCGCTGCATTCCAGTGGCAGGTTGAGTGGCCCTGCTCTCAGTGCTCTGCACCCCACTCCTCGCTGCCCTGTCCTTCCACACCAGTTCTCTCATTGAAATTCACCATAAGTGCGAAGCACTTCAGGAGGGTGTCGTATGCTGTCATTGTCGCCTGGCAGAACACAGGCAAGAACCACATAGAGCATAGCCAGCTGTAGCATACTGAGTCTACGCTCGCGCCATGGAGAAGTCTTCTTCATCTTCTTCAAGTGCCGTGATGATGGTTTCAACACGTTTTCTTCCGGTTCTTCGAGCACCCTCACGATAATATTGAAGCAAACAAAACTGCACACGGCATACCCAACTGCAGCATACCGAGTGCACGCTCGTCCCAGAAACACGCCTTCTTCCTCTTGTTCTTCGAGCGCCTCGACGATGATATGAAGTGCAGGCGTTACTACTATGGCTAGGGAGACACGGCAACACAAACCACGCATAGAAAGTGCAAGAGGAAGCAAGCGACAAATAGAAGAGAAAAAAAGAAAGTAAGAAGTTATGTAGAAAAATAAAAATAAAAAAATAACAGAAAAACGGCAAAATTGAGAAAGGCAGGAGAGGAGGAAAGAAAATAAACAGAAGAGAAACGAAGAAGGCTGCCTGGCTCCACACTACTGTCAGGATCGGCACCACTAGGACGAAGCTGCCTTGGTTTTTTTGATACGTCACGTGTGCAAATGCATAGGCTTCTATAAAATCCAGTACCATTTTCGCATGCCAATCAAATACAGGTGTAAAAGTGCAATTAGCTTGCAATTAAAGGGACTGACAACTGCCCAGAACATGAAATGAGACGACTGCACGGATAGGAAGGTTGTCCTTCATAGCGACTCAAATCAGCTATGTTTTTCTCGTAAAAGTGAAGTTATACCTTTATTTCTTCATTTAAAATCAGGAGAATAGCCTGTGATGCCACCTCATGCCAGCCACTTCAATCACCTGATGTGCCCTGTCATGTGATCGTAAACTAGTGTACGCGATCATCAATTCTTCCGTTAGTATTGAAATGTTCGTTTCTTTACAGTGAAAGATATTACTCCATAAATATGTACATATATGCCTGCATTAGTAGTACGCATTAAAGTGGCACTGCCTTCGCATGACTGTAATAATCCCATGCTCGGCAGCACGTCTTGAGCAACTGTTCTGCGTGCTCATGAAACTGTGCACACAGTTTCCAGGTCGCTAAGATTTTGGAGCGACGTGGTTACTCTACCTACAATTCGTCTCCGAAATGACGTGTACTGCTACTTCGGCACGGCCACGCATACGCACAGTGACGTTTTCGCCGACTTGGCTTGACTGGTGCGTCAAGAGAGTAACGACGACGGGAACAAGCCATCTACGACACAAGCGCAACAATCTTGCGCGCAGGCGCACGCAGCGTGGTACAAATACAGAGAAGCTGAATAAAGCCACATCGACTCATTGTAATGGATTGTTACTTTTCAAAAATAGTCGTAAAGCTCAGAATAAACGTGGTGAAGCAGACTTACATCAACTCCTGCGACAGCAGAATAACGACTGCATGCACAAGTCGCTAGAAAGACTACCAGCATCGAATCAATTTTCAGCATTGCTGGACAAAAAGGCACATTCATGTTAAGAGCCTTCCAGATGGAAAAATACTGCTTATACAATAAGTACCTGCTTTTGGGATTAACTACTGCCGCTCCAAACACTACGAAGGGTAAGTACTTGTCGCGCCGGGAAAAACTGGGCGAAAAAAAAAAAAAAATCGGTTGTCGGTTCCTTTAACCATTCTCACAACACATGCAAACTCCAACACACAGAGCTGAAGATTTCCAGTTTGTTTCACTACTAAAAACAGTACAAAAAAAAAAAAACAACGAAGATGCGAAGAATGAATCATTGCTGTGTCTCGCCATTTTTTTCGTGCTGTTTCCAGCAATGAAACATATCAAGCAATCTAAATCCCAAACCACGGTTCCTGGTTCGTTGGTTTACAATGAGCCCAAACTAAAGTTATCCTTATAGAACAACTGGGTTCATCCCATTGGCATTAATACTATGTATAGTTGAGCTTCTCGGTAGTAAGTAAACGAACAAATGCTGTAGTGAATTAACACTTGAAATCTTGGTATAAATGTGCTACAAGAATCGCACTGTTAGGCCATGGTGCCCAGGGAAATGCACATACCTGTCTCCCCAGAATATTCTGGACACGTGGTTGAATGAAAGACCATGCGCCCATGTTTCTGTGCTCCTCCTGGCACCAAAAGAACTCTGCAGAAGTCACCATTAAAGAATAGAGTTCTAGGTTGAAGAACAGGCCTTAACTGTATAAACCAAGATGAACAAGTTTTTTTTTTTCTTTTTGTTCATATCATGAAACATAGAGGGTCTGTTGTTTTATCTGCCATACTTAGTGTTGCCATGCCATGTATGCCAACCCTCCCTAGCCATATAGCTATTTCGAGGATTTCGAACAGTTGCACAGTTTCTAATGATAAATCGACCACTCTGGAACATTTCTACTCATGCCTAAACATTTGTATTTTAGGTAAGTATGAAAGAAAATAGAGAAAGGGGAGATTCAAGATCAAAACAAAGGTAATTGTCATTCCAAAGGACAGTCAGACAGACATAACAGTCTCAGGACATTGTAGAATAATTAATGTTTACCATAAAATTACAAATAATTTGTATTATTTTCAATTAATGTAAAAACCTTTTCATTTAGAGTTCAAAAGTGTTATATTGCCTACAACTAGTAAGTACAAGTGTGTGAATATTGGAGTTTCTATTTCGAATTGAATAATGCCAAATTGAATAATTCTATTCAATTTTTGAATGGCTAGCATTTAAAATTTTGAATAATTCGGCAGGATAAATATCCAGAATGCAACAAAGGCCAATGGTGCAGGTTGGTTAGCGTGGGGCAGCTATGCTAATACTAACATCGTTACAGTAGGCCTTTCGTCAAAGCTTTCACCATTATCTTGGTTCAAAAGAGAGCGCATATTCATCCTAGAAAAGATTATGTAATTTCAGCAAAAAAAAAAAAAAAAACTATGAGAAAACTGTGTAGCCGATCACAACTTTGCTTACGAAATGAAGGCACCGACTCTTTGCATAGTTCGGTCGCGCATGCGGTAAGTGCAGTAACAACTCCAGACTTATGAAAAGTTATGTTGTACAATCACCACAGCTAAACCGCAACACTTGTTAAGAAACTTTCACCGTCTCTGAGCGCAGTTAAAATGCTGCTGTGAATGGCCGCCTAAGGTTTTTTTAGGCCCAGAGTACTCGAGAAGATGAAGCGCCACATCGCCCTTGTCAGATGAACCATATTGCGAGATCATTGGGAAAAAGAGAAACTAGCTACCATACCCCCTCTGTTAAAAATAATAATAATAACAATAATAATAATAATAATAATAATTACTGTTGGGGTTTATCATCCAGAACCCCAATATAATTATGAGGCAGGCAGAAGGCCCGGCAACTTCGACCACACAGGGCTAGTGTAACCCTTTCAGTGCTTTTGCCAAGTATGTACGATGGCAGTTTTCTGTCCTGCGGTGTCCTTGCCGTACAGTATGTTCTTGACCCTCCGCTTGAAATTTCGCGTCGTAATGATGATGCAAGCTCACTGGGATGCGCTGCCACCTTTTAGTACTTACAAACAGCATAGGAAATTATTGCAATACCTTCTGTGAACATAGGTAAACAGTACTGATTTATAGTGGCAACGCATAGAGTGGTCTGGGGCAACGGCCTTTCATAGCTTCGGTTATCGCCGCGTGATCGCAACAGAGATGTGTGAACTTGATTTTAGTCTTTATCTTTACTCCCTTGCTGATGATTTCTATCTTTATTGGCACTGCACTTAGCTTGTTTATCACTGACACACGTGCCGTATTCTCGTTCTTCTTGATATTACCAAGCTTACTTTGCCCTAGGCAGCCACACGCGGAGAAGATGCCATGTGTTCGCTGGCTCAATTCTTTGCCCAAAGAGAGGACGGACACGCATGTTATGTGTGCAGAAGGCGATAAGGCACTGTGCATAGACCCCTGTTTCAAGGAACGCCATGCTTGTAATACTTTTGAACGTCATGCAGCTCTGTGTAATGCCGACGCCAAAAAACTGTACTGTCATTTCTTTCTTGCAATTTTGTTCTGACTATGCGCACTTTCTTCGTTAAAAAACAGAGTAAAGTAATTTGACCATCTGGGAAAGTAAATTTGACACTCAAAGAATTAACATGCACTTCTGTCCACATACACGGGCCTCTCGCGTTTCGCCTCCACAAAATTGCGACCTCCGCAGCCGGACTCAAACCCCCAATTTCAGGGTCAGCAGCAGAGCACAATAACCTATAGCACTGCAACAGTTCTGACTGTTCATTATGTGCTGTTGCCAAACACTGTTGATATACCCATGGTAACAAGGAGAACTCTGCATAAAGATGAGGGACCAAGAATGAAGTGCATTACATGCGTAACCTCCATATTTTGTTTTTTGTTTTAATTTTTGTCGTGGTTACATCATGTTTTGGTGATCAACACAACCAACCTCATCTTGTTTGTGAATAACATGTTAGAAGAATACCAATGTACGTACCTTTGGCCTGAGTGTACTTGGCAAGCTCATCTGCAAGCTCTTTGGCTGGGAAGGGGCACAGAGCCTGCAAAAGAGGTTATCCTCATTTGCCATGTTGGCAAAGCAAAGTACGTACAAGCTTCGTTCGCTCAGAGAACACAGTACTCCACAAATATTGCTTTCCAAGAAGGAGATTTTTTTTTACGCGCCTGTGCCCGCCAATATTAGCACCGTTTACAGTAAACTCTTTCACGCTACAGCCTTTTTGTTTATCACCATGCAAGTTTTGAGACAATGTCTACATAGGACTGTTCACTCTTGGAGACCTAATCCTTATCAAGGGTATAACGAGTGAAACAAACGGTAAACCAGTGGTATCATGACTTTGTCAAGTGTCATTTGCTGTGTGCCACCTTCAAAAACTGTACAAACTTCAAGTTTGTGCATCCGATCACACTTTTCAAATCATCCCCCTCCCCCCCCATATGAAAAAAGATAGCACACTCAAACCTCAATATAACCAACCCAAATTTAATAAATTATCAGTTATAACGAAGTGAAGAATAGTTATGTCATAAATAGAATGTTAATATATAGTTATAATGAATTTCTAGACAGCGAAATATTTTCCTGGCAGATGTAACTTTGTTGTAACGAGGCTTAATACAGCAAATCGAACACAAAACGCTCAAGTTCCGATACCTCCAGCCGGACGATGGCAGTGTCCTCGTCCCTGCGCAGCTCAGTCCGATGCTTGGCCAGCGCGTAGTAGTGCTTGCCACTGCACAGCAACACTCTGCAGGCGTTTAGCCTGGGCTGCGGGTCTGAGAGGACGGGCATGAACATTTTTCCGGGCGCCATGTCCTCCAGGGTGGACGTGGCCTCGGGGTGACGCAGTAGAATCTTTGGAGAAGCCATCACCAGGGGCTTCCGGAAGTTCCTCACCATCTGCAGATTTCTGCACATTAAGCTTTCACTTCGACATAAATTGTTGCTTGCCCTTAGTGTCCCTTCAAATACTATCCAACTACAGTGAAATCTCGGTATAAAGAACGTCGGGGGCCGCGGCGATTCATTCGTTATTTTGAAAGGTCGTTATAGCGAAAGCCCAAAAATTAACTGTAAATACTTATTTTTCACAGACCAAAACAAGTCACCTTCAAAATGGTGGGTCCTTGAACTCGCTTTTCACGAGAAAAAACAAATGAACAAGTGAACACTAAAAAAACGCCCGTTTACTTAATAAGTCTGCGACTTTTTTTTTTTTTTGATGCCTGCAGCAAAAACTTTGCAGCGCGAAGGTCTCCAGCTCCTTCACATTCCTGTGGTGCGTTTCAGTGGTGCGATCCACTTTCTCACTTAGTGAAAACTGCTTCCGCTTTTTCTTCGCAGGCAGAGATGAACTCATAGTAATAGCACTGCAGTGGGAACGCCGACTTGCTTTGCGGACGTGATAAGTAATCACCGAAAAAAATATGAACATGACTGACAAGGCCTCCAGAAGCACATATAGAAGTGACAAAGATAAGAAAAACCTGAAGCAGTGGTAGGTGTTCTTTGCCCGAAGCGTATGGCTGTCATCGCCTATTCCAAAGAAAACAAAGAGCAAAAAAAAAAAAATTCTCGCGTTTCGCTTTCTGCTTCCTCGTTGTTTCAGGTTTCCCGTGACCATGCTTGCTGCTCCGCAACTCCCACTGCATTGCCGACCTTGCCCTCCCATGTTGCCCTCTCCCCTCGACGCTTGTAAACCTGCAGCATTGGCGTTTCAACAAAAGAAAGAAAAGAAAGTCGTCCTTTCATTTTTTTTTCCTTCTCCGCACCATCGCGCGTGTTCCGAAAAGCAAGGCATCCCTTTTTTGTGTCATCTGTTTGCATACCGCTCCGGTCGTTGCTACGGATTTCAGAACATGAGTTTGTTGTACTGAGACGTTAATATAAGGCGGAACTAAATTAGTGCTCGTTATTCTGGAAAGTTTGGTATTCTGAAGTACAAATTAGTGAAATAATTTTCCATTGAAACTATGAACAGTCGCCACTGGATTTTTTTAAAAGTTCGTTAATGTGGGGGTTCGTTCTACCGAGATTTCACTGTATTGTAGGCACCACCTTTTACACACTGACATGAAGAAGACAAAGATATACCTGCACGATGATTGAGGTTTTCCATTTCATTTAAGTTGAGTGAACGTTCTAGTCTTTGAAACCCAGAGGAATAATACTAAAGAACTTGAGAGCAGACTGAATATTTTAATATATCAGCTTTCTACAGATAAGTTTTAATTTGCTTTGCAGAAGGTAGACCTGCCATGACTGAAAGGTGGTGGCCACGTAAGCACTGTGTACCAAACATGCTAAACTTTATTTTAAGCGTTGATTGATTGATTGATTGATTGATTGATGAAGTCATTCACTCGGCCTTTTTTGAGGCTGTGGTAGCAATTGGGACATTACAAATGATTATGTGCCAGCTTGCAAAGAAAAGAAAGTGCAAACACCAGGAAAACTTGTGACAGCACCTGTCTCCTCAGGAGGTGGAAATACTGAGCCGGTGTCGTTGGGTTCACAAAGCCAAAGTTGATGTCGTCACCGTCCACGGCATCTTCCTTGCTGTCAGTCATCTGAAAAGCACAGTGGCAAGCTTGAGCCACTTTGTGCACCGAGCTGGGTGACCGGTGTGGGCAACAGAGATTGACAAAACGGTTTTGGTGAACTTGTACTTAGCTGCCGTAACTGACAAGGAGTATGTCAATTTTCAGAATTTATGTTTCAGAGTGCCTAAGGGACAAGCTACAGTAATAAACTGATGAAAATAGGAGTAACCCATTCATTATTACCAGGAAATCATAGAAGTCTCTCTTCCTAGCTGTCTTGTAGCTGTTAAATTTTTGCGGGTTTCAGTAAGAGAATATTAATGCTGCTTTCTCACACGCTCAATAATGTACAGTGATGCAATAAGTAGTAATACTGCATATTTCAAAATGCTATTAGCAAGGATCAACATTTTGCAATTAGTCTACAACTACAAGAGTTTTTATTGCTGCAATCAGCACAGTTGATGTTGCTTTTCTGTTTAAGCATCGGCACATTTTCAAAAATAAAAATAAAATTACAATACACAGAAGTTAGCAGCGACACACTCATAATTGGCGCACCCCCCTTGCCGCGAAATTCCGACAAAGGACGGTAGCAAGCTAGAAATCTAAATTTTGGAAAAAATTGTTCAGTCGTACCTGCAGGAACCTTTCAATACGACATGAGGAGTGTTCAGGGCCAGCTCCATCAAAGCCGTGTGGCAGCAAGACAACCATCCCACTCTGCAGGAACCACTTGGCTGAAAGCCACATAACATGAACGATTTTTCCGTTCGTTTATACTCGGAACAACCCCCAACTGATAGCATCATTTAAGGTTGGAATGAAGAAAAAAAGTTATTTTAAATGGTGAAGTTAGTTTTGAGCAGTTAACTTATCAGGGACACCCAGTTAATTTATTAGAAAACATTTTCATGGATGCTTTCGTTTACTTAGAAAAAAACTTGCAATGCAGCCACTGAACGCAATAAGATAGCTTTTCTCTGTCCAACACTGCGTTTGATGTGCAAAGTTTGATAACTCGAAAAAGATGTTTTCAAGGGGAGACTACTGTAGGAGTAAATTATAAGCATTTTCAACATGCTACAAGAACGTTTTAGTTTTGAATAGCACAGGAATTGCACTAATTCATTATGGTATTACCTTCAGAGTCAGATATCTTTTTATTGTTTCTTTTTTATCAGAATTGTAATCTACATGCCAAGAAATAATGTTAAGTTTTCTTTTTTCTTTGAACTTAAATGGTGACTAAAATATGTTTATTTAAACTTTTCAGAGTTAGTAACTTATCCCCTGGAAAAGTGTAAGACTAAGTTGAAGCCATAATTCTTTTTTTATCACTACATTACTTCCTCTTCAGTGTAGCTTTACAAGGTGGCTTCGGCAATTGAATTTCCCTTGTCATAAAGACTATCTGAATGCAAATCACATTCATAATTCACACCCCTGTTCTTAAATGTTACTAAATTATTAGTGCGAGTTACATGTGAGATTTATACGATACTGTCGCGACGTGAAGACAGAGGTCGTACTAAGCAGATAACTAAAGCAGTAGCAAGTTGGTTTCCTAATTACGGCACGCCACAGAATTCTTTCTTCTTGTTACTGCTTTCTATAAAAAGCGTGCACGTGCACGTCTGCGCTGTCATTGTCGTCTTCCTCGTAACAGCGCATGCGAAATTGGCCCGTTTCTGAAGGAGACATCATCCCGATGTGCAGCTCAAACGTTTTATCTTGATGTGCAGCTCAGATGTTTTACTTATAAAAGAGTACACCTATGCACTGGCAACCACACGTCTAACGAGAGATGTACAGGCACAGTTTCATGCGAACAACATGCACGAAATACGGGTGAATGCATCCGGCAACTGGAACTGTGATCACTGTCGGTGAATCACTTCTCAGTTAACGTCGTCCAAACGTCGAGTGACTCCGTGTGGCCCAAAGCATCGCCTTAGCAGCTTCTCTGAAAGTCCACGTTGACGTATTGGGATCCAGTCCCATACCTCGTTGGCTGGTGGGTAGGTGACAAACTTGTGTCGTAGGTCGTACCGTTTTGCATCTTTATGTTGCTGGTGACAAATGCATGCCTGGCCAAGTTGTCGGGCTTCCTTGGCGCGCTGAATAAATTCTTCGGAGCTGGCATTAGTGTCGTCACACTCGAGCGGCCGCATGGCATCCAACGTTCTACTGACTTCGCAATCGTGGATTAAATTGAATGGTGTCATTCCAGTAGTTTCCTGCCGAGCGGTATTATAGGCAAAGGTCACATAATGCAAGATTTCATCCCGGTTATGTTCTGTGTTGACGTACATGCAGAGCATGTCTGCGAGGGTCTTGTGTGTTTGCAATATGCATTTGAAGACGAAATTCAGATACAAATAAAGGACATCAAGAATTGATAAGACTGCAACAAAAAGTAAAAAAAAAACCAAAACAAAATAAATAAGCACCCAAAATTTGTATTAAAAATGAATTGTGGTATGCCACCCCATCTTGCAAAGGCAGTCTTTGTATAAACAATAAGCTTGTGATTTATAAAAGAGGGCTACCATGTAATTCAAGGTGAAATTTAAAAATGCCCCTTGTCAATCAAAGTATTACCACAGGTAAATTGCATTTGGCAGAATACAGCAGCGCTGTCCATGTTTTGCTTGTTTGTATGTTCCTTTAAGCCTGCGTAAGACCAAAAAAAAAAAAAAGCTTGCAAGGGTGCAAGTGCGATACCATACTAACCTTCACCGGATGTAACGAATGTGTCGATCACCACTTGCGCACTGTTGTGGAAGTCCCCGAACTGGGCTTCCCATACCACCAGGGTCTTTGGGGTTTCCAGACTGAAGCCATACTCGAACGAAAGCACAGCCTCTTCTGACAAGGGACTGTTTACGACCTGCACAACAGGAATACTTTTACCCAGAGAGTTGTATCGTTATATTGTTGGGACAGCGAAGAATACAGCAACTTGAAGAGCAAGGTAAACACGCACTTCTTTATATACTGATCTTTTGCCCATTGACGCAAAGGAACATTCACAGTACCATGGTAGCTGTGAGCTTAATTAACGGTTGCTGAATCAGAAGTATAGGTGAAATTCTCCGGCTCCTTACAGATGTGAAATTTTGCACTCCTGCACAACCACTGGTGTCCATGTTGGTTATAGAACATAAAACGCTATTTGTACCATACATGTGTCTGTATAAAATATCGTAGGCAATTACATTCAAGGACTCTCCGATGCATGGAGGTGTGTCATTTGCCGAGCGATGGCTTAGTAACATTTGTTGGCCAGCATAAAATATATATATATATATATATATATATATATATATATATATATATATATATATATATATATTTGGAGGCGACATATACTGCAGTTCTCAAAACACCGGTGATAAAGTGTTATTGGCCCAGTATATGTGCACCGATGAGCTATTTTGAACGTTGCAGGCTGTCCCTGCTGGAGGCAAATTTCCTTTACGTCCACTTCAATCTCTTCAGATGTACAGCAAAACCCCATTGATTTGAAGCCCTTGGGACTGTCATAAAAACTTTAAATTAAGCGTGTTTTTTAAATTAACGAAACGTACAAAAAAAAGCGATGCAAAAAACTTTGCTGTGCTTCACTGCAACACATTGATGGCACGTTGGCAGCATGTCACCTGCTCCTCGCAGAGCGTCAGCACGTCCTGAACATTTGCCAATTCGTTTTGGTATAAGAAATTTATAAATAGTCCGTGTGAAAAACTTCGCGATGTGTTTTGGCTGCAAAACATGATCATTGAAGTTTTCGAACAGAGTTTTTGAAGTAGGCGTTGCAGGACGGAACTCCGCCAGCAGTGCAAGTGCGCGAATTGCTGAAGCAACCGCCCATCGAAAGTTCACATACATCGTAAATTGCATCAGACTGACCTTTATTACTTTCTTTTATATTACCAAAAAGAATAGGCAAATTGGGTAAATCAAGACGCGCTGACGTAGCGAGAAGCATGCGACGTGCTGCCCGCGTGTCCCAACTGTAGTGCAGTGAAGCATGTCTTTTTTTCGCAAATGCACATTTAAGTATTACAAAATTATTATTATGATTTTTTTGCTGATAGAAGCGTGGCTGGGGTGCTTCAGCTGCTACTCATTGGTAACTGCATTGCCTTGTGGCACCTATGGGTCGCCGTTTAGGGGGATCTGTGGCAAAATCGGGATCGGGAATCGGCACATAGACGCCAAGTTTTCTTAACCGCATTGGTGCACTACTGACTACCATTTCAAATTATACACCCAAATTTATATTAGAAAACATGGGACTACAAAAGTACTTTGAATTAAGTGAGATTGTACAATAACCAAGTTTGAATTAATGAGGTTTTACTGTATATTGTAATTAATGCAAATAACATCCCCATACTTTTCTTGGCCTGAATGTCTGTTGGTTGTCGTCAATGTAGCGTTACCATTAGTGAATATGTGGAGGGTTGTACAAACATGGCGAGTTTGTGGCTGTTTCTACACATTTTTTTCATGCATGCACGTGTAGTAAATTTGAGCATATAGCCTCTTCAAAAACAAATGAATCTTTTGTGCTTGGCCGTGTACTTTGAGTGTTACAATAAAACATGCCTCACTCTACCTCAAAGTATCCCTGTCGGCCCCACTGAGGCGGAAGACCCAGGTTGTTGAGAGGAACGATGCGTTGCTCAGTGTTGCGGTCCACAAGGATGGCATGTCGATGACTGAATGTGCCGCGGCCAACATCCTGGCCGCAGAAGCGAACGTTGAAGCCTAACGGCACAAATACAATGAAGGGAGACTGTTAATACGACATTCAAGTGATTAGTGCTGAAAGGTAATTAAGCCTAATCTATACGGGTTCTGAATGTCAGAAATTATAAAGCCACTACAATAACGAATGGTATGCCTTTCATAACGAACTCGTTCATTTTTAGGCATTGCACTGTTGGCTATTCACTGTCACTGCTACTGCTGCTGGTACACCAGTACTCGAGTTGAAAAGAAACGTCAACAGCACAAAGCGTCGCTTTCAGCACAAACACTGACATGCCTTGATTTGTCACTTGACGAATCTCTGCTTTCAGCAGGCTGTAGCACTAGTATCTTGCTCCGGCTTGTATTATTGCACCGTGTATGCTTCTCATCTGCTAAGCTTGCTAGAATAGTAAATTTTAGGTTTGATGCAAATTCGAAGCAAATAATGGTTTGGTTTGAATAGTTTCGAATTGAAGTCGAATGGTATATATTGCACATTATGAAGAAAAATTGGCGTACTTGTCGTGACCCAGATCGCCTGAAAATTTTTAAAAATTGAAACGAGGCATGCGTGAATGTCATTTTGTTTTGGTTGAAAGGAAAGTGGAAACAGCTTTGAATAGTTGCATGATTTGGCTTCCAGTAGAATGCAAGTGAAAACCTGTAAAACACATGTTTTACCATTTGTTATATTCGGAGGATATAAGCTGAGATAACAAACATTTAAGCATTAATACTTATGAATCCATGATTTAACCTTGAAGTGGCACTTCACTGCAGTGCGGAACACATTCCTGGATTAAGTCACTTTCCATGCAATTTATGTCACTGGAGATTTGTATTATCATTAAGGTCTTCATGCTCACTTGAAAGTTCATTGAATTACCTTATGACTTGGAATATGTCCATTGTAATTTTCTATTATACATCTTGGTTGAATTTATTTCTATAAAGTCTGAGCTGCCAAACTGAAGGTGTAGCTCTTACACAAGTCTATTGCCAAGAACTCCAGCAGGGATACCTTTTTTTTCATTTCTGTCTACTGTTGTTCAAATGCCCTTTACATAAATTTCATGGCTGAGAAATGAGGATTAGGAGTTAAGCATCAATCTTAAGCTGCAAGTGATAGTACATCAGCAAAATACCTGGCAGATACCATCGTCGCCGAGTGATCTATGAACATTGCTCGTTCGTTTGCTGTGCTTGTACCTGGAAAAGGGCTAACATTCTCAAATGCTGGACCACCCACCCTGGTATAACAAGGATCCCAGAGCGAGTGCTTCTGCTGTGGCCCACTCGATACCTCGGCCCTGCTGGATTTTCTGAAGCCGATCGTTGACGTGATGTTTGACTAGGTGAGGATGAACGGTCTGGAAGGAAACAAAAAACAACGCGTTCGTTCAAAAAATATTTCGACGGAAGGTGGCAACGACAAAGTGACGTTCCTTGTGTCCCGAAAACTCACCACTCCACGAGGCACATGCACGGACCTGGCACCCACGTACTTCAGGCAGATCCGAGTTGACACCCGTGTCCCAATAGGTGATGGCCGAAGGAGCTTGAGAGATTCCACTCCACCTGCCTTGAAGCCGGCTGAACTAAACGCAATGAGGCAGTTTACGAAGAGGCAATGTTAGACCAGTTGGCGAGGACATATTTTGAACATACTGCAGTTAAACTGGATACGGCGTAATGCAGGTTGATGCCGTGGACATTTACACCGAAAACTTGTATCAGAGGAATGAAACAAGGCTATGAAAGTGGGTATGGACAATAATCATGAGAGAGACCGCGTAAATGCAACAACGAGAGTAATGCCAGCCTGCCATTGTGACTAAGCTTTCAGAACTTATAACTTGGCCCTCAAATGGCACAGAAGTATTAGTGGAGTAGGAGGTAAAAGGGGCACAAGCTATACACAGACGACGAACGGAAGTTTGACCTTTATGTTAATATTAAAGGGATGCATAGCACTCAGTGAGATTCAGCTCAAACCTCAATGTAATAAACATAGATATAACGAAATATCGGTTATGTGAAGTAAACGAAGAATGGCCTTGCAATAGATACAGTGTTAGGAATAACCTTTATAACAAATTTTCGGATATAACAAACATAATTTCTTGCAAAGTGCAAGCTTGTTATAATGAGGCTTGAGTGTAAACATTTTGCATCTGAATATCTTTTTTAGGGCAGCTGAACTGTTCAGATGTTCAGCTGACGAACAAGGTGACAAGACGTAGATTTCTCTACACATTCAATATGGTTTCTAGGCATACAAGTGGCTTTGCTTTTGCATGTGTACCTCAGCCGTCACCACAAGATAATACTACTGTAGTACCAAGCTCGAAAAATGCAGCACCCAAGCATATATGCCTACCCAAAGTCTTCCAGCCTACTTATGTACTTTTTAAACGTGATCTTAGTAGTGCAAAAACATAACGCTGCTAGAAGTGCTTTGCATTTAATATTTATCCAGAAAAAAATATAAAAAAGACAGTCCTAAGAAAAACTAAAACTTTGAATTTTAGATGAAATCTTTATAATTTATTTTTTATCCCTCCTGCACTGCATTTCATGTGTACACCTAGATTCGGCGAGTGATATCATCTATTGTAAAAGTAGCTGATTAAATGTACACTATGTTGGTTTGCATGATGGCCCCTACTGCATCAGTGTGTATCGAAAGCATCACTATTCAGAGACACCACACATGTTGGAAGATGAAACGTCGTAAATGTTTTATTTGGACTGGTCAGTGTCTTTTCCTTGGTTTTAAATATACCCTCCTGGCCAAACGAGATTTCATCATGCCATCAACTTCAATTGATAATTATATGCAGTCACACTCGGTTAACATAAATATTCAGCACCAGGGTTCACAGTAAGGAATGCTTGGTAAAGTCATCAACATGAGCTTTTGCACAAAAAAGAGATCAGAAGTGACATACCGGTGGAGTGTAGCTTTCAATGAGCTTGAACTGTTCACTCAGGAACGCCATGTGTTCGTCCACAATTTTCTGCTTTTCGGCAGCATCAAGGCTTCCTTCGTTCTGTGGCAGGGAAAAATCAAGTGTAAAGCTAACATGAGAGAACCACACCACATGTTTTACTGAAAAAAAAAAAATTAAGAATGCCAGGCCTGCGCAGAAGGTGCAGCACACTCACAGCGAAAGCTAGAAGAGCGGACTAGCAGAGCCTCTTCTAAATACTCATTGGGTAACTTCTGCAAGCACACTTGCTTGGTACCCACTATGGCAGTAATAATAAAAATTATACCTGAATTATGCCTGGACTGGTTATGCGTCACAGTTGATAGTAGAACAAGAACAAGCTTTTGTAATGTGTTGGATCATTGGATGACCCACTCGATACGCTATTCGCATTGTGCGACTGAGTGGTTGTTCTTTTGCTTTTTTTAAAATGCTTTATAAGTCGTACTAGCGCGATTGCTTTCCCCAACATCAAGCCTGCCTAAGGCAAGTTTGCCAACAAGTCCCAAGCACCGGCATGGCTCAGTGGTATAATACTGGACTGGCACCGGGCGGACCCGGGTTCGAGCTCCACTGGCATTGGTACTAGTAGGTTGTTTTTTTTCTTGTTTCGTGCAGCAGTGGTTATGGACACCGGCAATGGCGGCGGACAGCTACAGCACTGCACGATACCCGAGTTGTCAGCCCATAACAGCTTTCGCTGTAAAACTACAACACGAACTTTCTTTACTCCTAATTTGTTGAATTAAATTAAGGTTTGCAAACCTTTGACAAGCTGAATTTCTATCTACCCCGACTGCACTTTTTCTTATAAGCCCTGATTTGCAAGTATTAGGTGCCTTGAATTGCTTTTGTTTGGAAGTTTTTTCTCCTATAAAGTGCTTGCTCACACAGAGATAAAGCACACGTTAAGCAAGCACATTCTCTTCCTGTAAGCTAGTCACTTGAAAGAGAAGTAGGTACTTTCCTGTTAGTGAAGTAAATTAGAATGCCTAGTGCAATGCTGAATTTCGCCACGTGACACCTCTGCAGTTGATCACTGCAAATGTGCTATCATTTGTTGCTCCCACTGAATAAATGTTTTCACTGGCTCAGCACTTCATTGCAGCGAAAATACCTTTGCAGAGTGTTACATATGAAGTAACATAAACTGGAATAAATGCTTTCACGGCTTAGCACTTGATTCACTGATGTGAAGAGACAGCAGTGTTAATAACTGGTAATAAGCAAAAAAATTGTTAATGGGCTGTTTAGTGTTTTCATTAACTTATTTTTGTATCTCACTTTAACATTAGGCAGGTCTAGAAATCGCAGATGACCTCATGCATGCTTTTATCATTAATTTTTTTCTCACTTTACCTTGTAGCATCACACCATCTACACCATTCTATATAAGCAACCATTATATAAGCAACATGTTCATGTTCGTACACATAACTTGCAAAAGTTAACAAAGAAAAAAAAAAACTCTTTGTGCACATTTGTAATATTTCCGTTTCTTTGCCTTGTAGTACAATTGCAGCAACAACTAAAAATATCGGCCTCTGCCACAACCATTGATAGTGCTCTAATGTCTTGCCCGCATAAAACTAGCTGTTATTACCATAGAATCCCGCAAGCACTCCCTTCCCAACCCCTCCTACGATTTTTTCAACTTTTTTTCTCCACTACAGAATCCTGCAGCAGCAGCTCCTAGAAATCTACGTTCTGAGAATCTAGATACGTCCACTTTTTCTTACAATTTACAGTGTGGTGCCTCAGGGTCACATTCCGAGTTATTAGAGATTGTCAGAACATTTGAAGAATGTCTTTCCTCCCTTGCCAAGACATAAACTTTTACAGGAAATATTACCTCTGGTTCTGTTAAAACTGTAAATGAATGCACATTCAGTAAACCACTTCACCAGAAGCACGGAAGCACATTCTTTTTCCGCCACCTTTTTAAATTTCATTTCGCGACCGAGCAAAGGCCGCCCTACAAATCTTGTCTGCTTATCTTTCACCGTAAAGAAGGCCCTTGCTCAGAATTTTATAATATATTTATTAGAAACAATATTGATTGATATGTGTAGTTTAACGTCCCAAAACCACCATATGATTATAAGAGACGCCGTAGTGGAGGGCTCCGGAAATTTCGACCACCTGGGGTTCTTTAACGTGCTACCAAATCTGAGCACATGGGCCTACAACATTTCCACCTCCATCGGAAATGCAGCCGCCGCAGCCGGGATTCGATCCCGCGACCTGCGGGTCAGCAGCCGAAGTACCTTAGCCACTAGGCCACCGCGGCGGGGCCATTATTAGAAACAATATAAATTGAACAATTGCTTGATTGTTTGATTAAGGGTGCCATCGCTTTAGACATTAAAAACACAGCTCACCTGTAGCCGTTTCGCATAGTCATTCGGAACACTGTCCCTGGCATGGATCAGGTCATACATGAGTGGGTTTGTGAACGTGGGGTCATCCATCTCATTGTGACCCCAACGCCGGAAACAGAGCATGTCCAGAAGCACGTCGTCCTTAAACTTCTCTCGAAACTCCATTGCCAGCTGAGTTGCCAAGGCCACAGCCTGCAATTGGAACGCTACGTTAGGGCAAAGTTGACACTCAGATGGCCATATGCTGTGGTGCATACATGTTCAGGTGCAAGTGTATTAAGGTGCAACTTTGTTGGGGTGCAGCTTTGTTGGGGTGCAAGTGTGCTTTGGTGCAAGTGTGTTGTGGTGCAAGTGTATTACAGGGCACTGCAGTGCAAGTGTGTTAGGGCACATGTGAAAATAGGGAGGAGAAGTCCAACAGAAGAGTCATTAGTCAACAGGCCAGCAATGTATTCACGAATTCATTCCTTTTCATTTGCAGGGGTGGTAAACACATGGCCAGAAAGGTTAAATGAAAGTTTGTTGGTATGTGACAATATCCCATATAAAGAATATGCCTTAATGATGATCGAAATCGTCCATTTTCATGTCATGGAAGAATGTATGGTCAGTCAAACAAGTAGCAATGCACTCCTTGTAGAATTCGAATGCCAGGTTTACAGCCTGAAAACAGGAAGGTTGATGTAAAGCATCGCAAGCAGCATATTCCCTAGAGGAACAAATGGGTTTCCAGTATGTATATGTGCAGCAACACTCAACACAACACGCTCGGTAATTTAGTTAAGCAACGGATATACGTGCGACACTGTAAACCTCGTATTTATGAAACCCCTGAAAAAGTTGAGCATACCTCTGGATCATCTCCATTTACATGTATTACGGGAGCGTCAATCATCTTCATGATATCACTGACATAAGGCGAAGACCTGCCATTAAAAGAAAGAAAAATGGCTATTTTCAGGGCACATAGAAGGTCATGTGGAGACATCAATCAATTAATTTTGCTTGGCATTCATTACAGCAAGACAATGAACACGAGGACAAGAACATGTGCGCTTGTAACCAGAATGCTAAGACTGGTTGGCTTATTTTGTGAGCATGCGCTTCAAATAGCTACTGTTACACACTAGCCAAGGTGCATGCATAGCTTTGTTGATTCTTTATATTCTGAGGGTTAACAAGTGGGTTGGTGGCACGACCTTAATGTGCGCCTAGTCAACATGCAAGAACATGTGGTTATTAGTTTTCTGGACAGTAGGTCAGCTATGCATTTTCTTCTAGGCTATGATAGGTGTGCTGGCAAATGATGAAAATGAAAGCAAGAATTTTGAGCCGCAGGACCATTCAGTCTATTTCGTGATAGTTCTTTTGCACTTATAAGACACACACTACCTGGGGTCCCTTATAAATTGCTAAGGCAACTTTGGCAGTAAAAGCTTTTACACATTGACTATACATTATTTGTGGTTGTTTCCTTCATTTTGTGTGTGTTCCACCCCAATTATGTATATCAACATTATCAGTCCTTCTCAGCCCTTATCAATTCTATCTATGCACCAGTGACTATCTGCTGATTATTATCATGACAATGAAAGTATAACCATGGTGTTTATTGCACGTTTTCGATTTTTCACCTCGCATGTGTTCCCTGTGTTGCAATCTGGTCACATTTCGCATCTCCCAAGGCACTTAAGACTTTTGCCAAAAACAAGTAAGCCAAAGCAGTCGGCTTGGCACATAACGATGTCAGGACGCTACGTCACCTGCCGTACGAAGATGGTGTGGTGAATCCAATCTGATTGTTGACCACTAAGTGGATGGAGCCTCCCACGGTAAACTCCGGAAGTCGCGACATGGTCACGTTTTCCATGATGACGCCCTGGGCGGTAAACGATGCGTCGCCGTGGATCTGGACTGCCAGCGCTGGAAATTGGCCACCCCAGGCAGCCCTGGACTGGGAGTACTTGACAGGATCTAAGCTTTGCATGCGGGCTCGTGCTTTTCCCACTGCCACGGGACTCACACCCTGAATCACAGTAAAGAAAAGAAAAACTAGCTTTGTGCTTGTACATGGGTCAGATTTTTAAATGAAGCAATTGCAGGCATCTAAATAAACTGCGGGGTTTTACACATCAAGGCCTAGATATTTTTGAGGCAGGCAGTGATGGTGTATCCCTAAATAATTCTGGCTACCTGGGTTCCTTAATACTGCATGTAAATATATGCAAAAGAGGGAAGGGATCAGCATGGGAATGTAATGAGAAGGATGCTCTGATTAAACAGGTGAAACCAATGCTGAACGGTGCTTGTGGTGCATGGCGTGTGTTAGTTGTAGGGTAGGGAGACTTTAAAGGGACCCTAAGCTACTCAAAGGTCAGAATTTAGTTCTGGTGTCGCCGTTGTGCACAAGTTTTCGAACATGTAGCTGCAAGAATTTGTCAAAAAGGATGCTGCAATGAGGGAGTTGCCCGAGTTTCGCGATTTGAAAGCAGCCGTCGATTACTTTTCCTTTACTATGCCCCATCAATAATCGGGTCGTCGCTCTTCCCGGCTGAGCGATGAGCAGAGCGAGTTTCAGCACTAAACACAGTGCGCGCTTTGTATTCGATGACAACAACATTATGGAAGAACACATCAAACACTTTCATAAGTACACATATTCATGGTCGATGTCCCGAAGTATACGTGTTTACAGTCAACAGCAACTTCACACAACAGCCGCAGTCAACTGCGCAACAACTAAAACTGCTGATTACCTCCAAATGCGATGGGTTTGGCAACAGAGTAGCGTGCAAAGGGCCTGGGTAACCTTGAAGATCCACTGATGTGCCTGAATCGAAGAAAAACGATGTACTGCTGCAAGCTTGCGCCTTAAAATTTGACATGTCTTACTCAGGTGCGACAGTACATCTCCAGAACCCTTGATGCCTGCAGGAACTTCAGGGCATGCCTTTCATCTGTGAAGGAAACAAGGAGAAGCGGGCTTGAGAAGACTCGCAAGGACACCGCACTTATTCAATCACGCACACAAACTCGTTTTCCTGAAAATTGGCTCACAATGCACTAAGGACTATATAAATTGAAAATCAAAGGCTTCACACTGCCACCTGGTGTTGTGAGCCGGCAAGCGGTGGCCAGCCGAAAAGGACGAAGAGGACAAAGACAGTATGTTGGCTCTTCGTTCACGATACACGCTCGAGTCTTTTGCCTCGCTGTTCCTGTCTTGTCTTTGTGGCCCCTAGTGTGTGACAATATATACTACAGCATTTTTGTTGACCTTTTCCCGATACTCTGGCAGCTTTTTAGGCCACAGCTGTACCCCTTTGTAAGAGGCATGCACCAGGGAGCCGTTCCTGTCCCTTATACGAGGTGTTTCTTATAAGCCCGGCGCCGTGTTCTCAATTTCTTATCAGCCTCTATTTCAACGTGGGCACACTGGCGTTTCTTATAACCCAATTGTTCGTAATATCAGTGCCTCTTATAAACAGGTTTAACTGTATGTACTAAACAAGCAATAGAAGTGCAGTAACAGTGCATCTGAAAAACAGAAATGGGTAAGAAAGAAATGCTGCCGCCTAATGTGCACCGATCGTTTTCCCTTTTCTCTGCAATAGCATGCCACATATGTGGGCCATTAAGCTATATATAATTGTGTTCATTTAAAATGAATGCTTCGTGTATAGGGTTAACTACATAAGCGGTTCATAGAATTGTTAAAGTCTGACGTCCCAAAACCACATTATGATTACGAGGGGCACTGCAGTGGAGGGCTTTGGCATTCTTTAGCGTGCACCTAAATCTAAATGCACAAGCCTATAGCAGCACGCCTCTAGCACTTCGCCTCCATCGAGATGCATCCGCGACAGCCGGATTCAATCCCGCGACCTTATGGTCAGAAGACATCACCATAACCATTAGACCACCAAGGCAGGTTAACAGCACAAGTGGAAGTGAACAAGTGGAAGGTATTGTTTGTGCAACAATGCTGCAAGTTTGTGGCAGTGCCTTCATTCCTTACACAAAACTATGTTGATTCATAACTTTTCGTTCATAACTTTCATTGGTGCAGTAAAGAACGGCAAATAGAGAGGAATAGACTAGTGCTTCTGGCGAATTCGTACCTTCTGGAATACTTGCACTGGTGGGAAGTCGAAAAGTCCAGTGAGCAGGTTAAGCCGACCCCTGTGAGGCATTCCCACAACGATGTCCGTTACTCCAGCTGGAAATATCAAGCGCCAGAGTGAATACTATCTGCGCCCGACCTTTTCTCAATAAAACTATTCGCAGGATAAGCCCACTCACTTTTCGGAGCATGGCAGAACAGCTCGTAGAAGAAAGCCATCATGCTTTCGGCACCTTCTCCACCGTACCTTTTCACGGTCGAAAACTTTGCCGCCAAGAAGTTATCGAACACCTGCAGGGAATAGACGTTTCAATCATTGCACTTGGTTATGGATACCCGAGTCCATATCTTTGCATACAGTCGAATATCATGACAAACTAGCAATGGGACCATAAGCTAGTTCAATCAATCAGTTTATTATCATGTCATAAAAGGATGTTACAGGGAGTAAAATATACAGACGAGGGTCCCAAAGTACACGACTGCAACGGGATATATAATATTCGTAACAACAGTATAGATAAAAACCAGCTCTGACAAATACCAGAAACAAACACACACACGAACTGTGCACAATTTTTCCAGAGTGTGCATACATGAAAAGGCCATTTCTACTTTATCAGTTCTCAATCTCCATGTCCATGGCATATGCACTGGTCATTTCAGTCGAAATTTCCACAATTTACACCACATCTTAAGCCAAATTTTTTTTGCCACAACCACATTTTAAGCAGAAATGTGGTGGTGAATCGTCATTGAATATTTATTATGCATTTTATGCTACCTTTAGAGTATTGAGCCTCGAGTGCACCAAATATTTATTTATTAGAGCTGCTATTGCAGCGGCTCTTGTGCTTTCAGTTTCACCATTTAAAAATATATATATGTTACCGGAATCATGCATGACTAATTAATGTTGGCATTTAGTTCGCTGTAGTGAATAATTTCCTACATCAGAGTTCATAATAACGAGTTTCAACTGTATACCAAAACTTATGAGCATCCGTACAAGGGGGTCTTTAAAGCTAAGTAAACAGATTAAATGAAGCAATGTTAACGCAGCAGTACCTGCGACTTCAGCAAAATCTCGGCCATCTTCTTGCGCTTTTCAACAGGTGGTCTTCCTTGACTAACGAGACTTTCGTAGCGATCCGCAAACCATGTTCTTCTCTCCTCTTCCTGGGCAGCGAACAATGTTCACAGAATGAATCTACATTGATTCATGGCTCATTTCAGTGGTGACGCAGTATTGCCATTGTAAGAGTATATACACATACCATGTGCATGAACTCCAGGCCAAGCGGACCACAGTAAGCGGCCCTCACGTTTTCTGTGATACTTTCGACTTTTTGTCCACATACAGTCTCTGTAGGGGTGAGCCTGTGTGTTTGTAGTTCGAGGTCCTTGACATATCTGCAGGATAATACAATATCCATAATATTGGCATTAAGCGTAATTCTAGCAGCTGCACTGTTCTTACTGTGTCGAAGGTGTCGAGGCGATGGGATTGATTTTTGCAATTTTATGACCGTGCTTCCTGTATGCGTCGACGAGTGTGGAGAGCCTTTGGTCTTCTTTAGAAGCTGCATCTACGACTGAAAAATGAGATAATACAGTCGGGTTCAAGAAAGCAAGGACAGCTGCGCATTCTTTTTGTTGATATAGCAATAGCTTGTGCGCATGAATTTCTTTTACGAATTCACTAACATACCTGTACAAAGGAATTGTCATACATATAGCTAAATGATACAGCAGAAATTTTCCTCGAACACTTTGCACGGCCAGATTAAAGTTTGATTTTTGTACTGCCTATCAAGAGGCTTTCAAGTGATACATGAAAAGGTGAACTGCTGAGAACGAAACGTATACATGCATGTCAATTACAAATATGAGCAGTTTAAGAAATAGATATATTAACAATTATGTTCTGTCACTGTCACCATGACAAAAAGCGATGTAATGAACTCTGAATCAATGCAAAGTATGCAAAACATTTTTCAAAGGAAAAAGGTGTGCTGGGTCACATATTACCCCCGGCCACAACTTGGTAACACGACCCACAAAGCAACAATGCTGGATTAATCGATAAACCCCCAGCTGACCCGGCCCTTCCTTTTAATCGCAATCGCGCGCCCGATCAGGATCGAGTTTCTCGGCCGTGATTGGCTCCCTTTCGCAGCTTCCACAAAGGAACCAATCACGACCGAGAAATTCGATCCGGATCGGGCCCGATCGCGATCATTTGTGACTGTTGGGCGCCGCTGTTATTTAACGGTGGCCCAAATGCGCGGACGCTTTTTTCATTCATATGCACGCTTTTTGACCCACGCCTCTAGCAACAGGTGTATTCCACAAGCTGAGCCGTGCGCTCAATCAACAGGCCGCCAAAACGCACTCCCGCCGGGTGCTTGTTGCCGGCAACAAGGTCGCCCGATCGGTCATTCGAAGCGCTCTCCACTTCGCCGGATGCTTCGCGGCGAATCCGCCGCTTTCTGCGTGCGACACCTGTTGCTGCACGAACCGCATGCGGCAAGCGATATGCCGCTAGTAGTACCGTTTTTTTTTTTACGTACGATCTTTGGAGAATCCCCCAGAGTAGTTCATTCGCTGCAGCCTCAAGACGTGCCATCGTCTGCTAGCCACGTCTAGGCGCGCGAAACGGTTCATGTTGGGTCTGCTGCCGGCCGATCACTTTACTGGCTCATTCAGAGTCCGCTGCTCAGCGAAGTCCTCTGCGGCGGTGGCGTCAACGACCTCTTTTGCGGCCGTGGTTCACGTCGAAGTCGCCACTCGCTCGCGCTACGGGAGCTCTCTGACGACGACTGCCGCCGCAGCACCGCAAAACGGCTAGTTTTCCCTCTCGCACACACGTACACCTAGGAGGCTTACGGAGAAAGGGGGACGTCCTTGGCAGCGCGCAACCAGTGCTTCATTTTTCTTTTCTTTTTTTTTTTCACTCTCGAGACGAGCTCGCTTATCAGCGCGCTTATCTTTATTTGCATTGTGGCTTTTGAAACCTCAGAGTGCCAGCGGTGGGTTTCCCCATTGTCCCCTAGCTGTACGTACATACGTACAGCTAGGGTGTGTACAGCAGTGTCCGTGTAGGGTGTACGTACATACGTACGTACACCCTACACGGACACTATAGGTACACGCATTCGTACAGAACACCTACCAGTTTGCCTGAGCTGTTTTCTTCCCCGATATTTACATGACGACAAAATAGCGGTGCTGTGGATATAACAGTTCTCTACATAACGGGCTTTACCTCCCTATTACCGGTTCAACCGCACAATCAACGGTCAACAACTGGCGCAAAACTGAGCGACACAAAGCTCCTTGACCAGTTTTACATCTTTTGACAGCTGCGTTAGGCACTTAACCACCAGCTGCTTCAGTCATTGTATGTAGTAGTACGTGTAGCTAAAATGAAACCGGAGTACAGAAACAAGAGAGCTACAGAGAAGTCGGGAGCCTGTCCAATTCGGCAAGATACGTCCGTACTACCGGGTAAAGTGTTCTGTGGTACTACGACAGAAGATGCTAAGCCGGTATACTGCCGTCGCTACTACTGTAGTGCATACGGTCCGTGGGTGGTAGTGATTAGAATGAAGAGGAAAAAGGCACCTAATTTCTGTCTGCCTTCAGGCGACACGGCGCAGTGCCTTATAGGGGTGGGGTGAAGGAGGGATAAAAAGAATAGAAGGAAAGTAGAAGCAGAAGAAGACAGCCAACGAGAGGAAAAAGAAGGAGATAGGAAAGTGGGGATCCGGTCGAAGCAGTCCAAGGGCGGGGTGCCACAATGCGAGAGCTACACGGCGTCAGGAGACCGCGGAGGGCGAACCAGTCGGCGGGAGCTACGCTGAAGTCGGAGATCGCGAGGGCACAACCGTCCAGCTTGAAATCCTGCGAGCGAATCCTACGGTCCGTACCGCGGTACCGCTGTTCCGTATGCCTACACGACTTCGCCGACCGTCCCTCTCCTCCTCTCCGGAAGCCTGTCGTTCTGTGGACGCCGCTCACTGGCGCTAGTGGTCGGTTCCTCAGTCAACATGGACGATGGCAGTGCGGTCTCGGCGAAGAGAGACGAAATTCGCGTTCACTCGCCGTCGATCTGAACCGCAAAGGTTTCGGAAAAGTGCGGCGACTTCAGCATGGCCAATGGCGAGGAAATATTCCTCCAGTCCCCACTAGCTGCGTGGGTGAGTGATCCAGTTTTTACCAGCGGTGCTGCGCCGCCGTCTCTCACAGTCGGGATCGCTCGGAGTTTGCGAAAAGAAAGTACCGCATAAAAAACGAAACAAAGATCTCACGGGATCGAAATCGAGAACCTAAATATTCCGTATGGATCGGGATGAAATGCCTTCCTTTGCGGACCGAGTTGATCCACGTCTGTGGCCGCGATTACAAAGTAGAGCAAGTCTTGCTCCTGTCACAACGGGCTGTCAAGTTTAGCGTCAGGTGCAGCAGGGGGGTTTGTTTATGTTGTGTATCTATTATTTAACCTTCGATCGCTACGCGTGTGAGTTTCAAGCGAGAATAAACTGAAACGAGCTACATTGCAGACTTCTTGCGGGCAGAATTTCGTCCGCTCAGCCGGCCTTTTCTGGTCGATAAAGTTGCCCCGTGTGAAGCTGCTTCGGAGTTGACCGACGTGGTGGGACAATTAAAACAATGGCTTCTTTTCAGGCGTGTCTTTTTTATTTATTCTCTTCTTCTCCGAAGGCACCTTTGTAGTTGGAGTTGAGACGCGTTGCTTCTTCGATTTCGCGACCTTTTTTTTTTTTTTTTTTGCGTGTCGTTGTCGAGCGCTCGATCTAACGCTGCGCTCTCCTTTCGTTTACGACTTTCAGTTCCGAGTTGATCATCATCTCACCTCAATTCCGTCTCCGCGATGCAATCTGCGCTACCCTTTCGCTGATGCGAACCGTTCCTTGTGAGCTGCAGGTGCGCTTTGGACTGCCGTGTATTTGCGCGGAGAAGCAGTAGATGCTGGATGTATTTTGGGAGTTTACGTACGACGTTTTCGCCGTATCAACGCGACCACCGGGTTGTGAAGTTTGCTTTCGCACGCAGGCCGCCGCCTCGTTTCGAGAGGACGCGAGTTAGCGAAGGAAGTTTACCAAGAGCAAGACGGTGGATTATGCAGCAGCTGGTTTAAGTTTACGCCTTGCTAAACCACACGCCGGTTTGGTTAGGTTATGGCCTTGCTCGCCGATGGCGTCTATCCGCTGCTGCAGGGGATCGGCTGCGAAGAGTGTGATGGTGTTAGAAAGTATGCGTTTTGTTATTTCCGAAAGCAGTAGAAATGGTCGGCGAACCAAGAGATGAAGGGAATGTAATTCGTCGAGGATATCATCTTGGTTTGAAGCAAGTGAAGATCTTTCTTCAACTGAGCAGCATGCATGTGTTGAGGAGATAATGCTGATAGCGGAATAGTCACGAGATTAAAAACAAAAAACAAAACCAAGTTCTCCAGGCCATGCTCGTTAAATGTTTGTGATCGGAGATAAAAAGGGCAAAAGGAGGATGACACGGCGCCTACTGTCTCCAATAACCACAATGGACTGGAAGAGTACCCAACCAGCCTTGTGATAACATATAAGAAATAGATATGCAAGGCACACTGCTTTAAAAAAAAATTGAATTCAAAATGTTTTGGATGTAATCAACGTTCATGTCAAGGACACAATAGATGCTGATACTCAGCAAAATTAGCTACTGCTTGATTTTAAAAGTCACCCTTCTTTCTTTTGACTGCAGCATGTAATAGCGCCAATGCTCAGCTTGATTTTTCAAGAATTGGTTCTTAAACTAAACAAATCCAGAACTAAAATAAAAGAAACAAACACAAAGATAAACAAGTTCAAAAGTAAAATAAAAAAAGAACTTAAACAGCAGCAATAGCGTGTTGTTCACATACTCTATTCTTTGCTTCACTTATTCTTGACTTATTTAAACAAGCAAACTCACTAATTGGCTGTCTTGTTCAATTGTGTGAACATCTTATTATATATAATGACAGCAAAGAAATGAAAAGTATATCTGTACAACTGCTAAAGTATGGCTGCACTGACGGTGCACCTCTCATGATGAGAAATTCACTCTGCAAGAAGGGAAAGCGGTCTTCTTATTGTAAATACATTGAAACTAGCTACTAACCAGTGTGATTGAAGATGCCGCAGTTGGTTTGACATGTGATGTTGCTTGATCAAACATTTTGACAATGGGGTTTGTCTTTTTCAGGACCTTGACAGAGCAAATCCCTGTCAAAACTCTGAATCTGACAAAATGCATTGTTTGACTGCTGTTCATTGTTTATCCTTGCTATGAGCTGCTAGTGTATGTAAAAAAAAAAAAAGTGTGAGAGTTAGAAAGGAGCGGAGATTTAGCAAACCCTTGAGGCATTGTCTTCTCAGATTCAGAGTAACAACCAAACTTGACACAAGCAGTGCCCAAGAATATATTCACTTCTTTTTGAGCTGTACCTTAAGACACACATTACGTCAGCATGCAGTTTTCTATAAATATTTCTTAAAATGAATGGGGTGTAGTTGTTTTTTAAAATACTCAGTGAACAGGAACAAACTGAACATAAGAATTAAAGCTCTTATACCCATGTAAGATAACTGCTGAACATGTTTCATTGTATCATAGCTATTATGGAACAGGAATGTAGTGGTGTTTATGCGGTATACGTTGACGTTTCATGTAGTGTCTGCTGCACAATGCAGTGGTGTAGGGCAAATTTAAAGTGTTATCACGTTTTTGTTTTTATCAGGAGGTATGCATAGTTCTCATTAATTAATATTTCTTTAACAGACATATATTAGGCGAGTTGTAAACATCCCCCTCTCATGTGTATTAAATAAAAACAGGAAGAGGTTCTAAAACAACTTCTAAAGCTGTAGCACTACCTTAGAAGTGTGGCAGCTTGGGCTAGTTGGTACTACCATAACAGCACTAAAAGGTCAACTCGGCAGTTCATGTTAAAAAAAGGTGGGCATACAAACAGGGACACAACAGAGAAGTTCAGACCCCACGAATTGCCAGAATTTCTGAATTCTCGACATATTTCTTGTGTCTGTGTTTGCATACCCTGTATTTTTAATATGAGTACCTATCATAACTCAGCTCTCCATTATTCTAAACCACTTGGCAGCTCTGTGGTCAGTTGCATGCATAAGTTCATGCAGAAGTGCAGCATCCAGCGATATGCGAGGCCAGGTAAAATTCCACTGCCATGCACAGCTGACAGCTGTGCATGGATGCTTATCACAATTGAAAAATGGCAAAATTACAAAAACAAGTACCCATCCTGTACACTCTTACCACTCGTACCAACAAAGTTGCATCTTGCACAAAAATTAGTTCGTTATCTCCAAAAATGCATTATAAAAGAATATTCCTAACACTTTCTATTACAAGAGTATTCATCATTTACTTTGTTATAACCAATATTTTGTTATATCTGGGGTTTTTATATCGAAGTTCGAGTGTACTATTGTTTCTAGTCTCTGAATCGGCCTTTCACTGTTTGGGTTCAATATCTTATATGAGTAAAGGCTTCATCATGACCAGGGCAGGCAGCTTATACTCAGTGCAACCATTAAAGTCTGCTATTTTTTCTGAGTCGCAGGTAAAAACATTTTACGATGATGATGGCAAGCCATTGGACTTCAAGCAACTCTGTGATGGCGTCTTTCTGCACACCGTTTGGCTGCAGATGTAAGCATCTCGCTCACGTACTGTTGTCATTTTGTTGTCCCTGTCCTTTGTGGCGAAATTGCTTGTCGAGAAGGGTGCTTTAGGAAACGCGAAGAAAGCAAGCGCACGAGAAAGTTTTTTTCTTTGCATTTTGCGCACTGCAGTGACGCCCATCCCATGTACTCCGGGGTAATAAATCCAGCGACGGACATGACTTCTCGACTACGGAATCTCAACATGCTGCTGCACAACATCAAAGTGTTCTACGAGGTGAGAATTCACTTCCCTTGCAGTATTGATGGACGTAAAGTGAGGGATGTAGTCTTGAATTCTCCAAGGTTAAGAGCGCGCAGTCTATGTGCCGTCTGTTTTGACTGCTACCACTGTGCAAGTGTCATGGTATGGCAGGAAGGCGTTTTGTTTGTCCCTTGTGCAAATGCTTTACAGCCAGCTACCCTAGCATTAGTGATAAAAACTTTTGTGCAGTTCTGTTTGTATTGAGTTTAAAAAATCACAATGCTGCATGTTGTGACAAAACAAACAAATAAAAAACACTGCCATGCTATTTCAAACTACTGTTGGTTTGTATCTAGCATAATATAAACTAAAAAGAGCATGAAGGCCTCAGTAAAGTTGTGCCATTCTGCCTTATAAATAGTGTCCTCAAGATAAAAAAAAAAAAAAAACTGTTCACAAGCAGCACGATATTATGCCGCACACTGTCTTTTTTTATTGAAAAAAGGGGAATCCATGGGTCCATTTTCTTTGTTATATTAATGACAACCAAAAGCCCATTTAGCCAATGAAAGTGTAGGGGATGTTAGTGACAGTAATTATGATATTAATGTGAAAGAAATTGAGGTGAAGGAAAAGACAACTTGCAGGCAGCAGGCGAACCTGAAACAAAGTAACATGTCCGATGCTTTGCCAATCGAGTTATGGCGGCGGTCGGCCTCCTGTACCTCTTATGAGGTATATATGTCCACTTAAACCTGGAAGCGTTGTGCGAGACGACAAAAAGCGGTGATATTTTCTTGTCATTTTGAGCTGATCATTATGCCCACAGAAAATCGTATTCAGGTATGGCACAGAAACTTCAAAATAGCTGCAGACAGTAACATACGAAGCTATTGCTGTATATTGTTAGGCACCATGGGGCTGAGCTGTTATGTCTGTTGCAATAAAACTCTCTACGAAGCCTCAATCATTATTTTATCATTCTTCGACAACAGGCTGTGCACTGAGGAGCTGCGAATTGAAAATTGCTGAACAGATAAAGTGGTCACTTCAGCAAAATGACTACGATCATTATTACTTTTGTATGCTTTTCTCTATATTGCATACATTAGTTGTACAAGTATTTTACTGTTAAATGGGCCTTTTACTCTTTGTGCACTGCTTGCTCACCTGATCATATAATCCTGTGCCTTGTTGCAGGAGGTCCTAGAACAAGTGCTAGTTATGCACCTTCCCAACGTGGTCAGCATTGCCAAAGCGACCTTTGACGGTAAGGTGACGCCCAAATACTGTGCAATCACGCCTTCTAAATCTTGGAAAACAGTTTTCACGGAATGTTATACAACCATTTTACATCAGCTAGTTGTGATTTTGGAGCATAGACATTCATTACTGACATTTCATGTCTCTGCTAGGAGATCTACTTAAAAAAGGTGTTTTTTTTTAGCAGTTGTTCTTACAGGTGTGCATAGTTGGAAAGTTTTGCATGCTTGGTAAAGGTGTTTTGCACAATACTGTGTTACTGGACACTTAAAGTGACACATTGGAATAGTTTTGAACACCGAACTATACATTCATTTTTTTTGTGTTGAACAAGTGTAGGTGCCTTATTAAAGGCTTAAGAAAGTCATCAACTGTTTGCACGTAAAACTCTAGAGTTCAATTCGACTGCAATGGTTGCTCTCTGGTTGCATCGCTCCAGCTGTTACGAATCTGCCAATTTGGTAAAGTGCACAAGCTCCAACAAGTTATCAGAACAAACTAGAGCTCATTAACGTTCATTTGCAGAGAGCAGTGAGCAGGAGCTGAGTCGTCTGCTCCTTCTGATGCTGGGCTGCGCGGTACAGTGCGGCCGCAAGGGACGCTTCATCGAAGCCATTCGAAGACTCGACCTGGCCACCCAGGCCTCCTTGGCCGAAGCAATCGCCTCCATCACCGACAATCCGGATTCAGTCTGGACGCGGGACTGGGGTCGTCTAGAGACACTGCCCGAAGCTGACCGGCCGCGCATGTACGCCACTCTAGTCCGTCACGTAGCCACCCTCTCCCGACAACGAGACAGTGCAGCGCAGGTTTGTGTTGCCACTAGTATTGTGTGTTGACTTCTACTTTGCTTCGTTTTGTGAAGCTGGTGCTCATTTGTGCGAGTCTAAGAGCCCCCGAAATTCTGTGTTTTTAGGCCACTGCATGTGCCGTCATTCATTTGGGTTCTAAATCCAGAAGCTGCCAGCTTTCTGCGATTGCTTTTATTGTTGCTCGATTTTGTTAAAGTACCGAATGACTGATCCATCACAAGCTGTCATGGAATAGCTTAGTGTTAGAAACTTTAAAAGGGTGGTGAATGCTGGGCAAACTTTAGTTTCTCTTTTTTTGCTGCACAACAAAATAGCAATTACTCCCAATTTCTTACATAAATATTGCTGGAAATGTAGGAGCATGAAGCATTTATCACACTCATTCTATTGTCCCATCTCGTGCTAGAACATTTTATGATTGTTTTGCTTGAATAACAATAGAATGCAACTAACTACCAAACACTAAAAGTATTCATGTTGTCCATTTTTTAAAATGTTGCTATGTTTCCTACATGTTCTAGTTATTCTAGTGTCTATATCTGGTGTTTTTTGAGTGCTGTGCATGAGTAATGTGTTTATCTTTCCTTCCTTGTTCAGTCGTATGATTAAGTTAGCTTGCATATCAGCATACCTGGACAATCAGTCCCATTATTGTCCAGTGAATTTTCATATCACACGTGTTTTATCGGCACAACTTCATTGAAATTTCTTAGTAGCAATAGGTTGCGGTAAGATGCAGTGAATGTATGTTATAATCATGAATATAATCATGGTCCTTCACTACAGCCAATACTACCTCTGAATGTCTGGCTTGGACTTTTCTCAGCAATGGTACAAAATAGAGCTGATGCATTCTTATTTGTTGATCTGCCTATATCCTGTAGCTCGTGTCAGTGGATTAGTAAATCATCTCGATGTGTTTTTGCTCATAATAGTGGCAACAAACCGAGAATATGAGCCATGTGCACTGTACTTTTACGCTTATCATGTGCTTATCAATGAGTGTCATCTGCTCTGGTGTGCACTTCAATTATCTTGCCAAAATGTACACTGATGTTGCATTTTTCGTAGCTGATGTAGTTGATATGGCGCTGTTCAACATTTCAGCGCCTAGTGAACCTGACGTTGGAGCAGGAGTCCAGTGGCAGTGCGGACAGTCCGGGCGATCAGGTGTGGGGTGGCTCCGATGCACCTTCGCCCCAAGCGGCCGACTCCAGACTTGGCGTGGAACTGGCCGACACCAAAGCCAAGCTTCGCCGTTGTCAGCAGGAGCTGTGAGTTTACAGCGGTCTTTCGTCTTTTTCACTTTCTGACCTCATGGCTTCTAAGATTCAGAGATTTCCTCGGCTAAAACTGAAAGTTCAGTTATCTATAAATGTCCTGATGTTTGCTATAGCTAATCTGCCGCTTGTCCCAATGCTCTCTGTCATGCCTCTGTTGTAACCTTAAAAACTAATTGAATGAGGAAACTAGGAATGTTGCTGTAGTTACACAGAAATCCAAAGAAGGCAGACATTTAGGAAGAGATGGCGGCTTTATGTAATCAAAGGTTATTGAAAAAGGAACGTCGCTGAAGCCACTTATGAAAAAAAAAAAAAAAAAAAACTAGTCTTTGTCAGGGCAGCATCCGCCCCGACAAGGAGGCTCCTTGTGGTACTAATCTGAATACATAGGTCTGATGAGATGCACAAAGCTCATAATTTGCCTTCATCTATGGCATAGCCCAAACCACAAATTTATACGTATTGCAGAGAGGAGAAGCTCGAAGTACTGTCTGAACAAAAAGAGGAGCTCAGTCAGCTGAAGGAGGCGATTGCCAGGTTGCGACAAGAGGTAAGCAGTCGCGTTTCACCTCGTATTGATGTCGTTGTGTGTGTCGAGGAGCAGACAGCTTGTGTAGCATTTTTGCGAGCATGTCGACCGTTTGTACGCACGCACCGTACAGGTTTCGCAAGCACGACAGAGCAAGTGAAATCATGGAAGAGATGCAGTCTTTCCTGTTCAGTGCATCTGTCCCGTTTCTCCACTTGTCTCCTTGTGTTCCATGTTCACCATGTGGAACGTAAACTAAACTAGCCTTGCTTGGAATTCTCATGCTCTCAAGCTACGCTTGGTATTTAGACTGCAATTACTTTTCAGTTAAAGCATGGTCATCTGTGGAGTGCATAAAGTATTCCTGCACTACATGACATTAGCAACTTTGTCCATTAATGTCACGGGGAAGCTTGTCCTGTCTTTAGCGCTAAAAAGAAAGTGATGCCTGCAGACAAGAGTGCTTTTGCATTCTACTTTTGAGTCTCGAGATCTTCAGACATGCTCTAAGTGTGGCTTTCTTTTTGTGCGTGTGTGCATTCTAGAACTTGGAGCTTGTGCAAGATGCGAGAACAGCGAAGGCCTATAGGGACGAGATCGACATTCTCAAGGAAAAGGTGCGCATCTTACAAGACTTTTTTTTTAATTGACTGACTGTTTGTGAAAACACAAACAGCTTCAGAGTAAAAATTGTGTTCACTGCAGGTGCTGAAGCTGGATAGACTTGAAAGTGAGATACAGAGGTACAAAGACAAGATGAGCGAACTCGACTTCTTCCGCAGCCGAGTTGAGTAAGTGAAAGACTCAGTTGGGAGGGATAGAAAGGTGGCTGGGGAGTTAAGAATGACCCCTGTTTTGAACAGCACTGTTGATGGATCAAGTGCACAGCTGCTTGTGAGTGGTTGCACATTTTGCCTCTGTTTTACATTCCAGTGATCCAAGGCAAGAAACATAGGACTTCTTGTTTACTTTTTTGGTCGTGAGCGTTATTTTAACTTCCTGCCAACATGTACAGAACATTTTTGCCCATTTATTACCTTGTTAAAAGTAATAATACAAAAATGTGTTGTGCTGTGTGCTCATAAGCAGATGCTGCTTAATGCAATTATCAATAGTTGGAAAAAATTCCTACAACACTCACACAAAAACCACCAGATAGATGCAAGCATGCGCACATCAGGCACTTTGGAACATCAGACGAAAGCAAATATTTTCATTTAGCGACTAACACATCGTTGCAGGCGCTTGTTATGTGGGGCCAAGCTTTCAAAAGTGAGGAGGCGAGAGTCAATATTCGAAGCAATGCGCAATAAAGAAGGACAGGTGTTGACAATGTCATATTCGCTTGTTCTGTACGAAGCAAGCAGACTATGGATTGCTAGGCTGTAGTACCACGGCTTGACAGAGAGATCTGTGGTTGTGGACAGGAACTGCGCGAGGACAAGCGCATCCTGGGTGAAACGAAGGCCATGCTGGAGGAACAACTGGAAGGCAGTCGGCGACGCGTGGAGCATGCTGTGCAGCTCGAAGCCCAGCTACTCAAGGCCCGTGCTCGTCTCAGCGAATGCACCTTGGTACGAGCTAGCAATTTGTTCTCCCATTTGATTGTCTGTCCGATCGATGCAGTGAAGCTCCTGTGTAACGTACTTCCTAGAATGATCAAAAGACTTCATTATGCGAAAAATGCAAATTTTGGAAAAGATAAATGTTTGAAGAGATTAATATTTCTGGCCTGACTTTTCTGGCCTGCTAGATGTGCTAACAGTTTTGTACCATAATTGTACCTCACCATTGGTTGATTGATATGTGGGGTTTAACGTCCCAAAACCACCGTGTGATTATGAGAGACGCCGTAGTGGAGGGCTCCGAAAGTTCGACCACTTGGAGTTCTTTAACATGCACCCAAATCTGAGCACACAGGCCTACAATATTTCCGCCTCCATCAGAAATGCAGCCGCTGCAGCCGAGATTCGATCCTGCGACCTGCGGGTCAGCAGCCGAGTACCTTGGCCACTATACCATCGCGGCGGGGCATGTACCACACCATGGCAGTAGGGATTGGTTGGTGTGTGCGATACTGAATTGTCTAGTGTGGCAATGGCAATATGGTTACATGTTACAGATACACCGTCATAGCTTTTTGTTTTGGAACCATACTCATCTTGAGAAGTGATTTCAATGATTATTTACCACTAATAACCATTGAGGCATTCCCGTTGGTGTTAAAAACAAACTTAGAGATAAACTGAATGACTTTTCGTGGTACTGGTGTTTAGCAAAACACAGATGCCTCGTTTACAGCATTCTAACTTCATGTATTATATCAAATTAGTTTTGTAACATTTTTAGTCATTGTGATGTCAAGTGGAACTAAAATATTTGAAGTTATTGATGTTAAACTTCTGCCTCTTTGATAGTGTGAATAATTTTGAGGATATACTTGCCATAGTCAGAATATGATTATGAGTCATCACGCTGCAATAGGGTATTATAAATTGGAACCACACGAGGTTCTTCGATGTGCGCTTAAATTAAAGTGCATGGGTGTTTCTTCTTCAAGCTCAGCAAGGTAATGCCTTACCAGCTAACCTACCATGGCAGGTCTAGGTTAACATCAGCTAACAAAAAGTTGCGTTTGACTTTTGGAGGCACTAGCAGGTAATCGACCTCTAGTGAGGCCCATGAATCACGTCTTGCCCTCCCTAAGATGTCTTCTGCTTGCGTCTTGCTTTTAGGGAAAAAATTACTTTCATGCGGGGCTCACTCAGCCACGCTCACCACAAAAGGGCAGAAGCTCATATGCGATTCACTTCTCTTATTTTTGCGTTCACAACTCACCACTGTATGGTGCAAAAACACGAGTACCTCCACGACATTAGCACGAAAGAAGGGATATGGATCGAGGGACTTGTTTGTTACATGCCACCTGATAAAATCAACAGACATTGGGGCCAAGGGAGGCACAGGGTGTGTTATTTGTTGTTTAAATGGCCATAACTTTTTGATCACTGTGCATCACCTTTTCATCTTGGTCAGCAAACGTTGCCGATCGGTAGTTGAGGCTCCTGAGAACATGTGAGCCAAACATTGTAGTGCATCACGTGACTCGAAATTCGCAATGAATTATCCAAGTCGGCTTGAAATCGCTCCCTTTTTACGAGTAATGCCAGAAACCGAAAATAGAACGTTATAAGTTGCGATTCCATTGATTTGAGCATCGTAAGCTGCATAGATGTCGTGGCGACCGCGAGATGCCTCTATGTGCCCGCACGTGCACTTGCGATCACACTTAAAGAAGGTGCACTGTTCAAGGAAAAAAAAAAAGAAAGAAAAAAAGCATACTCGAGGTCGTGACGCACGCTGACAAAGGTATGCATCCCCTCACCCCTATCATCCCCCTCCCCCGCATAACTTTCAGTGTGGTGGCTAGTACGAAATGAGAGAGAAAGCGTTTGAAATGTGCGATGAATCCCTGCGACTCCATGCGTGCTTTTTGACGATTACTTTGGAAAGTGTTGAAGAGCTCCTTCAGCATTAGTAGTAATTATGACGTCAGTGGAAAAAAATTGGAACTTTCTTTATGGAAACTTGACAGCGCAAACACACCGCATCAACACTTCCGGAAATTAAAGGTACCTAATCAAGTGACATTTGGTGTTTCTATGGCATGGTACTCTAAGATTATGGTTGTGTAAAAAGCCATTTAGAGGAGTGAAACTGTGGTGATGATGCATCATTTAACAAAAGGATGATGCGCTGTATGGCAGGAGCGTGATCTGGACCGGAGCCAGGTGCAGAAGCTGCTGGAGCAAAACGCGCAGCTGCGGCTTGAGCACCAGGCCACCCTGGACGAGAACGTGCAACTCCAAGGGGAGCTGCAGAGGCTGCGAGCGCAGGCCACATCCCCACGTGAGTGTAGACCCAGCGGTGTTGCAGCTACATGAGTGACAAGGGAAGGGTGAACCCCCTCAAGTTTTGTCGCAGTGTCAGAAATGCGGGGGCGATAAGTAATGGACATCAACAAAGGCGGTCTTTTAGTACTGTATGCCACTCTTACGGGCCACTACTTTTCTTGGAAGTGAAGGGAAAGCTACGGGGCCAAACTGGGCATCTGCCACCGCTGAAGATTACATAGAAGTGTGGCAGCTTGGGCCAGTTGGTATGGCATGACGATAGTTATAGCGCGAGAACAAAACGACGACACAGAGACAAGTGTCCCTCGTGTCCTTGTCTCTGTGTCGTCGTTTTGTTCTCGTACTATAACTATCGTCATGAAGATTACAGTCCCACAATTGCATCCGTACTTTTAGCTTGAATATAAAACAACATTATTTTTTACGGGATGTTGTTTATAGGGAGACGCAGCCACACCGAGGACATATTCAGAATTCTTTTGTTTCCTGCAGTGTCATTTCGTGTTTTTGAACATGTGGAAATGTTGCACGTTTTACGTACACCTCACAGTCAAAACGGTGCATCGTCGTCTTTGGGTGAGCGCTCGTCGCCATCCAACTATTCCGACTGACTCACCAAAGGACCTTGTGACGAATTTCACTTACACATGCTATGCAACCTTGTTATTCAAACACAGCCATCATTCAAAAACATGAGCTGAACCGGGCTACTTCGCGGAGGAGTACCTTTCCCTTCATTGCCAAAAAAGCTGTAAAGAAACTTTTTTTAAATATGATAGTCTTTCTTGGGGACCTTTGACGTAAGAACTTTGGTCTGTCTCTCTGTCTGTACGTTGGTTTGTCCACCATTACCGCGACCCGGGTACTCTAAACAGCACCAGCCGATAACCCGAACGGCCGACTTTATTCGCAGCGCCCACCAGTGTTGCTCAAGGATCAGCGTTCATACGTGTGCGATTGTCAATTCAAAAGCGATTATTGCGCATATCTGAGGCACCATAACAACACGTATATATTCTGCATGTTCGTCTTTTACTAGAAAAGGCATACATTAGTAATTCTAAGGACCGTAGCGCTTATCACGCTGCGCTGACCATGCAACGCTTGCACGAAGAAGCAAGTGTTTCCAACGCTTTGCTAAGACGACACGATGGTGGCACCTACCCATCGCCTTGCGTTCTACACCTTATCACCTCTGAGACGGGCACGTTTTCCAAATAAAACTGCCAGATGACGCTCATGTCTCACGTGTGACGTGACTTGATGCGCTCGTTCGCCTCCGCTGCACTCTAACGAGCGCCTCCGGAATACCATTCACCGATTTTCTTGCGCAGAACATCAAATAAATGTTTTGTTCACTCTCTTCACACTCTCTTCGACCACATTTGCAGATTACATGCAGATACGGGCCAATTTTTTTTGTTATGCCTTCTTTAAATGCCAATCTATTTCGTGATCATCATTCTGCTTACACTGCGACAGGGCAACATATAGTTCCTGCATGCAACTCTTTCCACTGACCTTTGAATCTGTGATGCACACAACGTTCCATCCTTCAAGGGCGCTAAAAAGACACATTGTCTGAGGCTGATAAAATGTTTCTCAGTACTTATCTTTATGAACCTCACTGCAAGAAAATGAAGACCGCACTATTTCCTTTTGTTTGCGCTGATGTGGTGCTGTTTCGTTTTGTATTCAGTTTATTGTGGGTTCCCAAATGTTCTAAAGGCCTTTCAATTTTAATTTCCTACTCTCTTATAAACACGACATATTTCGCATTTACCAATAAAAAAATGAACCATGTCCCAAACAGATGCCTTCAAAATTCACATCATAGTAACTGGTGCTGGAACTTTATGATGGTGTTGCTGGTCTTTCACTTTCATGTCGTTTCCGAGTTGCAGAGACCTTCCGTCATGGTAGCAGTGTTTTTTTTTTTACATCGTATAACCATGATGACGACCTAGCTTAATTTTCTCATTAATGTAAGCAGAAAGTGTGAGCAGCAACTAGAACTCTTTTGGCTGGTGATGTGAACATTAAAAAAAATTGTGTGTGGATGTGTCTGCAGGCACAGAGAACAGCCTGCTAGAGCAGCTGAACACAGATGCCGAGACCAGAGCGTTGCACTTTGAGCTGGAGAACAGGAGACTGCAAGTCCTCCTTGACGAGATGAAGGCACAGGTCTGTTTTTGCTATTGATATTGAAAATTAGTTTTGGCAAGCAATGCTCAGAGTATAAACCTGCATCCCAGAAGTTGTAGTAGGCCTAGTGTTAATGTGCATCGATTAGCTGCATGTTTTTTGTTAGTGAAGCTATCTTTCATGTTCCTAGCAAGTTGTTTGCATTCTGTTTCGCTAAAACTATTGACATAAAGAACAATTCAAACGCTTTTAGGCAAAGTGACAAATACTACAACAGCTGTTTGATTTTTCATACACGAAGGAGAAAGAATAGTGTTCAAGATCTCAAGCAGGTTTTAAAAAAAATGTATTGTGGGAATTTTATTCCATTTTAGTTCATTTTCTTTAATGCATTTGACAAAAGGGATTGATGCTGTCTTAATCTTCGACTACTGTTATGTGCCGGCCCTATCCCGCTATTTCTGTGGAGCCCAAGACTTATATGGAGTAAACAGCAGGTACAGTTTCAAAATCAGAATAATCGCGCAAGTAAGAAACTTGTTACCGAATGTAGCTGGCTGCATTTGTGCAGAGAAAACAGATGCGTGCTTGACGTTATCTGTAGTTTTGCATTTGCTTTAACCAAAACCACCTTGCTTAGCATAATTTTTGGTTGTGGAAAAGTTAAGCCTGTGCTATAATCACACGCAGGTTTTTCTTATGGCATACGTTTTTTTCTTGTGTGTTCATGCAGGTGCAGGAGAGTCCTACCAAGAAAGAGTTACAGGCACAAGGTGAGTGTTTTTAGACAGTTGCGCTTTTCTGTATTTGTTGTTACAGAAAATTAGAGGTAGCACCTTTCTAGTAACCACTGCCAAGTCTATGCAACATTACTGGCAAACAAAAAGTCCGTAATTTATTTGAATGTGGCCATAAGTTAGCACTGTTCACTTAGTTGCAAACAGCTCATTATAAACCTTCATGCAGTCTTGTGCATGTCAGTCATGCGAATGATAGATCGAGCTGTGGCGATCTCGTTTTGAGAGTATCTCTCGTGTTCCAGTTTTTAATTCTTAGATATTGCTGCTTTGCTGCGTGTTAAAAGCCACTTAATGAATTGCTGACTTTATGAATTGCTGTTATTCAATTTCATACGCAGTGTGCTTTGGCCAATGAGCGACTTGAGCAGCTCGAACAAGAAAACGCAACGAAGGAGCAGCAGCACGAAAGCGACCGTCATCGAATAGCAGGCTTAGAGTCGGAAAAGGCAGAATTGCAGCGTCAACTAGAAATCAGCAAGGTGATTTTTTGTTCCTCTTAATGCGAACTTCTGATCGTGTGCTTAGTGGAGTTACAACAGTAGAACTTTATCAATTTTGACGACATCAGAGACTACTAAAGGGCACCAGTACATTTAAAATGCCGAGTTTTCATGGTCGATATGTGTACATTAACACCGTCCGTTATAGGTTGAATTTGTGAGTCAACCACTCTGTACTCTAAACAGACTCAATCAGTATAAATTGAGCAGAGAACCATTACAATTTCAGTGGGAGCTCAAACCAACAAATGTCTTGCTACTTTGTGTGTGCCGATTTTGCTTTTCATTGTACATTGTTCCTTATAGGTAATACTATGTGAAAATGCATTGCACAGGAAAAAAAATATGGTGCTAGTCAAACTATTACATGTTGTGGCTGGTTTTTAGCTCAACACTTATTTTCGAGGCCTCCACTCTAGATTGTTGGCCCAGTCTTAATGCCACATTTTTTTGTCATATGTGTGTAATGCTAAGTAAATTGCTGTATTGAGTTGTTGGAGAAACATGAAGGTGTGCCATACACGCAACTCCTGTCAGGCATTAATGCCTTTTGGCTATGTAAGATGCATTAGTTTTTTTCGTTAAAGCAAAAACTTGGCTTGAAGATTGTCTATTACCACAAAATAAACGAGCATGAGTATTGGAAGAAACTCAGATGATCATGAGAAAGACTAAGTTTAGGCCTTGTCTCAAACCCTCTTTTTGCACATTCCCCCTTCTTGAAAGACAAGCCAGCTAGATCAACAACATACCCTTTTGTGTGTGAGGTCTGATATTCCCCGCTCGTTTCAGAACGAGTGCGCCAAAATCGAAGAACTTGAAAAGGCTGCCCTGGCGTCGAATCTAGAAGCGCAAAGACTGCAGAAGGCTCTCGATGCGTCACAGAGCAGGCTGTCTTCGTGTAGGACCGAGCTTCAGGTAAGTCATAAACAGCCTCTTACAGGAATGACGGCAGTGTTTTATCTAGCGTATGGATGCTTTCTTAGTACAGAAATATGTCTTGTCGTCAGTAAATCTGACACGACTCATGAGGGTCTTTTGGTATTGTTGCACGGTCCGCCCATTGCAGGCAGCAGAAGCAGAGAATGCAAAGTTGCAGTCTACATTGGAGTCTCTCAAGAGTCAGCTCCAAAGGATGCACAGCATCGAGCTGGAAGGCGCGGACCTGGAAACATGGCTGCACCGGGCCGAGCAGGAGCGCCGATCTTTGGATCGCGAAGCGAGTCGGCTACGGTCGTCGCTTCAGGTTTGTGACCAGTTGCGCATTGAAACCGATACCACACGGTCACCTTAAAGTGTCAAATGAACATTTCTTCATGAATGAGAGAAAAATTTTTTCAAGGGGCTTGTAACACGGGTAGATGCAACCAAATGTCTGCAACCAGGGAAAGCACAGGGGACATTAATTGCAGTCTAAATTCAAATAAAATAGAATGGACAAAAGAACTCCCTTTACGTATGTGATCCAAACCCACAACCTTCAGATACGATTTTCGACGCTCTGCGGATTGACTACAATGGAAGGCGCATCACTGTCTGCCCCTATTGAAATTTTGCTATGTGTTATACCGAAAGTGCTAGACAGCACTAATTTCAAGTTGTGTCATTACTGCAGTACACTAAAAGGCAACAATTGATGTCCCCCATGCTTTCCTTGTCTTAATTGTCAGTGGCTCTCGTTTGGTTGTCTCCGCTTTCTAACAAGTTATAAGAAGCGCTCTGACAAGCATCACATATGTCAGTGCTGAACTCTGTTGTGGCATAAACTGCACCACCAGCAAACTAGATGAGGACTATAATTCCATGCTTTCTGAACTGACGTCGTAAGCGATGCAACGTCAGAAGATACAGCTGTACGAGGAGTGGTTGTTGTGTACACACTACTATTTCTGCTATACTGACATGACAGGCCAAGGATCAATCGCTGGACGAGCTGTCCTCGCGGGTGTCTACTCTGGAACGGGAGAATCAGCAGCTGCGCAAGGAAGCCCAGAAGGCAGCCGCTTCGGCTGCTCACAACCAAGACCTGGAGCACCGCTGCCAAGAGTTGTCCCAGAAGGCCTCGCTGGAAGCAAAGGCCCTCAGTGATCTACGACAGGTGCGTGTGCTTGTGGCATCGGAGACCGCCAGCTCATTTTATAGAGATTCATGGTGCTGTAATAGTAGTTTTTAACGCATGGTAGAAGCGTTAACTGGAAAAGCAAGTTGTAAAAATGCACAAAGCAGTATTATGGTTCCCAATTATTTCTCTGTAGTTGAGGAAAAATAAAATTTTTGTTTTGAGAGTTAGTATGCGTACACATGTACAGTTTAATACACTTATAATGATACTGGTTTTAACAATGTATCGGTTATAAGGACAATAAGCTGCTATACCGTCAGCATTTGTATGCTTTCTATGTGAAATAGCCCGCATAAAGCAATGCCCGCATGTCGCATTATCAGTTATAGCAATGAATTCTGGCTGTTGGGTGTACGTGCCGAAAGGTAGTGCAACGAAAACCCTCAAAAAAAACAACAACAACAACAACAAGAAATTCAAGTAGCTGAATCCCTGTCTATAACCCAAACGTCCCTTTGAATTTGCAGTATGCTTCACCGCACAGCGTGGTGGCACTGCTACAAAGCCAATATTCGAATATTTTTGGGTACAGCGCGAGATCGACAAAGATTCCTTATGTAACAATGACCATGCTGTTATTGATGCTTTCATTCCTCCCACCCCTCTTAGGTAATACCCTGAAAAGAGCCTTTATAGTGCCTTTAATGGTACAATAAATGATGATGATGATGACTGAAGACAGAAGATGTACACAAAAATGCTGCCGTACCGACTAGCCCAACTTTCAATACTATTGCTGGCGTTGAAAATCCGCTGAGGCGCAGCAACAGTGGGGCCTTCTTTCATACACTTTTTAACATGAAATTTGAAGTTATAGTTAAAGCTTGGAAGACTTTCGGAGTCCTTCAGGTGTCGACATATTGGCTCTATGGGGTTTGTGGCAGTCCGTGAAAGCATCTGTATTTTCAGCCATGTCCGAATAATCGGCAGTTTTGTCATCCATATCTCTTGCATACCCCATCTGATGTCCCAGTTTTCTCACAACAGCCTGCCATCCCCTATTTAGCATATTTTCGTGCAACTCGTTAACAGTAGTTATCGGTTATAACAATGAAATTTTTGCGACAGTCAAGTATTGTTATGGGCGAGTTCGATTGTACATGCATACAGTTATACATGCGTACACGTATGGTCGTGTAATTACATATCAAGTTGCATAGGACCATCGATTGTTATGTCTGTGTCCAGTGCGCTAACGCCCTTTTTTGTTTTTCATTCTTAATAGGCGTACAGAAATCGCCATATGAAACACTTTTTGAAGTTGACTTCTGCTCGCAGTTTTGTTGATAACCCTTGTTTTTTATTTTTATGCAACTTATTCCACTCTGTTTGATTATGTTCTTTTTTTTTTTGCTTCTTTGGGTTTTCATGAATGTTCACGTGACGTTATATCAATGTTGTCTTTGCAAACTATAAGATGTGGGTTTTCAGTATATATACCAACTCGGCCAGCATTCTACGTTACTTCAGTAAAGATTCTGAAGAAAATGCTTTGCCATGTGTAAATTTAGCATACATTTCTTTCCTATTAAGGTGATAGGACATCCTGCATTGATCCGATTTTGAAATTTAAATTGCCACTTCCCACAGAAAGGCATCATTCAAATACATTAAACAAACTTTGCAATGTAGTATCCGACTGCTCACCGAAAAAACGGAGACATTTTTGCGATGCTCTTGAGATATTGTGTGCAGATTTTCATTCTTCTTCAGATTGTTCTAGTGTTTTCTTCACTAAGAAGCGTTGGTGTGGTGGTGGAGGAGAAATAGAAAAAAAAAGTTGGCTGTGACATTAGGACAAAAACTGATTTTACTGTAATTGGTTTGCACGTTGCAGGAACTCGTAGAAGAGAAAATGCGCAACGAACAACTGACCAGTGAGCTTGACCGCATCGCCACAAGTTTGGAGCTGACAACGAGCCTGTGGAAAACGCAGAGAGAAAACAGGTAATCCTCGCAGGGAGAAGGTACTTATCTTTTTGTAGCTGCTTTTAAATTCCTGTCGGCCCAACGATTGTAACGTCGCAGTTCTTACACACTAATCAATGTTTCACGGGATCCGTGAAAACCTGTAAATGCCAAAGTACTGGTATTGGATCAATAGAATAAACTGCGTCGTGATTTCTACTTCGCCCTTTCCTCAATCACTTGAATGTTTGCTGAAACACACGTTTATACTCCACGGGCCTCTATGGGTATGAGTGTGCACCAAAACGTTACATTAAAATCTTTATTTTGGCTTGTTCAGGCTAAGCAAGAACTGGATGCTCTACCTCTAGCAGAACATATGACTTCTATCATGTTATCCCTATGTAGTCGTGCGTGCCGCCTCCATCGGCAACTTCAGATATAGCCCAATTTCCTTTTAACTGAAAGCTTCACAGAGTCTGTCTTGGTGTAGATTGCTGCGTTTCAAAATCGTGCTTGTGTTTTGCGTTTGTCATGCTGTGCCAAGCTGTGATGAGGAAATTGGGTGAATGTAACACTGGCCCACAACATTAGCAAGGCTGCCCCACCGTGCTGGTCTAGTGGCTAAGGTATTCGGCTGCTGACCCGCAGGTCACGGGATCGAATCCCGGCTGCGGCGGCTGCATTTCTGATGGAGGCAGAAATGTTGTAGGCCCGTGTGCTCAGATTAGGGTGCACGTTAAAGAACCCCAGGTGGTCGAAATTTTCAAAGCCCTCCACTACGGTGTCTTTCAAAATTATATAGTGGTTTTGGGACGTTAGACCCCAAAAATCAATCAATCAACATTAGCAAGGCTAGTGCATAGTTGCCTGTGTGTTCGTTCAGTTGTATTCGATGTTTTTCCGGCGTGAAAAAGCACTGCTTTGAACAACATCGATGCACATTGTTGTAAGCATGCACCGTGGACGCCCAATTCATGTCTCTTGCGCTATTCATATTGTGCCTTGTGCAAGATGAGGCATGCCTTTACAGTTAAAACCTTTTCTAAGAGGCATGCTCCGGGCAGTGATTCTTGTCTTTTATATGAGATGTCTATTATAAGCAGGGTATCTCCGACGCATTTCCTTATAAACCTGTATTTTACCGTGGGTACACTGGTGTTTCTTATACCCATTTGTCTCATATCAGTGCCTCTTATAAAGGGGTTCCACTGTATGAGCCATGGGCATGCTTAACCTAAATTTTGAAGTGTTACTCATGCCTCAGCTAAAGGCTATGGCAACAGTGTATGTCGTTCATGTGTCTTAATGCGCAAATTTTATTCTGTCACCAGCCGAGAAACGCAGGAGTCTCCGAGAGAGCCGACTTTCACGCCACTTTTCTGTCTCGAGAAGACCAAAGCTGTGTTGGAAGAGTAAGTGGTTTCTGTCGTTCTCTCTCTCTTTTTTTTTGCCATTATATCACGATTTTTATTTCTGTTAAATTGTCATTTTGTGTCAACAAAGCTAAAACAGGGGAGAATCCTGCTGTGTAACATGGTTAACTGGGAATTATTATCGACCATTTGTAACAACTCACATTGGCTATCACAGTACTAGATTGTAGTTTGTTATGTTAGGAAATTACATGCCACTAATTTATTTCAGGGTTGAAAGTTTGTCCAGCGTGAGTGCAGAAGACAAGAGATCCAAAGCCGATCGAGAAGCCATTCTGCCCAAAAGCACCGAGCTGATAGAGTGTGTTCCCGAGTTGACGAACAGGTACGGATCACCCCAGTCGGTCGTGAATGAAGTTTTTGCGAGCACTATCTTGTCTTCACACTTTGATCTGGTTGAGAAAAAGCGAGAAATGAGAAATGAATGGAGGGCTCGATATCAAACCCTCTCAGTGGAAGTCATGCTGATTAACTTACACGCCTAGCAAGTCTTTTGTTTCTGCATGAAGTACTTGCTGTGCTCATGTTCCATTGACATTTGGAATGTTCATTTGTGTTAGCAGTGTGGACAGAGACAAGCTGATCTCAAAGAAAGTCGTGGAACTAAAGGAGAGCATTCAGGCACTTGAAAAGAAGGTGCGTATGCATGTATGTGCTCTTCATGAGGACCGTATCAATGTTCGCAACTCATTATAGTTGGGCAGCAAGTGCTACTAAATGATTGATGTGTTCTGCTCTTGTGGCCTGTTAATTCAGTACAGTAGTGTACCCTCTATTGAGCAGTACAGTTCTAGTGAAACATGGAATGCTCTAAATGTTGTTTTCAGAGGTTCTATAGCATTTGGAGTAGTTTTTGTTTACAGTTATAACGTGCTGGCAATGTTAACTTCACTTAGTAAGTAAAAATGACTTCTAAAAGCACAAGGTTGATGCTAGTGTAGTGCACTCGAACTGGAAGATTGTCCGACAGAGTTCCAAATTAATTATGAAATAATCTTACATTTCAATTCCTAAAATAGTGCATTTGTGCAAAAATATTCAGAGCTGCAGAAGTGGCATTTTCAAAATTTTCAAGACGTCGTCTTAGACTGCCTACCCTCAGATTCTATTAAGAGCCACGATTTCTAATTTTTGTCTTAAATAAACTGCAACAAAAGGAAATGAACTAAAGCAAAACAAATAAAATAACTATGAATAAATAATATGAGAAATATGACGTGGCAGCCACTAAAAAATGCTATAAAATGTGAGCCCGTCTTCATTCAGTCTTAATTCGATGATTGAGTTATCTGTCGAATGCATTCACTACACTCAAACCTCTATTTAACTAACATTTATATAATGAAATATTGGTTATATCGAATTTTTAAATATAACAAACTTATTTTTGTGTAAAATGCAATTTTATTATAATGAGGTCTTAGTATATATTCAGTATGCCAATTCTGGCAATAAACATTTTATATCTGCTTCGTTATATCAATGTCATTAATAACAAAGCTCTACTGTACTTAATTATTTTATTTGCACCAAGGTTTTATTCTAACTTCCTGACCTTCCGTGCCCTCGCTCATTAGAATGGCTGCCTTGAGGAAGAAGCCTGGCGCCTGCGTAGCCAGCTGCAAGCGTTGCAAGAGCACACAGCTTCCTTGCAGGGGCGAGCAACGAGTGGAGAACAGCGCCACCTGGGGCTACAGGCTCAACACGCTCAACTACAGGTGTGTGACATTGTGGCCCAGACATGGAGTGCTGATGACCAAAAAAAAAAAAAAAAACACTTCCGATTGTTACTTAAAGGCAGTTAGTTAGCTGCTGCTTTTTCATTTGACAGCCAAAAGTTGTTGGGTGTAACGTTTTTAACATCCTAAAACTGCAAGGTAGGCTATAAAGATGCCGGTAGGCTATAAAGATGCCCTTTACGCTGTTTTCGTGCGTTAACTTGCAACGAAATCTAAGTATAAAAGTTTTTAAGCTCACATACCATACAAGGATGACAAATTATGGATTACTAACATTAGGAACAAACTCTAAAAGATGACTAGAGTAACAGATGAGCTTTAAGTTTCATGGTTATAAAAAGCCCAAAGCCAGAATAAAATGTTAGTGAACAATTTATGGCATACTGCAGTTTATAGCATACTGCAGTTGTTTTAGTGTGAAATTATTCTTTCTTGGTTTGAGGCTTTTGTATCATATAGGTTTACGGAAAAGTTGCTGCTTGCTTGAAGTGGTTTCTTCGGTTAGAAACCTTAGGCACAGTACAACAAGCAGCGTTAGTAAGGGGTGCCGAATCAGTACTATATTTCAGCATGGCCAACTCAATGTGGCAATATTGCGACTTTCTGTTGTTTTGACTGCCATGCAAGTAGTGTCAGTACTTTTGCAAGTAGTGTCAACAATTTCCAGTTTGGCATTGCTTGTGTGATGCTGGCTTGTGTGAGCAGCTTTGTGTGTTCAACTTGTGTTGTGGCTAGATCATTTTGCTTCTGCAGAACTAAATGAAAGGCGTGTATGACAGTACACTAGCAGCCATATGTAACAAAGGCACACCCCGTAGCACTTCAGTACAGCTTCACTAATGGATACCCAATTTTTAATCATGCTGGCAGTTAAAACATAGTTGCTGCAAATCTTGATCAAGCCTAACAGAGCCTGATGCATTCACTGTCCAATTAAGTCGTAGTAGCTGTTCTATGCTTACTAGTTAGCACATATTGAAATCACTCTAGTGGCTACGGTACTCTGCTGCTGAACCGCAGGTCGCGGGATCGAATCCCGGCTGTGGCGGCTGCATTCTCGATGGAGGCGATAATTCTGTAGGCCGCCCGTGTGCTCAAACTTGTGTGCACGTTAAAAGAACCCCAGGTAGTCAAAATTTCTGGATCTCTCCACTACGGCGTCTCTCATAATCATATGGTGGTTTTGGGACGTTAAGCCCCACATAACAATCAATCAATCATATTGAAATCTGATTTTTTGCCTTGCAAATGTAGTAACTGTACCCCTCAGCTCATTGTCACATTATGCCACAAAAGGTCTTCCACCTTTTCAGTAAATGCAGAGACCAGTCAATTATTCCAACTTTGACACGATTGTGATGATGCCTTTATGGATAATAATCACTTGGAGAGAATGAAAGTAAGATTGCATCCATTAACTAAGCACCAGGTATTAAATTATGTGCCATTGCACCTGTTGAGCAGAATCTCTATACTTCCTCGGCTGCCATACTCACAGAGAATATGCATTGCTTACGTTTTACAAAACACTCGTATGCGGACAGCAGGTTAATCGAGCTTGGGAAATAATCAGAGCATTACAGAGCAAGAGTTCATAGGTGTCATGTCAAATTCAGGTGTATCAATGTCAAGTTGTGGTTTGTGTGCAGGTGGAGGCAGCCTATTTAGGATCACAGCACACTGCCCTGCAGCAGAAAGTGTCGGAGCTTCAGGAGCAGCTGCTGAAGACCGAGACACAACGAGATCAAGTACGATTTTGTCATTGTAATTTTCTTATTACATGTTTTTGCTGAGGTCACGCTAAAATTTATGCTGGTTTTAGACACGTCACCTCATAGGAATGCATGAGGAAGTAACTATACTCGCAAACAATTTACTGAATCGCAATTGCTGCAAATTTCAGTAGTGCCTTTCAGTTCTGATCTGCAGAAAGACGCAAAGCTTATGGTATTCTGTCTTACTGTTTGCATTACTGTTAAAAGTAATTTACCTTGGGCCAAGACCGCACAACTTGTGCACGAAACACTGTTGTCAGACCAGTAGTGCCACTAAAGCCTCTTATGCATTCACTGAGAGCCATGAGCTTTTACTCAGTGAGCATAGGAAGTAGGGGGCACACAAAAGAGACGACAGCTGGAAACGCTATCACGCAGCTAAAGTGTGTTGAGGTAGATTATCTAACCTGGTTCCTGCTGTACTCTTTTATAAAGAGGGTGGTACAACTCGATTGTTGTAATTGGGATAATTTCGTGGCCGTGAAGAACCACGCTCTGAAGGCGACTCAGTTTTATTTATCAAGGTGAAGAGTTTATAAGACATGAACAAACAGCACTGGACATGAGATGGTGAGATAATGACAGATGAATGCCATGAAGTAACAAGCACTGGTTCATTGCTTGAATGTGCAATATATACAGAAACATTGCGCGAAAGAACAACAGAAATACAGTAACTGCGCAAAGCACAAACAGAGGCAGCAGGTCATTGTATCGGATGTGTCACCAAACAGGCTGTCACATTTCAGACAACTGATTTGACAGTTGTGTAGATAAATCAATGCAACACTGATGCAGGCATTTCCATGTGCGTAAATATGGTAAGCTTCGCTAATGCCACATTTTCTTTGCATCTCTATGTTACCCAATTGGTATATATTGCATACCCAAGCAATAAACCGTTGGTTGTTACTTCAGGGCCTTCAGCTGCTGTTCTCTGACCGTCCCGTGCCCAGCGCCATTTTTTCAGGTTTTAATCATGTACCAATTAGCCCGGTTAAGTGCACTGCTAAAGGATGAATAGATTTTTTTTTTCTTTTTGTAAAACACTGCCGTGAAATTTTCCAGTTTTTTAGCAAAGGCAAGGATTCAAGCGTGGTATAAAAATGTGCAAATCGTCTGCGCGCAGCTCTCTGTGGAAAAGACGGAGCTGGCTCAGAGCAAGGAGGCACTGATGCGCGACCACCAGGTGCTGGAGAAACTGCATGAGCAACTGTCGGCCGACTACCAGGCCCTGGCGTCAAACCTCAGCTGCGTCAAGGCCTCGTGCAAGTTGCTCAAGCAGGAGAATGCAAGCCTCAAGGTACACCGAGTGACGCGTTCATTCTTCCAGTTCGTCATGAAATTTTGTTTGGGTGATATAACAAATCAATGAAGTATTTTGAAATTCTTGAGATGATACTATGAGAAATGTATGTATGAAAAAAAGAAAGTTTAAGGCCCTTAAGGCCCTTGTTTCAAGTTTAAGGCCCTTTAAGGACACATAACCTTAGTGAAAACCAAGAGACAGTGAAGCTGTGAGGTAAAGGGGACGGAATTGGTAGTGTTGTAACTGTATTGTAGTAATTGTGATGTAAAGATGTGCCACTGGCAGGCACCGAATCTGCAACCTTAACATAATGGAGGCTGTGCATGGTATGCTCTACTGCCACTGTGGTGTAGTGGTCGCAGTGCTCAGCTGCTGACTCAAAAAGGTTGTGGGTTCGATCCTGGTCGCAGCAGTCACATTTTAATGCAATAACGCAAGTGTTTTTGTTTATGCAGGAGCAACTGGAGGAAGCAAACCTTTCAAGTGAGGTGCTGCGACTGGCCCAGGATGAACCAGTGGCAAAAAACCTGCGCTCTGAAAATGCCAAACTAAAGGTGTGTGCGTGTGCACGTGTGTGCTTGAGCACATGCTGCAAATGGCTTTATTGCATTTGTGCTGCCGTCACCCTGTGTTTGTATCCAGCTACTTGCTATGTTGTTCAGCTTTCACAGTTACAACACTTCTAAGCCTGTACCGTGCAAATGCGTTGAGCGACGACGAAGTCAGCGCTCCTGTCTTACTTCGTGGTGTGGACACACTTGTGGCTTGAGGTCTACGATACCATATGAAACTTTTTAGTGGGATCTTTGTTTTTTTTTCTGTGGAAGTACCAGTTTTGAATTTTTAGCATGAACTCAAAGTTGTGGATAAATAGAGTGCTATGGACTAGCTTTCACTGTGTGGAGTTCTTTAGAGTGCTTAGAACTAATTCAATTACTTTAGTGTTCCAATTTTCCACTTAAATGCCGCCGTAGCTGCTACTGAGCATCAAACAGCGCTGCCATGGTCTCTAGCTAAACTGTTGCCATGTATGAATTTCCAGGAAGAGCTGAGTGCTGCCCGACAAGCTGAGGAGAAATTGCGCGCTGAGTTCGACGCCTTAAAGACTCAGCATCGGACGCTGAAAGAGTCGCACAGCAACCTGCGCTCGGACCACAGCCGCCTTCGCGGGGATCTCGAGGAAAGTCGCAGTGACCTTGTAGCAGCACGGATGGATCTCTCGCGACTGGTTGCCAGCTACGAGGCAAGTTTATGCATGTGACGATCGCCATGAGGCCTGTGAGCACTGACGCTCTTTACTGTCTAATCTTTTTACTACTGTGATGATGTACCGTTATTACGAAAAACAAGCTCTTTAGAAACTGGAACGGGTGTAAACATGGCATATTACAATGATTGTTAATGCTTTTCTGATGTTTGCAGCAGAAAAATTCACTCAGCAGAAAAATTCAAGAATGTCACTGTGCCTTCAGGCAATGTCAAGGAGAGTATAAGCAAAAAGCCAATGCTCTCCCGAGACAATCATTAAATTACTGTGAAGTTCACAGTTGATTGCATTGCCCCACATTCCTCAAAGCTTTCGGCATTGCATTCTTTGTTGCACAGCCCTCAGTTTACCTCCGTCCCCTTTTGACCAAGCAGCAATGTCATGTAGTGATGTCATTGAAGAAAGTCATGACGTGATGGTAATGTCACAATTTGGCATCATTCAATGACCTTGTGTGACATTTTGCTGTTGCGTCTGTGGGGTGCAAGAGTACTTTTTGTAGTCATGCCGTTGCCGGTCGTCACTAATTGTTGCCAAAGCTTTGACCCTGCATCTTTAAGCAATGCTTTTATAACTTACAGAATGCACTGGCAGCATTGTATGCGAAAAAAATCACTGCATTTCAAGCTGCTTGAAGATAATTATGGGGGGCAAAGCTTTCGGGGGGTGATTATTGTGATTATAGTTGAGATAGTACTGAGACTGATTGCGGTTGTGATACGTATATATTTTTTAATTCAAGGAGATAGTGCTGAGACCAATCGTGATATAGCGGTGCTTCTTCTTTTTAGCTGATATGAGGTTCCAAGTTCCGGGTTACGTTTTGACTTCATAATCACAGCTTCATTAGCTATCGTCTCTGGTGTAGAATTTTCTTGTCGGTATTGTTGCCTTGCATCCGCTTCAAGTTGTCTCAACTGTGTGTCAGCTTGGCGTTTTTCCCGCTTAGCCTTTGCTTCCTTGGCTCTAGTCTGTGGTGTAGAACTTTGTTGTCGCCGTCGCCGCTTTGCATCCGCTTCCTTCTCTTTTGTCTCCGCGGTAGCTTCCCGTCGACGGCGACGCTGATGCTCAGCACGCCGCACTTTCCTGCGTTCGTCTTCGTCCATATGAGAGAAGAGAATGTGTGGTATGGAACTTGGTTATATATATATAGCGTTGACAGCAGCGCCAACACATCTTCAATTAACCACAGCGCCCTCTGTTGCTTATAAGTTGAAAGTTACATGCAAAGCGGTTACCACCAACGCCCTCTGTTGCTTATAAGTTGAAGGTTACATGGAAAATGGTTCAGAAATGTCAGACAGATGAAGACGTGTTACGGACAGACGGGAGACGGCGGACATCGCGAGGTCTTAAGGAGCTTCGCCCCTAAAAAATGCCATTGGCGAGCGTTCAGGATTGTGGCTCTCATAGGTGCACCGGTCATATGTGTATTCGTGTGCACTGTTTTTCGATAATTATAGCTCTATTGATCATGGACTCATTGGTGATCATCTGTTGTTGGGGTGACCTGTCATTCCACGCTGCCACATTTTATTGTTGCCCGGATATGAATGCGTGACCGTTGTCATTGCCTGTAGCAATTGAAGTGTTGCGTTGCTAAGCACAAAGACGGAAATTCAATTGCAAGCATGGGGGAAGGAAACGATTTAGAGAGAGCATTGTAAAATGCGATAAAAAGAAAAAAAACAAACAGGAAAGTTGTACATTAGGCGTGCACTTGCCAAGCTTCATTTGTCCCAATTTTTATAACAGTTCCTGAATTTTTTCACTCATGTGAAATGCAAAGCTTTTAGCCTTGATAATCTGACTGGAACTTACGCCATTTGCAGGTGCTCGCACAGGCGCAGGGAGAGCTGCAAGAGGAGAGGAGGAGGCTCCTGTCGGGAATCTCGTCCCTCTTGAGTCGCTGCAGAAACGTGCTGCCCGAATCTTCACTGCCCGGTATACAAGAAGACAGGGTCCTCCTACGTGAGCTCGAGTCGCTCAGGGATGACCTCGAGGGACGCCTACGAGATTACGCACGAAAGTTAGACGGGTGAGCGTGTTGCTTCTTCCAAGTTTTGCTCTCCGCAACTCATGCCGTTCTACGCACAGGTCAACTTACCATCGATGCTGCATTAAACGTGTGCTACAAAGCTGAGGTGCATTTCGAGATCTTGCCATTGCTTTTCTGGTTTTCCGCGCAGTATTTTTTTTCTCTTTCACATCAATGTATTCTGATTTGTGCCTGTTTGCGATGCGTTGTTACTGATGTTGAAAAGGTTACAAAGCTGAGAGGCATTTCGAGAGCTTGCCATTGCTTCTCTGGTTTTCCGTGCAGTCTTTTCTTTTTTTCTTTCACATCACTGTATTCTGATTTGTGCATATTTGCGATGAGTTGTTTCGGATGTTGAAAAGGTTCAAGGTGAGCTGAGCTTTATAAAGATCTGTTGGAGTATAGAAAAAACATCGCCGCGGGAGGGAAACGTTGACACCTACCTGAAAGCAACACAGGACGCTATAATGAAAGCCCATTATCTGTGAAATAACGCGTTCACGATTTACAAAAGCTTTCTGGACCAGAATGAATTTCTAATACAAAGCCCCTTTCTAAGGTACCTGCAAGTGTTTCCTCTCTGGCTCTTGGACGCAGAAAGTCTCAAAGACTCGTGCATCCCTAATTATAGCTCAGTGTTTTTACTTCTATTCTCCGTATGTGACTTTCTTAACATAATTTTTTAATATACCTTATTTCTTGTTTTCAGGAACCTATCTCTGTCAAAAGAATCTCTCTCGAAGTCAAGATCTGGTTACTTGAGTTGTAATGTGTCACAGGTGAGTGAAAGTACCTGTTTGAAATAAGGTGTAAACAGCTGAACTGTTAGTTTTGTCTTAAGCATTTCGAGGAGTTCCGCTTCTATTTTTTATACTTGTGTACTTATGTTAGAAAGATTGTATGTACAAAATATAATTGTGGTCATGAGATGATAAAGCCTAACACAATTACTTTCATTTAAACCGATTGACACATAAACAGTGGTCTGTTTTGTCCTCAAGTCCAGTTTTTGTCTGTGTGTATGCAGATTTCAAGTACGCTGTAAGTGCAGATTTGACATTTACAATGCTATGTACATTCCTGCAATGCTTTTGACATGGAAATGCGCAAGAACTCAATGGTTCCGAGTGCGACAACCGAGTTTCATGGCCTTCTTATTGACCGAGTCTACTATTCATTGTACTAAAGCTTGTGTACTTTGTGCTCTTTTCTAATTCTTCGGCATGTTAGTTTTCATGGAAGAAAAATTACAGGCACTTACCAAACAAGAGAAATATAGGAACGTAAAAGTGCGGGATGTGATCTCGTCTACAAAAGCTACTGCTTGGGAATAAAGTTTCATTCTTGGGACGACATTTCAGACCAAGGAGACACTTCGGAGTAGTTCAGTGTGGTTTTATGGGAGAAGCTTTTACTGACCTCATAGGTTGTCATCAGGTACTATAGTGCACCTATACTATTGTCCAGTTCCCCCGCCCCCCTTTTAAGGGGGGCAACAATGCAGTGTCGCATATGAAGTCGCATATGGCACTGCACACAAGTGTGCAGTGTCACAAATGAAGTACTATAACCTGCTCGGTAGCGTTTACACTCAGTAATGTCTGTTTAAGCTTTTAGCGTTTGTAACCTCTAATGGAATGCACATTCTTTTTGTCACACGTAGATGAACGACGTCCTGAGCGTACCGATTGGCTCTATAGGCAATGGGCTGTGCTCTCAGAGCCGTTATCAAAGCGAATATGGCGACTACAATGGCCGAAATCCCTGGGGTAAGTGATGACATGGATGATGACTTACTTGTGTGGAATGCAAGAATTAAAAAAAGAGGATAGAGCGCCTCTACTGTAATGATTTAGTGGCTGTGACAAAGGAACAAGTACAATCACCAGGACTGAACTTTGCGAAAATCAACTTCACTTTTCATTCTTTTTGTTCTCGTCCATTAAAACTGATATTGCTGCACCTGAATTTAAAACTGGAACTGCTGCACCCTTTTTCATGGTTGCTGTCCCCATTTTTCTGCTCTTGCGAAGTTAATCTGATGTGGTTTTAGTCGCTAGGCAACAACTGCAATGAGCTGAATGTTTCTAAAAATGTAGAGTAAACATGAGTATTTTCAAAAGCAATTCTAAACAAAGTGTATGTATACCTAGGAACCCCCTGAAGTCAAAATTAAGCACCAATTCTTACAAAGATACAATGCTGTATCACTGCCACTGATGTCCGTAAGCCCAATGAAAAGAAAATACTTAGGATTGAGCTGGATTTGAACCATGGCTCTCTCTGTGGCAGTCAAGCATATTACTACAGAGCCACACAAGTGCTTGAAACTCCTTTGCAAAACTATTATACAGACATCATCTTGGGAAAAGAATGAAATTAACAATTGTAGTATAGTGAAATAGCAGCCACTCTGTCACTCAATGTGAATTGCATAACGAGTGCATTGTTCAAAGCTTTCCAGCCATTTCAAAAAGTTTAGTCATAATATTCGTCGTCATCAGCCCCGGCATTGCATATAGTGCCTTACAATATAGTGCCTTATAGCAATGTGCATATAGTGCCTTACATAGCAGGTGCTTGGCTTCTCCACAAAATGATGAATACATAATGGCATATAGGAACTCTACTTGGCAATCCTATGATGATTTATGGTGTAGAAGGTACCTTGCAACTGTACTCGCAGTCACCCCAAAAGGATTCGTCGGGCTCTAGAAAGGTGGCCCCTCTAACTTTCACTGTGACCGTGTTCCATGCAGGCCTGGTGTTTTTTTCTTTATCTAGGAAAACTTGACAAGCTTAAAGATTACACTAGTAGCGTTCAATTGCATCTAGCAAGGTCTAAATTTTTTAGAAAAGCTTTGCATGAGCTGCGATTTCACGTAACAGTAGTCCTGTGGCACGAGATGTGCGAAAAGTACCGACTCGTCGTTAATGCCAAGTCTTTGTCACTAGGGAGTGCACCTCAAGATGACCAAATTCCTGTGCGTGACGTTGGGCCCCTGGCCCAGTCTGCCCGCTGTCACGGATCGTCGCCAGAGAGCAGTCTCGCCCACTTTTCTAACTCCTGTGTGCTTCAGGATGTGCCACCAACCTGCTCAACTCCTCTAAGCACACCAAAGGTGAGTTTGAATTGTAGGCTTCACAGTTTGGCCAGTTTGAAAAGTGGCGTGATGGTGCTGCAGTCAACAATTGATTGACTCAGTTAGACTTGGGGAGTCTGGGGACACCAGACTTCTCCGTGTCCTTTGTGGAAATTGAGGCTACCCCGCTGCCTTTGCACGGGCTTTGCTGCCTTTCTGCCGTTCTGATGTCCCGACATGACTCCCCTCCTCCACTGTCTGCCGCGCTGGTAGAGCAAGGAATGACGTTTAACCCCTCTCACCAGGTAGCGGATGTCGACTGTGGCGCCACGCGCGGAGCCTCCAGAGAGGCTTTGCACGCGTGCGTCGGGAGCGAGACAGATTTTCCGGGACAGCTTAAGATGAGCACGCATTCCCTTTTCCGTCTCCCGTTGTTTGGGACTCGTCGGACCTCGCTGACGGCGTTTCGCGCCCGAGGTGAACGCTCACCTTTTGTTGCCCCACTGCGTACGCACGGCCGAAGGGCGGTACGGTGCCCTAGTGCGTGGCCTAGCTACACCGACCCGTCTCCCTCCGAAGCCAACGTGAGCGCCTTTGCCCTCGCTCGAGCAACCGGGCCTTGGTCCCGGTGTCTCCGTGGATCACCTTTCCCGCGGAGACGTGCTCGTGGCACCCTGTGTAGTACTTTTCACCCGTGGCGTAAATAAGCCCATTCGCTTTCCTGCCGCGCTTTTGTAACGGTGTTGCCACAGACAATAAGGTGTGTGACCTTGAGCAGTATCGTATTCTCGCCACAGCGACTGTTAACGCGTGCCTTCGGCTCGCTAAGACCGAACTCACGCTAGTGGCCTGCACCCCTTCGGGATACGTGTCACTACACCTTAAACATGGTGTTTTCAACTTTCTCGCTAATTTTGTGCACTGCATCTTGCTGTGCTGTTTGCTTGCTCTGCTACTCACTCCACAGGTTGGTTGAATAGATTGCCAGTTTTATAATTGTGTTTATTTTTACAAACATGAACGCTGTTTGCTGGGAAACTCATATTGCTGGTCCCTAAACCCAAGAAAAATAGAGATAGGGTCATTGCTCGAGTGGCAATCCTTGCAGGACTGAATGAATCTCCAACTTCCACACCCTGGTGTTTGGGCCCGCTGGTCATAGAATGTGCTGTGCCATAGAAGCTGTAGACTTTTGGAGGCAGGCACTTGTGTTGTATGATTGACAGAGGTGTAGGGGGTGGATCAGGTTCCGTGCTGCCCACAGTCTACAGTTGCCTTACGTTAAGCAAAAGTTGTGACATTCATGAACACATTGTTTTGTATGCGGCTCATGTGAAACATTTTTTTGTGGCATGTTTTCATCCAGAAATGTCTTTTTGCCCATGCTACAGCAACAATCTAGCCCACTGCCAGCCCTAGCCCCGCACGTGACCGTCGAGAACCACACCACCGTGAACATGGTGACTCACGTGAACTGCCTCTGAGCCCTGCCGCCGCATCTCCGGCCTCCACGGCGCAACCGCACACGTCCACGCCGCACAGTTTCTCGCGCACGCCCGCTCTGCGACACTCCATGTACTCGCGGCTGCGCGGGAGCTGGCGTCGGCAACTCGCCCGGCCTGCGGGCCCCTCTCAGGCTGTGCACGTCTCAGGAGAAGCTACTCCTCGATGACGGCACAGACTTCGACGCCTCGCAGAGCTCGACTGACCACGCCAATCAACCAGGCAGCCGTGAGAAAAGAGCAAACGCCGTTTGGTACGAGTATGGTTGTGTCTGAGTGTGATCTAGCTAAGCAGTCCACTACTGCAATTCTTCTGCCTGCTACTTTACTGGTTGCCGCTAAAGCCGCTTGTTTGCTTAGCACATCTTTCGTCGCTCTTTGCGCAGCCATGCGCTACATAAATCGGTGTCAGCTATGACGACCCTGAACAACGCACAGCTGAATGTTTGAAAGCCTGGCGCTCGCTTGTGCTCAGCACTTGAGAAGCCTACGTGTCCAGCGTGTTGAAAGCAGTAGGTCCGCCTGTTGAACCTCACAGATGCAAGAAAATTTCCTAGTGAATCTCAGCCAGCAAATGTTCGATGCGATTAGTGCGACACACGCTCACTTGGTACAGCGCATATAGGAAGTTGTCGAGAGTTTGGGCTTGAGAGATTTAGTCTATTTACAGGCATTCTGTAATGCACTAGCGAAGAACTGCAGGCAGGCTTGCCAGCGCAACAAAACAAGTTAATTGGTGAAGACACGGCTGAGTATACTGAATAGCCGAAAATATACTGAAATATACTGAAAAAAAAACTGCAAATGAAACCAAACTGGTTAAAAAGGTTATCGTACTAGTTAACAGATGCTCACTTGCTGGTCTTTGCTAAACGGTCCATGCTGCTTGGTTTCCATACCCAGAACCCACCGTATCTCCCACCACTGGTTAGGAGTGAATAATTCTTGTATCCGCGTTCTGTGCACATGGTTACTTTGCCGACATTATTGAGGGTCACATTTTTACTTCACGTTTCGGAGTTGTAGCCCATAATTTGCTCTCATCATAAAGCAGCCGACATGATTCACATTTCGCTGTCTAAAACGCCCAAGAATTTCCAGACTGCAGAATGCAGTTTGGCTATCACACTTACGTGCTTTACGTAATCATTTCGCCGAGAATAACATAGGATGATGCTGAGCCACAAATGTACAATCTACTTATCACCGTTCATAAGGCTGCTTGCTGTTACGGCGGCAATTTTAAGTGACAAACATTGCTCCACTCTATGTCTAGCGAAGGCTTATGATCAAAACGTCGTCGCACTACATGCATTCGAATCAAAATGTGCACAGGTACACGAAATGACTTGCTGCAACTGTGTGCCTAAACAGAGTGTCATTCATAATGCGAAAGTGTTTCTATGTGGCACGGTGATATGATACACAAAACACTCGCACTGAAGATTTTAAACCCTTGTGCAGCGCATCAGTCAGAAACTGGATTTTTCGACACCACTGGTAGCAGACATGCTCTAGCATGACAGAGTGTGTGTAACAATTGGTGTCGCGTGTATATTTGAGTTGTGCTGTATCTGAGTCGTACAATGAACTAGTACTCACAGATTGAAATGCGACATCACTTTTTTTAGTATAATTATTGCTGTGAGCGAGTGCTCGTGATAACCACACATGTGGCCACTAAAGGTATAGTTGGCTGTGATGTAAGTATGCGAGTCAAAATTATGTAGATGATGAACTGTACAGTCAACCACCACAGTTTATGGACCACATAAGCACATAGTCAAAGGTCTCGTCGCAAATTTTCCGCTGTGTCAGCGGCGATTGATGGAGTCTGCAGGCAAACACATCCCTCCCTCAATCGATGGCCTGTCCGTTTTTTTAGAGGAGCCAAATATTTTTCACCTTTCAGTTTTTAATGTGATGTACTATTTGGCAGCTGCGGCTACCTGCTTCTGTTCCAGCAAATGTCTATCAGAATGACTGTTATGAGTCGCTATCTTTCTTGCAAAGTGATAAGTACCCAAATACCGCTATTCGAGGCATGCCGTGATATCTTTTACCTACTAACAGAGTAGAAGAGCGACTGTCATACTGTGGATAAACGCTTTTCATAAAAACTGATATAACAATGTGCAGCACGATAATAGAAAATTGAAATACCAGTGAATATAACAATGAGACCCATTCTCGGCCCAGCGCTGCGGTTGACAGTACTAGATTGTGCACTACTAGATTGTGCACTACTAGGTGGCGCATGCTCCTGTGGTTTGTGAACTGTGAACTTTTGTGGTTGACTGTTCTTGGTGGATATGAAAGTATGTGCATTACATAGCCTTAAAAGTATGTGCATTACACAGGCTTAAAAAGTTTTTTTGCCACAATTCGCGAGTGCTACACATGTACACCTGGTTGATCAAAAGCTAGGCATTGTGAAAAGATGGGCCCAGCATATCAAACAATGCTGTCTCTCCATTATGTTCAAAAAAGAAAAAGCTAACAGAATACTATATATTCGAAAACATTGTTGAAAGGCTTGGCAGCCGGCGATATTCTTAATGCCCTGGTCACAGTTTATTTTCAAAGAAGCCGTGTCCGTTATGGTTCCTAAGACATTCACCGATGTATTTATACACGTGACATTCTGTGTGTATTTTCTCAGTTGGCTCATTTTGCTGCATATATTTCTTTTCATTGCTGTGTTTTGAAAATTCTTGATTCAGAGGTAGGTAAGCAGGACACCGAGGCATCTTTTTCGCGCTTCGGTTTCTACGTCATTGCCAAACTTCCACCGAAAGCCATCCGCTATGTTGACCATAGACGTATCCAGTGCCGTGAGGGCAATGGTTAAAGATTAAGTGCCGCTAATCAGATCCACTTAAACTTCAGTCTTTTAGCTTTGCACTCTGTAGGCTTGGTGCAATTTGTGCTCGTGCAAATATTCATTTGGTTGAGGTATTTGTCATCAGTTTGCAGCCTTATTATCCTCTCCGGTTAGCTGAGAGAAAGACCTTTCTTCACTATTTGTGCTTCTTTGAAAGGATATCTGTGTGCTGGTATAGAAACATGCAAGCTTGGTGTGTAGTAGGCACCGATCCATATCATAACAAGAGTCCCCTCTCCCCACCTCTTTGTGCCTTTACTTGCATGTTTGTTGTTTGTAAGTGTGTGTGCGTTTCTTAGCTGGACCTACTTATTTATTTTTTTCGTGCATTTCCATTTCGATCCACCATTTCAAACTAGTGTGGAATGATGTGTTCAGACAAGCATTTTGTTCACCTTACGGTTGCGACGTGGTCCTGCATCGGGAAAGCAATTTTACTTTACAACAACGAAAAACTTGCTTCTTTTGATGTTGGGTGCGACAATGTTATTGAGCAGTAATCAGAGAATTCAGAACTGGAGATGAATCTCTCATTGCCACGAATCGTGTTGTTTGCTATGGCATAGGTTTCAAAGTAACGGTAGCGTGCAACAAGTATTAAGACTGCGTTATCCGGCAGACCGTGTCGGCTGACTTCGACGCACCGGCAGTGTCTAGTTGCACTACCGTTGTGATATGAAAGATATTCGGATGGCGCTTATGGATTCATCTGAGCTGTTGTGGCAAAGCTGTGCTTTTTTTCGGTCATTCAGTCTTTAACGCTGGTTCAAGTGAACGGACTTGGGCAAGATTTTATTTTATTTATTTATACAATACTGCAGACCAATTTAATGGTCCAAGCAGGACGGGCAGAAAAAAAGAATGTTCATGCACATACAATGCAATGCAAAAAAAACAATGAAGCAACAAAACGCAGAATTCACTCAGAACTACAAAGTAAACAAGCCACGGTGAAACCGACTTTTCGCACAAACATAGCAGGGTTTCCAATCCAAATAAAACTAGAAAATCACGCACAACTTCAAGTAACTTGCTAAAAACCCGATCGTCAGTAATTAAAAGTTTCTAATGCAGTTGATGCATTAGAAACTTTTAATTACTGCATTAGTAATGCAGTTGAAAAGATGCAGTTGACAGAAGTGTGTGTGTGAATTACAGGTGTTCCAAGCGACAAATTTTCCTCTCGCCTTTTGCACACACCTTTCCTTTAACGCCTACAAATGCACTTGCCCACACAGTGCCCATAGCCATCAGAAACACGAGTACGTGTTGGAGCCTAATGTTCTGATGGCACTCATCCCGATCTTCGCTATAACGTTTGCTATGGCGAGGTCGCGATCCCCGATTTCATTCATTTGGCAAGCACAAACACGCACACGAAAACAGCAATGTCTGTGCACATTTTTTTTTCTTCTCATATTTGCTATGAGGACTGTTCAACAACGACTCTCATATAGTTTTACTAGGCTGGTGACAGTAGCATCTTAGTGATCTAGTTAAAATTTGTGAGACGTTAAGAGCGGAATCAAGTCGGGTGGAAATCTTTTCAAGTGAGCCTCTATCGTAGGTGCGTCATATCACGCTGACGCTGACTCGTGAGTCGCGATTCAGCTGTCTTTAGAGATCAAATGCCTGGATAACGTCACTCGCACCCCTTTTACCTATGTTTGAGGGTCTGCAATTATTTCTATATTAATAAGAAATGTTGTGACAATGAATAATATGATGTGTTAATGTTTTGCAGCTGGAAGATACTGCATCAAGAAATAGTCGGGTGCGTGTAGTAGTAGCGTGCATGTTGTAAGCTTGTCGCCGCTTCATGAACAAGGGGTCTGCACTGCATTTATCGAAACTGCCTACGGCTTTCTTCGTGTTGAGGCTGTATGTGTTATACGTGACAGTTAGCTTACCAGCCAGCCTACAGCTAGTGTTTGTGGAACAAGTGTAATTATTATAGGAAAGCGCACAGTGTTGTGAATTTTAAACGAGTTGCCTGCTTGTGCCTGCTGTTTAAGTAGTGTGTACGTACTTGGGCTCTGGGTTGTATGCGCTCTTGAGTCTACAGCAACTCTATGCAATAATTCTTTTGTTTAGCACTTGTTTCTTTCCTTCAATGTCAGGATGATGCAAGGATGTGGTCTTTTTCGATGGACACCAACAGCTCTGCTTCTTTCGCTGCGACTTATTTCCCATTTTATTTAAATTTGATTTCACAGGGTAACCACGTGAACAGACAACGTAATGCTTTTTACGATGTTGCGGATACAGCGCTTTGAGGACGCTCCATTTCATTATGGTTCCTTCCGACATCGACAGTGCTTCTAAAAATGTAATATATCACTGCCATATGCTGTGCATTTGAATAGGAGAAGGGTTTCTTCTACTTTAACGAATGTGAGTGATCCCTTAGGAGCAGTTTTTTTCTTGTGTTTGTTTTTGTTAGCTCAGAAGTGCTGTTTGTAGTTATGTGCCTCAGTTTTTCTGATTCCTTGCTGTGATGGGGGCTATAGCCTTGTGCTTAATTACATGCATAGGCGCAAAAACGTTTACTGCTTTGATGTTGAGCTATGTGCCTGTGCAGTCCATCAGTTTGACCTGTCGAACATTTTCTTGTGATGCAGATTGCAACGCGTGTGCGTGTGAACCTTTTTATTATTATTATTTTTTTCATTCTCAAGGCTGCAGTCTGCTTCAGCTTTTGACCAAATCATGTTATTTATGACAGCTTCACATTATACATTTGTTCTTTTTGCATTAATTTTTATTTTAGATTTTACGTGTAAATAGATGTACAGCTCATTGTCGTTAGTTTTGTTGGTTGTCGAGTTTTCCTTGCTTTTTTTCCTTGAAGGTTGCGTAAGAATTACGTTTGTTAAGCTCGGAGAGAGAACTTTGTTGTCTTGTAGGGTATGTTGCCTGAAGATTTTTTTTATGTATTTTTCATGCTTTGGGTCTTCTGAGAGGAATGAACAGCGAATAAAAATCTGTGGTCTGAACACTCTTCTGGTTTGTGTTCTTGCGAAAAAAACGGAAAGTTGCCACCGTGGCTCACTTGGTACTGTGCTTGGCGTCTGACCCGAAATGCGTGCGTTCGACGATGGCCATAGCCGTCACATTTTGATGGGGGCAAAATGCTAGACGGCCGCGTAATCTATAAAATATAGATTATGGTCATTAAACTTTCCAAATCGCTTGAGAGAACAGAAGGTTTGGCGAATTTGAGTGGCTTCACTAGGACAAATTTAATGTAATGCATAAAGCTCTGAGAATACTATCCTTTGATTTAATTCTTCTGCCTTAGTCCCATTGATTACTTAAGGAACCTACAAATCCTTGAAGCTTTCACTCAAAAGCTGAAAAAGCGTGCTTGTGCATGCGCTGCTTCACAATGAACACTGACATGTAGGGCAAAGAACAGTGATGGCGAAGGTACAAGAACGTCGCGCTCGTCCTGTGTTCTTGCACTTTGACTGCCCTCCTTCTTTGTGCCACTTGTCAGCGTTTCAGCGATGAACCAACCGGCCCAAGTCAAAGTTGTATTGCCCTTCGCAATGTATGCATCTTTGAGAAGGTGTGCGGGACAATTCAGTCAGCTGCCGCATACAAGGAGTCTGAAAATCAATCCAAGATCATTCCCCAAGGAGAGACACTGTGTGCGTGCACGCGTCAACCTGCAAGCTGCGCTGAGAAACCTCGTTGTAACAAAGTTCTGCAGCTCCCCTGAAAAGCAAGCCTTCATAAACGGTTTACACGAAGGCGAAGCTATTGCTACTCGGCAGGTCAACTCCAGCGAGCTTGCGTGCGAGCCTATAAAACCCCTACGGCGTGGTCATGCTAATAAAGTGTGCCACTGTACCTTTTTTTGGCCAGGTTCGCGGCGGTCCCTCACCACGGTCACCATGCCTCCGTTCAGCCCCGTGAAGTTTCCGATGCTTGTTCCGAGTTTGGATTTACGAAAGTTGGTGCGAGTAACGGCGAGCGAGGGAAGTATAGGGCGTTTAGGTATGCGAGCGTTGGGCTGGCGGGCGTGTTTCGTGTTGTCGTAACATGGGACGACCCATGTGAAACTGTCGTAAAGAGAGAGGGCGGCTCCATAAACGCCCATGCTGCTTTGATGTTGCCGCCTCGTGACGTCACTAACTTCAGCAAAGCACGCGTTTACTGTCAGCAAATAAAAAATAAGACTAGAGCATCTTGCTAAAATATGTCCGAGGTTTTTTTTTTGCCATAATGTTTGTTTTATGACATTTGCGCTGCCCTCAAGTTTAGCTAACGCGCTAAAAACGATGCGTATTGAACATTATCGAAGTCATAGCTAGCCAATCCAATCCTGTCCAGTTCGAGTGTTTACAAGCGCGCGCGCACGCGGGTGGCGTGAGTTTCCACCGCGTTCGTCAGTCGGCAAGTTCATTGCGTAGAAAAAAAGAGAAGTCATGGTGGATGCCTGCTTAAAGCAGTACACCAAAGTGCTTTCAGCCGTAAGTGCCTAACAAATACGATGGGGTGTGAGCGCTTGGTCTCTGAACTGGTGCGGGTCCTTCTTTCCAGCTTCTCGAGATCGGAGTGTTGCATTCCTTTCGCTTCGAGTACGACACCTCATGCGCGGAGCCGCCAGCGGAACGCTCTGCTTCCCTGGCACTGGCGTTAGACTGAGTTGATACGTCGATGCCAGGAGTACAAGGTAGGTGGCCGCGAAGTCCCGCTCACTAGAAAAGTACGCGCCGATCCAGTGTAGTGATGGAAAGTTTCGGTTAGCGAGGTTGTAGCGGTAGCGTTTTGAGATGTGCAATCTACTGTGGGCGCTGCGTACCGTACGATAATGTAGTGAGGTAAGAGGCAGAGCAAGTGCGTCACTAAGCGAAATGTTAGTCCCCGTTTATGTGAGAGCCATGGAGGCAATGTATGACGGTTGCGTTGCTCTAGATTAGACGCATGCCGCGCGTGAGATGGGCGGGTTCTGAATACTCACCAGTTTCGTCGGAGCGTACGTTTTGTAAGCTTAGTAAAGCTGATACGAACTCGCACCCTTAACGGGTGTGCATTTCTCTTTTGCACAGAATAGTCTTCCGTCCACCCAACCGTCTTCCCCGAGTGTTGACCCCAAGATTGTCCAAATCCAGGTTGACCGAAAAGTGGTAAGCGAAGCGACAAGGAAGCCTACCGCCGGAGAAGTGGCGAGATTGGAGGTTGGAACTAGAATAAAACTACATTTGCCGCTCGCAGATCAACGACAGGATTGACGCAGTTTATAACCAGGAAACGAAAAGAAGTCGACGAGTGGAATGTCCAGGAGTTCTGCTGCACAAAAGCAAGCGATGTTGACAGTGATGCAGGTACAGCCTTAATAATCGCTTGTCACTTTAGCAGCCTAACCGCCCCCCCCCCCCCCCCTTTTTTTTTTCCAGAACAAAGTTGTGCACGGGTTGATTCTGTCTTCGTGCCCAGGTCTGGTGGAAGCAGCCATGTCAAAGGTTGGGTTGTTTATGATATTGAGATAAATTTGTGTCGTAAGTTCATCTGCACTTGTTTAGCAAAATGATTGGTTACAAGTAGAGGTTAACTTTCAACCACGCATTAATATCTCGGCAAGATTGCCAGCGTATCAAACATGAAAGACACATCCTGGGCTCATTCCAGTTTGATCGCCGCTTTTTGAGAGACTTCAGTGAAGTGCTGCACTGTGTTGTTAAGAGTGAAAGAATTCCTTTAAGAGAGGAATCCTTTCACTTCAAGAAATGCAGTGCACCCACATTACCTCAGGACTTGTGTCTACTTTCACTTTAAGTGAAGCTTTTGCCTACACGTAACGTGAACTGTTGGATGGATGCATGATTGGCTTGCTTCTGACGGTACCTCCAACTTCAGTCTCCAGGGTTGTCAACCAGTGGGGTCCAATGACGAAGCTCATGAGGCCCACAAGTAGCCACACTCAAAGCCCCGTCAAACAGGAGCACCAACTCACCGTGCCCGAAGGGATCGAAGAAAGACTGCGCAACATGGAGTCCCACTTGAAGCTGAAATCTGGTGCGCATTTTGCCGGTCGGGCATACCATTTTCGAGCGCAACTTGAACCAAACTGTTTTTCATTTTGCAGGGTGCGCTGTGCCTCACGACGTCTACGCTCGGCTCAAACAACTGGAAGACAGAATCTTGTACCTTGAGGGAATATCGCCAGACTATTTCAGCACCACGGTAATGCATCACTAATGGTGAACTGGTCGGCATGCAACTACTTCGTTTACTACCGTTTGTATCTTGAAGACCCAAACTCTGGAGGGTTTACCTGATAAACAATTGGTGTATCAGTACGAAAAATGAATTTGTGGCAGTCTTGAATGGTGTTCACTAGAAGATCATTGTGTTTCCTAGTCATTTGAGCAAAGGTAACGATTTGCTGTGTGTTACAATCACGCAGCACTTCCATTTTTACACAGTGAATTGTAGACATCACATCAAAAGCTAGCTATTGATGTCTGACAATTTTCAGGCTCATTCGGCACCTCCAGCACAACGTAGCCGGTCTAGTGACACTTCAAGAAAGTACGAGGCAAGTTGATGCTTGCTCAACGCTTCTTTCTTTTTTTTTTTCTGTTTAGGCATCTGTGTTGACACCAACTACGCATTTTTTTTTAATCGTGAGGCATGTAAGCAGGGCTTTGGTGTTAATTTATTTCTTCCTTGGACACAGGATTGGAGCTTGGCCCAGATTGAAAGCAGGATCGACCTTCTCAAGAGTCGTCTGAGAGAAAAGACTGAAGCATCATCGGAGCCGTCCACATCTTCCATGGCGCTGTGAAATGACGCAGCAGCAGCAAAGACGGAAGACATCACTCTGTACAGTTCCGTGACATAATATTTATTCTATTTTTCTTACGTAACAGTTGTTCAGAGAGATATGCTATGATGCCTTTTGAACATCAGAGTTCCTACGTGAGAGCGTGGCATTAATCGCAAATAAATCCGGACACTTTCAATACAATAAAATGTGCGCATAAAGTGTGCGCAGCTATCGACTAGAACATCCATTTGTCATTTGATTTCTTCTAGAGATTGACAATAAAACAATAATTAAAATAGCGAAAAGGGGAACACTATCGTGGATGAAATTGGAAAACACCTAGGATACATTCTAAGAGTTAACATTCGTAATATAGTAATCTATAAGGATCTAAACACAGTAAAGCTGCATTAGATATCGTTTACATAAATCTAACTAGAATTGCCAAGTAGCAGAAATGTCGTAATCACATATTACAGGAGAATGAGGCAGTGTCGGAACGCAAAAATCACGAGCTCGTTTGGGAGGATGAGATGTCGACAATGAACAGGGACGGGGCTGAAGGGGTTAGAAAAATCTTTGTCACAAAGTGTAGAAATTTCACAAACACGTCCGACCAGCGGACCAACATACATTAATTACGTGTAGTAGACGTTATTCTAGGTACAGTAGGTTTCAAAGGGATGTGCACCAGGAACAAAGACGATTGTGGTCATCTTCAAAAGCCTAGACACGCTTTTTCTCTTATGCGTTAAAACCTTCTTCGCGTGGGCTCTGATTGGGTGCCACTGGGACTCCTTAATGTTGCTGCTGCTGCTGCCCATTTGTGACGAGCCAGAAATAACACAGCCCTCCTTGGTTTTGTTGGCACCGCCTTAGCAGGAGATAGTTTGCCCCTGCTTTCACCGATGGAGGACACCTGAAACAAGACAGCACTTGATGAAACTGTACACTGAGCAGGTTGACATACAGTCGCGTCCAGTACGAGTTGAAACATACATGTCCGTGCACAAAGTAACGCCAAAGCTACAAAGCAGCACTGACATAGCAAAAATTAGCGAAGTAGACACTGTTTCAGTTACTGGTATTCCACAAAACATCGTAATGTTTGCCGGTGTCATTAGAGCCACTGTGTTCTGTGTTGCGCCACGTATTGTGCAGAATTGTACATTCATGGGTCAGTTTGAGTCAGAGTTCAGTCATATGCCTGAAAGTTGCGGGTTCGATTCTGACCGTGGCAGTCACATTTTGATGCAGGTGAACTGCTCCAGGGCCTGTGTGCTGTGTGAGGTCGGTGCACATTTAAGAATGCCAAGCTGTCAAAATTTCCAGAGATCTCCACTACGGAGTGCCTCATAATCATATTTTGATTCTGGCACATTAAACTACACATCGGATTATTGAAATACTAAATATGAGCCATATTTGCTGTCCATGTGGTTCAAATTCTCGATTAACACGCCCTTACACCACCGATTGCTGGTTAACTACGTTTTCAGTGCAAGCGCCCCAAGAAGGCATGGCTCCCGGGCTCAAACCCCAGATCCGGACAAATTTTTTGTTGACTGAGAACCATTTCTTTGAGAACTTTGTGTGGATTTCCTTGTACATACGGGCGTATGACAACATTTCCTTTCGGAACTTTGAAAGCAAATTTGAAGAATAACTTCTCGGTTTAAAATCATGTAGTGTTTCGCTTTGGTGTGCCTTTAAAAATTGAAATTAGTTCTTGCTGAAAGAAGCACTACAAATGGCCTGGGAATCCTTGTGAAGAATAAGTTGTAGCAAGTGCCTTGAAAAGGTTTTAAATGCTCTTATTTCTTAATAATACAATAATAAGTTATGACAGATGCCGTAGTGGAGGGCTCCGGAAATTTTGACCACCTGGTGTTCCTTAACGTTCGCTGACGTCGCACAGCACACGGGCCTCTACCATTTCATGTCCATCAAATCTGACTGCCGCAGCCGGAATCGAACATGTGACCTTCGGGTCAGCAGTCGAATGCTCCTATTTCTTTTAAAGACAGTCTCCTTGCTTGACAGATTATCCACTCCGACAAAGCGCAAGTAACGCACAGCAACGAGTTCACTCTTGCTGCAGACCTTGGTATTTAGCACGTCAAATAACTTCTTTGATAAAGACGTGGTGAACGTGTTTGTATCAAACCGCCTGCATACTTATGCAAGAGTTTTCCAAAATCTGGCATGAAGCACAAGTTGTTCAGTTGTGATGCAAATGATGGCTTTGTATTAATGGTGTCTCTGTTAAGGTAATGTCAATTCTTAGACACTGTTGCACTGTATCTGGGCTGCACAAGCTACAACCCAAAAAGGGATGCCTACAGCCCTACACCAATGGCGACATTTTTACCGTTTGTAAAAATGTGGCAAAAAGATTTGATGGTTTTAGAAAGACTGGAGTCGCGAGTGCTACAAGTCTTTTTTAGCAACTTGCCAACAGAGCACACTCTCCTGTCGCACCTGTGATGTGTAGCGTCGGCACGACTCAGCCCGTGAAGTTGCTGAAGTCTGTCTTCAGCTTGATGCTGGGAGCACTTTGGTTGGTTTGGATTGTCTTGGGAGTGCCTGGTCTCTCGCTCTCGGGGTCTCTGCTGCCAGACCGCACCGCGCTCTCAATCTTGGACTTCAGCTGAGGCAACCGGCCAACGACTGCACGAAACTCCTGCGAGGCGAAACCACGACTGTTCACTTTGTGCTTAGGTGGGCTAGTTGGTTCATAGATGTTGCGACAGAACAGTGCATGAAATGGAACAGTGAACACAAATGACGCAGCGCTGTCCATGAACTTATTTTTAACTGATAAAGCAGAGCACACATAAGCAGGCCAGCAATAAAAAATGAAAGAGAGAAAAGGCACAAATGCTGTCAGGTGACTCAGCTGGCCGGCATAACGACTAATTTCGATAAAGATTAACATTTTACAAGATGCCGTGGCACAGCGCTGTGCCCTGTGTACCCACTAATCCACTTTTCGTACTTTCCTCCCACAAAATATTACTGCAGTCTACAAATCTAGCAATTACAGCGAACGCACTCAAACTTTGTAGAAACTTGGACATTTAGAATATGCCACCACACCGCAATAAGTCCTTAAGTTGACATTAAACTCTGCAGGACTAGGCCTTTCCTGTATCGAAAATGAGCTGAGCCTGTCGAGCCGCATACGTGAAAAGAAAAAAAACAATCATCCTAGCTTGACAAGTCCTGCTTGATTTACTTATCTCCTATATCACCCTGTGGTCTTGATGAACACCGTCAGGTAGCACAATTAGCCCGTTAAAGCTTTTACCTATTTGAAATCAGCACCAGCACTCGGCAAGTTTCTTTGAAATGGATAAATAACTTCAAAGAAGATTTCAGGTGCAGTGCCTTAAGCAGCGACTTCTGGTTGGTGCAAAATTCAAAATGATGTTTTTAAATTCAGAATAAATCACTCAAAATAACAAATGTCAGAAAGCAATCCTTCTGGTTCAAGTTAAGAGTTTTATTGTATGCCTGTAATATCAGAGTAAGTTTACTTAAGATAGATGCGAACGAAACCTCGGAATAGTTAATTAAATTGAACAAGTTCATTGAAAGGGTAGACAATTTCTTTAGAGCAGGTGGGATCGTTGCGACACCTGGTGGAGGAGATCTCAACTACATGGTTATTTTTTATGTGGCCTCCGTGATCCACTGTGGCCAGTTGTAAACTTACAGGGTTAAACATGCATGTCAAGGGAAACAGTTGGAAACAATGTGCTACGTCGTACCTGTGGGTATTGGGGTCCGACTCGGGTGAGCCTGCCCAGAGCGGCCTGGTGAAGCTTTCTCCTTGCAGCCGAGGCAGCTTGATGAGTGGAGGGGTCCAGCAGCAGGTTGACCAGCACAGGCACATAGAGCAGCATCATGTGGGCCTCTGCATAGCCGCAGAAGCCAGGCCGACAATCACAACAGTGTTCCTCCAAAATCTCTTAACGAGCCCGGCATGCAAACCACATAAAGACAACATCCATGGAGTGATGCACCAAGAAAGCATACATACTCAAGGCTGAAGAAAGCACAAAATACAGTAGAAGCTCAATGAAATGTTTACATTTTACACTTTTTTTGGCACCAATGTCAGCAGTACTATTACCAAGCGAAACTGCATGATGTTCCAGTGAACTCAAATTGCACGTTTTCCCGAAAGTTCCTTTTTTAGTGCAACTTCTTTTTTATGAAGGAGGTTCTGCAGTAAATAAGATGTGTGACTGATTGTAATGGGAGATCAATTCTTTCCATTACAAGTTTGAAGATGAAAGCAACCTGTCACCATGGATGCCAATCTAATAGATTCTATATGTTGCTTGCAATGATCTTACAAACTGAGCCTTGGTGGCTGCTGTCATTCTCCAAACTTTAGTGGACGTTCACACGAACAAGCAAGCTAGATTTTATTAAAGCACCCTGCAAAACATTTTGTAGGCTGTGGAATTGCATTATATTAAAAAAAAAATGGCAGCATATCCACAGAGTGAATGATGGAGAGTGGGGCGAAGCATTCGTCCGTCCATGCGTCCGTCTGTGTGACCGTCCATGCGTCTGTTTGTGCGCCCGTCCCTGCGTTCTTTCATGCATCCGCCCCTGCGTCCGTTCATGCGTCCATCCATGCATCTGTTTGTGTGTCCGTTCGTTCATCTATTCAACACTCCAAGTCCCACCATCTCGCATCTTTTTATCATATATTCCCCATATAGAAGCACCGCCATCCAGCGGACATTCCAAGGACTAAACGAGAGGTGGCACACGCACACTTTCTTACGGCCTGCGCTTTGGGTCCACTTCCTTCCTTTAACCACCTCGAGTTCATGGTATATTCTAGTTCACTGTATTCATGGCACTGCGACCAAACGCTCGCTAAACCTTTCGAAAACCAAGGAGGTTACGCCCAGCGAGTATAACGTAGCAACCTTTCCCTGTCAGATAGGGCTCAATTTACATGCCAATGGCTGCTAATGAGAAATGAGAGACAGGAGAATTCGGCTTTTACTTTCTTACGGCTTGCGCTTCGTATCTACTTCTCATTTTTAACCACCTTGAGTTCATTCATGGTATATACAAGTTCATTGTATTCATGGCACTGCGGCTCAACGCTCGCTAAACCTTTCTAAAGCTAAGGAGGTTACACCCAGCGAGTATAATGTAGCATCCCTTTCTTGTCCGATAGTGCTCAATGTACCGTATAATGCGGAAT